ATTCATTTTTACATCATTATGTTTTGCAACAAGATGACAATATTAATGTTCGTGGTGATTGTGGTGACAGTTCGAGCAACTATTCTGTTTAGAACTTTTGAAAATAATTTTCTACTTTCATGTCAGGTTGATAAGTTGCGTACACAAGCCGCTGAGCAAGCAGAAGTAATTTCATCGCAAGAGAGCGAATTATCCAGCAAGAAGGAGCAATTGGAGCAACTCAAAGCAGAAGAAACGCGATTGGAACAGTTGAAAAACGACAATACGAAGACAATCGCTGGTCTTTCGAACAAACTTCAATCTACCCAGTTGACTATTAGTCAGGCGAAGGCGATGATTACGCAATTGCAGGAGCAGTCGCGTCAGATAAAGGACGCCATCACCGATTGCGATACCGCGATAGACACGAACGATGTCAGCGCAGTGCCCGACACTGCGCTGCGAATTCAACCTGAGTTCCGAGACCCTGAATACAAGCGCATTGGAATGGTTAACGGCGACTCGCAGAACGGCTTCGGTGACAAGCCAGATCCGTTCAGCAATCAGAATGGTCATAACGCGCAAAACCCATCAACAGGCTTCCAGAACGATCCGTTTGCTAATGATCCTTTCAAAGGTGGCGACGCCTTTGCTAGCGACCCGTTCAACAACTCCGGCTTCGGCGCCTCCACCGGTGATGGTTTCGGTTCGGATCCATTCAACAACTTCGGAACGACAACTAACAAGGCAGATCCCTTCAACGCTTTTGGTGATAATAAAAACACCTCTGTTACTCCCGAGGTAATATTAGTTTTAGATAATAACTATAAGAGATATTTTTATATTGCTTATTTATTTGTAGCCCGATAAAGACGCTTTCGGTTGTGATCCATTCGCTGTTCTACACGCGCCTACCAGAGACGGCTCCGCGCCTGGCCGACCCACAAGTCCCAGTCCAGCGCTGCCGCCAAAGAAAGCAAAACCACCACGACCCGCACCGCCACGACCCCAACCACCAAAGTTCAACGCAAACACCCAACCTGATCCTTTCAGTTCGAACGCAGATCCGTTCTCAAGCGGAGGGTTTGCAGACTTTGCAAACTTTGATTCTAAGGTAAGATTCTTGTTGCAAATTGAAGCAGTGTTTATAATTTGATGTTTGTACGTCTAGTGTTTGCATCGTAGTTTTCTACCGGACATTAATTATGCACTTGTACGATTTCCTAATGTGTGCCGACCCCCAACATCCTTTTATGACCCCTCTCCCGATCTGATTGTGGTACGATTTTTATTCATTATTTTTTTCTTTTGTATTTTGTATTTACTTGTAAATTTCAGCACCGAAATGAGTTGTTTCACGGCATGGAACGTTTATTTTTGTTTATTTTATGTTCTAAGTAGGTTTCGTTTTTGTTGGCCAGCGATAATTGGCGAGGGATTTCCAGAGGAGCGTCTACTAACACACGTTATCATTTACAGCCTTAATAACATGTACGTCTACTCTTCAGTTTTCCGAGAAATCCAGCGCGCCGCCTACGAATCCACCGATCGCCGCCCCCAGGAAACCGGAGTCTGTAGGCAAAGCTCTTGAATTCACAGACGATCCATTCCGCAACTATAGGTATGAAGACCCATTTAACATCGCGTTCGATGACGAAGATGAAACGGACGACAAAGGAGGCGCAACTGAGGATAAGTTTGACCCGTTCAGCCTTGGCGGGCGGCAGTCGGTGCCTCTGCCCGCATCCGCACCAAGCGCAGCCAGTGGCCGCAAATCGGCACCGCCGATTAGCAAGAACAAGCTGCCTGATGAGAGCGAGCAGATCGCATGGGCCGCGCAGGATAGTCTCGTGCTGGAGGAGCAACGCAAACAGAGACAATTACAGGAGCAAGCCGATCTCGAGTTGGCGATAGCCCTTAGCAAAGTGGATAATAAACTGTAGCATATAAGTGTTATTGTATTAACCTGTGAGTGCATTTGTTGATGAACTATTTTCAATTTCTAGCTTGTTGGTAGCGTCAGGAGAATGACATATCATTATCTTTCGGTTGTCCATACTAGTTTTGACGTATGAGAGAAACCAAGCATTTCACTACTCGGTGTTTTTCATTTGTTTAGCGTACGCTTCTCAACAGACTCGGTAACAAACACATGTCACCTTTATTTCAAATATCAACCAACCGCACTGATTCTTATGATACTAACACACGAAGGTGGAAATTCATACATACTTATTGAAATTCATTCCAAGTCATGTTGATGATAGTCATGTACATAGAATGTTATATTTTTTTTATGTTTTAAAAACTTATTATTTAAGAACAAAGACACCTCTAAGGCCTAGTATTATTTGTCGAGAGAGATTAGAGAGATTATGTTAATGATGTTTCCGAATTTTAATTTGCGTGATACGGCTTCCTGAGAATTAACATCGATTTGAAAACGTTTTCGTCAATGGTGCCTATAACATGCCTATATTTAATCAGTCTTTTTCGATGGTGAAATTATATTAAAATTGAGATTTAAATTAAACCAAGTTAACGTGAAATCGCAACACTAAACTGTGTAACGAACTTTTTCCAATATGATGCTTTATTATCATTTCGATTTTCTTATTCTGTGGTTTGCTTTTGCTGACTTTCATCGTTTAGTGCTGTCATTTCACCTTAAAATAACAAATTAGCAGATATCGCTCGCCCAAAAATACTAACATAATAAATATTAATAATATATGATAAATATAGATATTATAAAAATGAGATTATAGCTTTTTAGTCAATACTCGACCATTGATTGAGAATTAAAAATGTTATCTACCGTTCGGCTGTTCACATTCAAGCATAAACCACCGACTCGAAATCTAAGTGTTCCGGCGAAATTGGCGATTCCTTATTTTTCTCAAGCATGTAATTAATATTTAGCGCAGGAACAGCTGACTGCATATTGCGTACACACATTACTATGTTTTAAAAGACTATATATACATTATTACTAGTTAAAGTGCGTGAACCATGATACATATAATGATAATGTAACATTACGATATAATAATTATACATTCATATTGTGAGGCAAAAGAAACATTCGAGAATTATACCAAAAATATGAAAATTGTATGAAAATCCTGTACAGTGTTGTTACTTTTACTATTGTTATTTGGGTAGATTTGTTAAATTGGTGGCTTGCACTTGTATAAAAATGAAACAAACCATAGCACAATTCATAGAAAGTACGTGTATAATTCCTACCCTATAATGAGAATGGTAACGACAGTAAAAATGAACTCATACTCTATATGAATATACTCATCTTTAGAACGAACGGAACAGGTTAATTATTGTAATTTGTAATCAACTATTTAATTAGTACATACTGATTTTCATAAGTTCCGCAACGCTACGAACTTGATCACTTGACTTGATTTGAATGTCGCCTCGAACTAACAAACGACGAATTATAAAAGTAAGAAGTTAAGTTCATTTGAAACAATGCGTTTAATGTAAGCTGGCGAGAAACGATTCACAATTGGAGCGACCACTAAATGAAGAAAGTAGATGTTATTATACTAAGAGGACAATGAAATAATAATTGTTAAATGTTACTTAGCTTGTTTAGGATTTATTTATTACGAGTCATAAGTTCATTGTAAGTATGCACTATTGTCATCAAAGATAACACTATGTGTCATATTTAATAAATCAATATAATAAGGCTATTATCCTACAAAATCTGCGTGTTTTTAGATCTTTATGCGACACGTATGTTCTATAATTACAATCTGCGCCATTTTGTTTTTGGTAAAACCTCTCTAGGCTTTAGGAATCATAAATTATTATCAAACGCGTTAAGCTTAATTGAAATAATAAATATTTTACAGCTTTTCCAATTTCAAACACTTTTATGACTTGGTTTATAGTGGATTTTGTTGAAAGTTATTTATTAGTGCTTATATTGCTTATGATTGATTAGATAAAGTTAATTTTCCAGCTTATCGCATTACATTTTGTTTGATAACATGTAGGTATAATTTTGTACAATATCAACAGTTAACTTAATCAATTGGCGTAGTGTTTTATTCCGCAGTTAAATATTAACAATAATCATGCTTGTTAAAGTTTTTGTTGCCGTGTTGGCTGTGTTAGTTTTTGCAAATATATTTGCATTTGCTGGTAAGTGCCCAATAATCTTTTAGAACACATATTAATTCAGTTTTCTTTTCAGAGGTCAGTAAAGCTGAAAATGATGAAACAGTGAAATTGATTTTCAATTTTGTGGAAGGTTACAACATTAAAATAAACGTAAGTTTAAAAAGTCGTAATTGCTAAGTCAAAACAAAGTGATTTATAATGTATTGTTAGCAATTTTATGGACACAAAGTTAAATTTTATATTAAGAGTAGACTTGGTTTGTAATTGGAGCTTAAGGGTTTAAGTTTTACCGATTGTGTGAAAATTACTAATATTTAGAAGTATTGTCACATTTGCTTACACCTTATTTACTAATATTGTTTATTTTTAGAACAGGGAAGCAGTCGCTAATGATTTATTAAATATCTTGGAAAGAAATAACGTGAAAGAATATGTTGCATTCGCTAAAACTTCGTATGAGAATTTGATGGATGGTGTATAATCTATCAAAAATGGTCCTCGCCATTTTTATGCATTTCTGCAATACATAACTCCCCAACAGCGATAACATGCAATTTGCCAAATAAACACATAAAATATCTAATCCAGAAGCCATATAATTGATCAAATATATTAATTTTTATCATAATTGTTGCAATACACTGCATTATGTCATAATCCAAATCGACGATGAGAACAACATGTAAAAACAGATGATATAATCACAAGCTTGTGACGAACTCTAATGGGTCGCCGATGTTATCCAAATAAGCGAAGACAATTATTGATAACGGCGTTAATTGCTTTCGTTTGTCGCAATGCTCGCGGTGTGTATCCATGCGATGCGTGAACCCCACTCGCACATCTCTCCAACAAACACATTTATCTCCGTGTGTCCGTGAATGAAGAACACTGACTGATATTTTCGATAGATTCGCTGATAATTGACCGTGGTAAACAATGTGCGCCCGGTCGATCCTTCGATAAATCGTGTATTTATACGTGCTGCGAGTGCGTTATAGAAGCGTTACATTACACGCTCAGTTGTATCCCGACACTTACGCAAACGTTCATTTAGTTATTACGTTTGTTGCTCCGTTTGTTGTTGCTTGCCCATAATCGGATGAGATACAAACAACCGAAACGGGTGCTTTACTTTCCTAGGGCCAGTGTGGAGTACGCGACAACTTCATAAATACATACGTCGACACCAGTGCGAACGTGCGCGAATCTACGTAACCGAATTTCTTCGTTGTTGTTACCGACCAACGATTTGTTTCCAATCAATACGACTTCTAGTGTAAGTAGTTGCCTTGTAGTTGAGCCACTTCTTATCTTGTTTTGTCTTTGCGCGGTGATAAACAAATTTTCCATTCGTCGATGAATATTTGCATTTTTAATTTACGCAAATGAATTAATTTTTTTACAGGATTTGCCACTTTTAGTAAATCGACTACGATGATTTTCTTTTTGACAAGGTGAGCTATTTTTTTTATAATTTATTTTCTCAAGCGGTGCGTACGTGATTCGGAATTGATTAATTGAAATGACCGTGGTGTGAAATGAAATGTGCGATGAGTTGTGTGTTGGCATGTGTAACTACAATTCGGCTTCGGAGCGATGATAGAGAAGCGCTATAAATATCTCAATTAAATAATTGTTGAGCGTTTGATTGTTCTTATATGCGGTAAGATTTACCCTTTCTTCTGCCCGTTGGTTTTTTACTATGGGATTATTTAAGGAAACAGATTTCAAGGCAATAAAACATATCGTTAATTGAACATTGCTGTTTCGTTTATTGTGTGATGCAAAGTTACCTAACTGATAACGCGACTTTAAAGGTCCAAGTGCAAGGCGATAGATTGCAGCTGTATTTGAATAGTGAATAAGTTTGGTAACGAGCGTGCGAATTTGGTTGCCTAACTATTATAGGTACGCAAATAAAATATAACCGTTTTTGTACCTGGTTTTTGGATTATTTACATGTTCATTTGTATCTTTTTATTAGATTTAATTTTCTTTGGGGCATCTTAATGCAATTCACAATTTGCTACCATAAAAAGTCACTTGGCAATTTTTAATTTTAAAATATTTGTATTTTTTAATAAGGTGTGAATTAAAAATGGCTGCCGCACTATGCCTTTTTTAAAAAAAAGTAAAAAGGCAAAAATTTAATAAAATATGTCACTTAATAGTTCAGTTATACGTTTTGAAGAATGTTTAATAATACCATACTGCTTTCTCTACTTTAGTGGTTTTATTGAAAATTTAATTTAAATTACATTGGCTGAACAATAGTTTACTATTTAAATCACGTCCGCTTCAGATAAAGCAATAAACTCCCGTCGCATTTTACTCTTGCGATAGTTGTAAAATTCCATACTGACTCAACTACTTAGATTACATTATGCACGTAATCAATGTTGTTTTTGTAATACGTGCTATGGTAAAGTTGGCAACAAATAATTTTTTAATCGCTGGCGACGTATAAAATGTGTGTCAGTAATAAATACAAGTATTCATCTCTTGGAACCAAAGCTACGTCACAATCGGCTGCTTAGGAATACGTGTAGGCATTCGCTGATAAACTCTTTTTTTTTCTGACGATGTTTGTAGCTAAGCCAGTGTGGCTTAACGCAGTAGTTCGGATCAACATAGGAATTTGTTGACCAATCGCATCTGCCAAGCGCTGTCACTAACCGACTGCGGTAATCTTGTTTGTAAAAGGGGGCTCGTCTAATGTGACACTCGCGTGACGTTGCATTACCGGATATTACTACTTTGCAACTGGGTAATTATCTCGGATCAAATTTCAAGGAGTTGAAAATAATTTGGTTTATAATTGCACCATTTTTTTTTTCTTTTATACTTGCTCCTTAAGAGCTATCTTAGTTTTTAATTCATTTTTACAATTTAAGTGTAAAAATACTCTTTGTTCAGAATTCTGGAAAAACAGCACTAATTTTAATAATATTTTCGAAAACGTGCCTTTTTGATACAAGTTAAGAGATAGCATTCTTCTTTGTGGGTATAAAAATGATTATTGTTAGACTATCATAAAAATTCAAGCATGCATTTTTTTAAATATAGACATGAGACTCATGCTATTTACGTACATTATAATATACAGATTAGTCAGCAGTTTTCGGATACTTCCCCAATCTAAAAATAATTAATAGACCGCATATTTAATTAATCTACAATTTGGGGGCTCGTCTCGCATCTCGCCTGCGGTTTCATCAGCCTGACATAGTAAGCCAAGATAACAAATATCCTGTCTGATTTCTCAAAAAGCTACAGAAAAACAAGTTGATGCAATCGCGAGTCATATTTGCGAATATAAAAAATAAGCCATTTCATGTAAATATTGGCCAATACAAATCTCCAAGCAATCAGAAAAAAATGAACTGTTATTATTGGAAGAAGAAATTAGTGCAAAACATGTTTGATAACTACGGGGACTTCTTGTTTTCATCATTTCTCTTAGTAATAAGATAATGATTTCTTGCTGTGTTTGCTTCGATACCAAACGTGACGCGTCGAATACAAGTGACATGATGTGACGAAAGCAATCACTGACGTGACGACTACTGATTCGAGTCGAATCTGTTGGTTGTGTGTATGAAATTTGCGCACTGATTGCAGTATCCATAACAAGTTTTGAAAGGGAAGATATCCTTGTAAACAGCAACGTAAAATTTTTATCTGAGGCTACTTATGTATTTCGACACTGCATATTGCAATTTAATACTTTGTAATTGGACTTTGAAATAGTATTATCAAAGGTACACTGTGATAAGATGCACGATGTGTACCTATTCAGCATGCAACATTATTTATTTCAGTAAAATTTAAACTTAGTTTTGATGGGCCAATCAGTGAAGCTACTTATGGCTATGTTTCCTTCTTCTTCTTTATTGATCACATCACGCCACAATTTGATGAATATTTAACAACATAAAACGATAAAATACAAGAAAAACATGCGAGATTGTAGTATTTTTGTAGTAACTTGTTTTAGGTTGCCATGCAGGTGACATTCGCTATTTCATCCAAGTTTTATAGTAGCTACTTTTTTGTTATCAGAATTTATTACTATCCAAATTCAAAACTTATGCTAAAAATACATGTCACCTATAAATCCACCTATGCGATTACGTAAGCACGTCGTAAAAGTCAGTCCACGTCTAATTAGTACCTAGATACAAATCGAAGACTCATTAAGACTGTGTCTAATAGAATTATAATATCAAACTCAAAAAAAAACATTCAAAAACTAGTAACATTCGGATTTGTTTTAATTTCATTTAAAAAATAATTCACCACGCTTGACGGGCCCCTTCGCATTCACGTCACGAAGACCTGTGACAAAGGTAATAAATTTTTTCAATCCTTGACCTTCTCATAATCGACCGCGTCGTTCGCGCCATAATGGGAACAACCGAACAACAACTGGTTGCCGTTCACGCTCAGCCATTTCGTAAAATTTTATGGGCTCGCTCGCTACTCGCGATTTGATTGGTCGAGACGGCGGGTGTGTGAGCTGATGCAATCATAAGTTGTCGTTGCTATGCTGACGAGAGAGTTCATATCGCGCGAAATTGCGAAATATGCACACGCTCACAATCAATAACCGACTTTACAAATGCTACCGGCGATAGCAAAACATTCAACACACATTCATTTACTATTATCGCACTAAACCAATACACAAACAACTATTACGCATTTAATCAAGGTAGAAAGGCGCCTATGGTACACAATGATGTAATACTGCTGATGAAGGTGTGTTTCAAATTGAAATTTGAAACTTTCCTTATCAACTTATATTTCTATTTCATACACACAGGATGTAGAGAATCCGGATTCATTTTTCAGCTTCAAAGTTCAATTATATTGCTAGATTATGGAGTTTGATGTGCGGTATGACAACACAAAATTCAAAATAAACAATTCAAAGGTACTACAAGTGCAATAGTACCAAAATCCGGTACATGAATATCGTACGTACAAATATGATTTATTTTACTATAATTCATTGTTAATATGCAAGTTTAAATGCCTCTGTAAACTTGATTTGTGAACTGTATTCTAATGTAAATTGACTTTGTCGAACCTAAGTTGAGGTCTTTGAAATATCTCGTTTCGAGGTCCGAATAAAGTACAATCTCGATAAAGAAAAAACTTTGGAATATAATATTATAACACAATGGCCTTTGCGGCCAAATTCACCGAACTACATTAGGGAGAATTTAGAATTTATGGCTGTAATGGAATTTCGGCAATTTGTGGGACCATTTTTCTACCTGCACTGTAATTATCCCAAACTATCTCAGCCATCTTATCCCTAAACAGAGATAGATGAGATTTAAATGTTAAATAAAAGAAACTATGGAAAATTTTGTAAATTTTTCCATTTTAAGAAGAAATTATTGAATTATTTCATATTAATTTAAAGTTTAGATTTTACTGGTTTCTAGTTAAACAGTTTAAAACTATACTAGTTATACTCTAAATATTGACTTATTATTAAATTGTTCAATTGTAACTAATCCAATTAAAACCAGTTTAAAAATCTTTGACCAAATTACAAGTATGCCAAATTGATCAAAATGTAATATAGTATTAGTTATCAGTTGAATTTTTTAATGACAAAGTCGAATCGCCAAATGAGTCTCGCGATAAGACGGAATCCCCGTTGTTTCCGCCCCACTCCAAACCGGAGTCTCCTGACAATGTCCAAACCGCTTTTCAGTGTATAAAAGCGAGGCCCGTTCCTCATCGAAGTCAATTCAGAGTTGGTTGTCTCCAGCGAACAAGCTGAATAAAGTCTTCTCCAATTAGTCAAAAGATATTTACACTGGCGAACGACAAGCAATTACTTCGACTCATTGCCAAATATCATCGAACTAATTGTTTCGTTTCGAACTTCAAGCAGTACTACTTGCAGTTTATCTTCGGGTTTTATTCTATGTACCATAAGAGTTACACTTAATTTCAACTAAGTGTAATCTTCCGAGAGTAGTGAAACAGTATAATTGAAATTTTCGTGGTAGAAAAAGTATTCAAACAAATCACTCACAATGCCTGATATTGTTGACAAAAAGTCGAACACGTAAGTACTTTAATTCTAAACATTTAACTATTGTTTAAAAGTTGATTAGTCAATTGATTGGAATTTGTTATTAATGTTTTAATGTTTAATTTGCAGATATTCCGCTGACTTGGGGCGTTTTGCCAAGCAATTGGCCCATCCAAATGTGGGTCTTTTCAATCATCTCCGCGGCATCAGCGTTGTCCATGGCGATTTGAAGCATTTGACACCCAAGGCTAGAACTTATCTGGAGTCGAATGTGGAGCTGTGCCAACCAGAACGCATTCACATCTGCGATGGTAGCGAAAGCGAAAACAAACACTTGTTGAATCTTCTCCAACAACAAGGCACCATTGTTCCTTTGCCCAAGTATCAAAACTGGTACGTTTTATTCTATTACCTATTACTTATTTATTATTGTGTACAAAATATTCGATTTTTATTAATTTTATTTGTTTTCTTTAGTTGGTTAGCTAGAACCAACCCTGCTGACATTGCCCGCGTTGAATCCAAGACCTTCATCTGCACTGAACGCCGTGGTGACACCATTCCAACACCTAAAGATGGAATCAAAGGAACTTTGGGCCACTGGATGTCCCCTGCTGATATGGACAAGGCTGTTAAAGAACGCTTTACTGGTTGCATGCGTGGCCGTACCATGTATGTGGTACCCTTCTCAATGGGTCCAATTGGTTCCCCGCTTTCCAAGATTGGTATTGAGTTGACTGATTCCCCATACGTTGTGTCTTCTATGAGGGTGATGACTCGTATGGGTAAAGCTGTTCTTGACGAACTCACCACCTACGATCAATTCGTCAAATGCCTTCACTCTGTTGGCACACCTGCTAACGGTACGATTGAGATGCCGAGCTGGCCTTGTGATCCCGAACGTACTATTATCTTGCACAAACCACAAGAGAATGAGATTGTCTCTTATGGTAGTGGATACGGTGGTAACTCCTTGCTGGGCAAGAAGTGCTTTGCTCTCCGTATCGGTTCTACTATTGCCAAGCGAGAAGGATGGTTGGCGGAACATATGCTTATTTTGGGCATCACCAATCCAAAGGGTGAGAAAAAGTATATTGCTGCTGCTTTCCCATCGGCTTGCGGTAAGACCAACTTGGCCATGATGAATCCGTCTTTGCCTGGGTACAAAATTGAATGTGTGGGTGATGATATCGCCTGGATGAGATTCGATGAAAATGGACAACTGAGGGCGATCAATCCTGAAAATGGATTCTTTGGTGTTGCGCCTGGTACTTCCAATGCTAGCAACCCTAATGCCATGAAGACCATCTTTAAAAACACAATCTTTACCAATGTTGCGTCTACAAGTGACGGTGGCGTTTTCTGGGAAGGCATGGAGAAAGAAATCAACTTTGATAATGTAAAGATTACTGACTGGTTGGGCCGTCCCTGGGTTAAGGGAGAAACCAAGACACCTGCAGCTCATCCTAACTCTAGGTAATTGTCACAATCAATGATTTTATTACTTATTATGAAAATGGCTTCTTTGTAAACATGTAACTAACTTAATTTTTGTTCATTACAGATTCTGCTCACCTGCTGAGCAATGCCCAATTATCGACCCTGCTTGGGAAGCATCCGAAGGTGTACCAATCTCTGCCATTCTCTTTGGCGGTCGTCGTCCAGCTGGTGTACCTCTAGTTTACGAAGCCAAAAACTGGCGTCATGGTGTCTTTGTCGGATCAGCAATGCGAAGTGAAGCTACTGCTGCCGCCGAACACAAAGGTAAAGTGATCATGCACGATCCCTTCGCTATGCGACCTTTCTTCGGTTACAACTTTGGTCAGTATTTGTCTCACTGGCTGAGCATGGAGCAACGTTCAGATAAACTCCCAAAGATTTTCCACGTTAACTGGTTCCGCAAGAGCAGCGAAGGTAAATTCTTGTGGCCTGGATTTGGCGAGAACTCTCGCGTCTTGGACTGGATCCTTCGAAGGATCGATGGCGAGGAATGTGCCAAAGAAACTCCGATTGGTTTGATCCCCAAACCAAACACTTTGAATCTCGAAGGTATGGAAGAAGATGTAAACATGGATGAGCTCTTCGACATTCCCAAAGCTTTCTGGGAAGAGGAAGCGCAATCAATTGACAAGTACTTTAAGGAACAAGTCGGTGAGGATTTACCTGCTGCAATTGATGCTGAATTAAAGAATTTGAAGAACCGCATTGACAACATGTAAGTGTATTACCTTTATTAAGGTAGCTCATTACTATTAAGTTTATAATTATTTATGTGATATATAAATATGCCTAATTGTATTTTATAAAAATATACAACTTATTTTTAAATAACATTTTGCTAATACCACTTAAGACGCATATACTAAATCTAATTGCGTTAATGTTTTGTTTTTCGTGTTGGGCAAAACATAATAAATTATACATATGCCAGTAAACGTGCAAAACGCAAATGCTAAAAATATACACTCGTGATGAACCAGTTCGAATAGATACGGCATTGCTTTGACAATCACAAACAATGTTCCAAACAGTACAAATGAACTCAGTGCTCCGCCAATTTCCCTCAGAACTGATGGGTAAATTTCCCCACATATCACCGTGGGCCCTGGGCCAACACCAAGTCCAAAAAACATTACATTTGCTATTATTAAAACTAAACAAACAACTGGATAATGAGTATTCTCCGGGTAGACTCTACTTAAGTACAGAAATAATGAAAAATTGCCTAATGATAAAGCTAAAGAGTAACCACTAAATATTAACACTGATCTAGTTGAGAACCGATTAAACAATATGGTACTTAAAAAATGTAGCTATGACTCTAAGAGCATTCAATACTAAATTTGAATAAAACTGCGCGTCTGCATTCTTGGTAATGGTTTTTATAATATTTGAAGTATAGAATATCACAGCACCATCACCAGAGAGTTCACTTGTGAGAAACAATAACGACGTTAGCAGAAATGGTTTGATGAATGACATCTTAAAACATTGTTTGATTTTTTGTTTGACTGAACTAATCTTGCAAATTTCCATATCTAAGATTGACAGAAATTCTGATTTCTGTGTATGTCCAGTACCTCTGAACCACGTAAAAGCCTTTTTTGCTTCGTCAACCCGATTTTTGTTCAAGAGCCAAACATATGAGTCTTTTATATATAATAAAATTGCCATATTAATTACCGGTAATACGCACACGAGCATTGCTAGTGTTCTCCAATGAACAAAAGAGCCCAGTAATTGTGTCAGCATTATTCCCAAATTGCATCCAAATGGGACACTTGTCAAACATTGGGGACGAATTTTGGGGTCGGTTATTTCGGCTAAATATACCAACATAATTGGATAAGCCAAACCTGTGTAGATCCCTGATAAGAGTCGACTGACAAACATAAGCTCGTACGTTTGGGAAAAGAATAACATTGTCCATGATATTAACGTGATGATTATTGTCAGTGCCAATGCAAAACGTCTCCCAATCCAGTTTAGTATCCAACCAGCAGTAAGAACCATTGGAAGAATGGACAATGTTGGTATTGATGCTAAACAATAATAAAGTTTTACAATATTTTTGGAGTATTTCAAAATTACGCACCGATCCATGAATATTGAGTTGTGTTAAAGGAAATTTCTGATGTTGCCAATACAGAAGAGAATGAAAATGCACTGCCAGCACACAGTGATTGGAGCATGCAAACAATTGCTAAGAGGTACTAAAATACATCCGGTTGTACAATACTGAACATTTATTAGATATGTTAGTGAATTATTTATTACCTGGCGAAACTTGTAGTGATAAGAAGCTCTGGGTATTTCTTTACATCCAATAAAAGGTTCTTCAATGTCGTGCATTGTTTATGTTTAATATTAACTCGTTAAGCTGCTTACAGCTATTAACTTATATTTGGTGCAGTAAATTCTTATATATATATTCTTTTTGCAATTTTGTCGCGGAATGTTAAAAACATTATGCAATGTGGTATAAAAATAAGGAAATATGCGGTAAAAGGTAAAAGAAAACACAGAGTTTGTAGAAGATTAATTGTTTTTTTGACTTTCATCGTTTTAAACAACAAGTTGTCAGGAATATCCTATTGCATGCGCAAGTAAATTATAACAACGCGTCATTACTTGTCTTCCAAAGTAATTAAATTCAAAGGACAAAAATATGGCAAAAAATATTGATTGCTTTAAAATAAACATTTGCTTTTATTCCAATCGATTTGTGCAGTTTATAATAAATACCAAACTTAAACAATATTTATAAATATATGAGAGGGAATGTTTAATACAAATAATCTCTTAAACTAGTATAAAATTTTGTATTATTTCTTTAAGATTCTTTAGCTGAGACTCTCCTTCCCATTGACAATTGAGAAAAAGTACTTTTACTAGGTGGAGGATTCAATTTACTGGTCAAGTATACAAAAGATTCAAATAAAGTAGACTGCTGCATAGCTGAAGCACAGAAGTGTTTGATTTTTTCAGCACTGCACCAGTTTACTGCCTTGTTTAATGTGTTGTTGTAGTCATTCATATCTATCTCAGCAGTCTTATTGCCTATCACCATGATGGTCACCTCTTTCTTGTCCTTGTTCTTATCAATATCTTGCTTTAAGTTAATCAACACCTTGAGAGATTCAAATTTATCAGTATCATAAACAAGTACATATCCATCAGCCAGTGCTAAATAATGCCTTGGCAATTGTTGACTTGTGGTGCCATTAGCAGTGCTGGTTTGTGCTTGTTCTATGCCAGCTGTGTCATAGAACCTTACTTTTTCTTTGGTGCCTCTGTCAGTTTCAATATTTGCAACATAAATATCTTCAATTGTTGGAAAGAAGACCTAGAAGATCATTGTTTTTAAGCAGTGGAATTAAGTGATTGTTGTTTTGCAATTATTTACTGTTGCAGGTGAGATATTGCCATAGATTACTTGTTCCAGTATTGTTGTTTTGCCTACGCCTTTCATGCCACAAATTACAACTTTTGCGCATTTTCCCATTTTGTTTACTATAAAGAATACAGATCAGTTTTCAGCTGAATGTTGTCGACAACACAGCAGCTGGTTGTAACATTACGTTCGTAAGTGCTTGCATGTGTAGGTAATATAGGATCATCAACAGAAACGATTTCTTCATGGTGTTGTTCTATCAACCTGTTTACTTTTAAAATTGATTGATGATTTAAACTAATTATTTCAAGTTTTTTTCAAACGATAAAATAAAAACGCAGGATATATCGATGAAAATTCATCAGGCATGAAATTTTACAACAACAAACAAAGTAAAGTACAATTCAAAGCCACTTAAGGCATCTCCAATTCTCGTACAACGGTCGGATAAATTTTCCCATAGATAATGGCGGAGATAGCCACAAACGAATTCCACACTTATACAATAGCAAATTCTTGAATTTCATGATACCCACTATTTAAATATTAAAATAATACAGAATTTCTCAGTGAAAATGCTGATATAAAACTAATTTAAAAATGAGCATGACAGTGTCGCAACATCTTGCAGAGTATATAAAGTGAAGTTTTAATAAAACTGAATTTTCTTTATCAGTTACAATTTTGATAAAAATTGGGTAAAAATAGTTGTCTGTCATTGGAAACTCCTAAACGGATAAAACATTTTTAAAAGTATTAAACATCATTTGTTATTCTCTAACAATAAAAATGGAATATAATTGGTTCCATAGATGCATTTTGCGATGTTATTTTTCAAATTCTGAATACTTTTCTCATCATATATATGCAACATCCTTTCTTGTATATGATCTTCCACCCTACTACTTCTTTACTAAACTGTGAATTGTAAACAGTGCAATTCTTGTCTAAAATAGAATGTTTCAAATTTAGACATAAGTATGGTATTGATGTAGTGATGTTGCGCTGATAATTTAAATCATGTTTATTTACTTCGCAAGTATACAAGCAGAATACTTAGATAGTGCATAATAATTTGTGTCTGGTTGGCACTTGAAAGTGAGGTTAAAGGAAACTGTGAATTAATGTGCTTTAAGTGAGTTGACTAAGTTCGCCGACTGAGTTATCGTTATTATTGCCATTATTGCTGACTAAAAAGATGCATAACAAATATTCCATTCTGTTGCCAACGTACAATGAAGTACAAAATCTACCAATAATAATATGGTTGATAATAAAATACATGGATGAAAGGTGAGTTTTATTGAGATGCAAGAAAAGCAACTTTATTACAAATGTCTTTATTTCAGTGGTTTTGATTATGAAATTATTGTCATTGATGATGGATCACCAGATGGAACCCAAGATGCAGCTCTGGCACTACAGAAGATTTATGGTGAATCTAAGATTATACTTCGCCCCAGAGAAAAGAAACTTGGTTTGGGTACAGCATACATTCATGGGATAAAACATGCAACTGGTAATTTCATTGTTATCATGGATGCTGATTTAAGTCATCATGTAAGTTTTTACTCTATTTTGTAATTAAGAATTTTCTTTATATGTCCAGCAAAACAAAAACACCATTTGAAATTTCAGCCCAAAGCTATTCCACAATTTATTGAATTACAACAAAAAAACAACTATGATCTTGTTTCTGGAACAAGATATGTGGGAGACGGTGGTGTTTATGGTTGGGACTTTAAGAGGAAGTTAGTATCCAGAGGTGCTAACTTCCTCACTCAATTATTATTGAGACCAGGTGCCAGTGACCTGACAGGTTCATTTCGTTTGTACAAAAAAGATGTTCTTCAAAAGTTGATTGATAATTGTGTATCCAAGGGGTATGTTTTTCAAATGGAGATGATTATTCGCGCCAGACAGCTTAATTATACTATTGGGGAAGTCCCAATCACATTTGTTGATAGAGTTTATGGTGAATCAAAATTGGGTGGGTCTGAGATATTTCAGTTTGCAAAGGCACTTTTATATTTGTTTGCTACTACTTAGGAATAATATTAATTGTGCATTCCAATATTATATTTGTAAAGTACACTTATCACTATAGGCTGAAATAAAATAATTTTGCTTATACAAAACAGAATTATAATGAAGTCGGCAGTGTTTGCATCAAAAAGTAGGTATATGAATGAATATCTATTACTGTAACAACATTTCTGTTAAATTTATGCTTAATATGTGTTTTTGTATTCTAGAATTTGGCCGAGTCGTCGAAGTCTAGTCGTTTCCGATTCGAAATTTTCGAGGATTACGGATAAATTACAGGTGTGTATATAAATTCTCTATTTCCTTACTTTATTTATTTCTAATTTGACTAAAAACCTGAAAGGATGTGGGACAAGACTTCTTTTACTTATATTAAGGTTCGTATAGTATTATTTATTTCCATATATTTATTGATTTTTTAATTTAAAAAGAAACAAATTAAACTGACAAACAACTGACAAATTCTCTACGTGCAGCAATTATCTTCTTATTGACAAATATATCGTAAGCGGAGCGAGCGCATTCGCTTACTTTAGGACATGTGTCCAGCATTTTACCGAGACTCATATTGATCATTACGTTGAGGTCTATCACACATCCTTGCAGTAGATTGTCATACGTGGCAACGCAGCTCTCTTCGCATTCTTTATTGCCGTTGCATCCTGGGAGGCAATCAGTATTCATTGATATACCATAAATGTACATAGCCATTAAGCCTTTGTTTTCTTGCTCGATAGCTTTGATCTGTTCCTGACAGCCTGTGGCTGCACATTCTTCCACTATTTTATTATTGGTCATGTACTCTTCAGCAGTAGAGTTTATCAAAATTTCGAAACAGTTGTCAAAGTTGCTAATTGGCTTCACATTTGAAGTGGGCAACGCAATCGAGCTCTATGTAAAACGAAATTATAGTTTTAAATTGGTATTAGTTGCAAACTTTTAACTTACTGCTATGCACAAGGTTACAGTGAACAAAATATTTGCCCTCATGATTCTAGTATTGTTTGGTTCAACTCGTCAGAAACAACTGAAATATTTTGAGTTTAACAGCGCAATATATATCTAATTGGTATTATTTAGCTTAGTAACTCATGTGATAAGGTTACTTTTTGAGTACTGTATTTTTTGAATAATTTGGTGATAAAATAAGGACTGTTACCTGTTAGCAATAGGAAATTCTGTTGTGACAAATATACTTATAAATAACGCGCCAAATATTAATCTAAAATGGACAGCATGGATTTGCATGGATAGAGTTTCTGAATTTCGTGAATTTAAATATATCATTAATATTTCTTATTAACAGAAAGATATAATTTTTGCACAATCGTGAACTAATCTTTGATTAGTTTTAGGGACCTAGTAATTACTTCACACCACGGTAGTACATACTGGTACATCATATTGTGAGTATTGACAGTTTCAATCATATTCATAAATAATATGTGTGAATATGTCTCTTGTGTATTGTTATTTTGCGGCTGTTGTGCGGTTGAAGAATTGCCACGGTTGTAACTGGGTTCACAGTTGGTGTTTCTGTATTTTGGTAGCTGCATTACAGTTTCCTACTTCATAGGTAATTAGGTTGTTGAGGCCTGCGGCACTAGGTGGCGCTAGTATCGCACCTTAATAATTATGTTATTAAACATTTCGGAATATCACAACTAGATGGCGCTCGTTCATTAATTTGAGCTGCAAAACTGTAACTACTGTTTTCTTGCCGGGATTTTAATTCTGTTTCCTTCGAATTATAGAAAAAGAATTGTTAATTGGACTATATATTGAGGCATTCTAAGGTTGAAAAGTGTCATGAAATCGTTTTCAAATTCCAGCAATTTTTGTCATTTTTGAAAACTTATGGTGGAAAACGGTCTCTATTTCGTGTTTCCTTGGCTCGATTTTAATTTTTTTTTAATCATAGAAGACGAGTTGTCGAGAAGTGGCGCAAATTTTGTTTATTTTCGATTAATAGTGGTTGTAAGATTTTCAGTTATGGTGCCGTAGAAGTTTTACCAAGTACTTTAGTAGTGTTAAAACTGGCACTGCTATGCATTTATAGTTTAGATACGATAAATATTTGTATGTACACAATTTTTTGTTGCAGTCTACGAGCGTATCGCAAGATTGATAGTGACCGCGTGTTGTTGCCGTTGGCTGTGTGCAGTGCCGTGCACATCCAGTTCCATTTCGGTCACCGAATGAATCGCGCGTGTTCATTCCGATAAATTCTGTCTCTTCAGATTATAATTAAGTGAATTTATATTCATTAAACATTCGCGGACATATCTGACATATCGATCGTGAGCTGCGGCGTGGTGCATTATCGCATTTCTTGTGATTTTAAGTCCGTACTTGAATTAGAAACGGTCAACAAAGAAAAGATTTAGAATTACCAGACAAGTGCGGCGTATAGTTATTGAGATATCGTACGTCCGGAATTGCAAAATACGGCTAAGTCGTCTAAGAATTCTTTGTGGTTTTGTTTTGTGTAGTCATTAAATTATTAATTTGAATGAGATTTCTGAACCTTTACACCCTGAATTTTAATTAGGTTTTTGTCTTATCTTATATAGAATATTTCGAATTTTTATAATGTTTAATCCTTTGGTTGCTAGCGCTTTTAATTTAGATGATATTCGTTACCGAAATTACTCAAAGAATATGATGCGGCGATATTTTTTATTATTAATTTTTTTTCTTAATTTTCAAATTTAATTATCTTATCTTATAAATGATTTTTTTAGGTTTAACGTTTTAACGAGACCTTACGGATATCTTGGACCAGGTGTGCATTCCATGTTTCTTCCAGAAGGATTCAATAGAAAATGGTAATTTCCGGTAAAGCAAGAAACATCTTCATCGATTTCAATGATTCTATCAAATTTTGACTGGCCAAGAGGTATAATTTATTTATTTTATTTTGCACGGTGTAGTATTGCAATTATAACACTGTAACACTGAAATGGAAATATGTATAAGTTTACTGACATTTTAACGTATTTTATAAAGTGGAAAGTACGCTTTACAAACAACATGTGTGTTAACTAAGCCTCAGTAGGTTGACACAATCGACACAATTATACATAAAATATAATACATAAAACATAATAAATATATAAAGTTTTACATTTGCCTTTATTAAAATAATGTTATAACTTATATAATTATTTATTTCAATTTTACAATGTGTAGTGTTACAAATATATCACTGTAGTACTGAAATGGAAATAAGTATAAGTTTACTGGCATATTAACGTGTTTTATAAAGTGTAAAATACGCTTTACAAACAACATGTGTGTTAACGAAGCCTCGGTGGGTTGACACCATGGGCACATAAAACATAATACATTAAACAACATAAAAACATAATACATAAAATATAATACATTAAACATAAATATATATAGTTTTACATTTGTTTTTATTAAATTAATGTAGTAACTCGAAGCTCAAGCTCAAAAAACTAGAAATTTAGAAATTGCATTTTAAAACTCGGATTTTTAGATTTACCTTTTTATTGGGGAATTCCATGGATTTGGACGCAGCATCAACATCTTACATTTTGTGATACACAGAGCCCAGAAGACTGGGTGAAGAAGAAGAAGAATGAACACTTTAAAACGTCGTCATAATTTTTTCTGCTTTTAATATAATTGGACAAAAAAAACAGGGCAAAGCTTGGGTATCAAATTGAATTTGGCTAAAAAAGAGAGTGCAGAACTAATGTTACAAACTTATTACACTTGCTAAAGGCAACACAAGACTATTTTATTGAGCAAATCATTAAAAATATTCTAAATGCTCCGCCAAGGTGGTAATTTATAGACAATTTGTTAAGTGATAGTTCTCATGTTGTGAAGCACTTGATAAGCTGCTTGCTATTAATTTAGTTACAAGTCACATTGTATTGCTGAAGCAATAGAAGTTGCTACATATGTTAAATGTTATTTGTCACATATGAAATTATGTTTTTAATACTATGTGAAGACATGATAACTTTGTTAAATACTTGTAAATTGTAATTTTACATAGATTGTTTTCATTCTTAAGTTAAGATTGTTGGAAGGACTAATTCTTGCTTGTTATAGGGATTTTGCACCTAAGTCTGACATCATAGAAGGACCATTCTTGCATCAGATTGTAAGTATTTAATTTCATTATCATTTTCCTAAATAACTTTTGTGATTATCTGACAAATTCACTCCCAAAATTGCATTTTTATGTTTGAAGGATTAATTTTTATTTGTTTTAGGGATAGTGCACCTGAGTCTGACATCGTAGAATGACCATTTTTGCATCGAATTGTAAGTATTTAATTTCTTTATCGTTTTCATAAATAAATTTTGTGATGATTTCACAAATTGATCTCCAAAATTGCATTTATATGTTCGAAGGACTAGTTTTTGCTTGTTTTAGGGATTTTGTACCTGATTCTGACATCGTAGAAGGGCCATTCTTTTATAAGTATTTAATTTCTTTAACGTTTTCATAACTAATTTTTGGGATTAGCTCTTGAATTAGTGACGAAAATTGCATTTTTGTGTTGCAAATGACTACTTTTTGCTTCTTTTAGGTGTTCTGCACCCGAGCCCGATATCGTAGGAGAACCATTCTTGTATCAGATTGTAAGTATTTAATTTCTTAATCATTTTCAAACATAACTTTTATGAATAACTTACGAATTAGCGAGAAAAATTTACTTTTTGTATTTCGAAGCTCTGATTTTGCTGGTTTTCGGGGTTTAGCACATGAACGCGTCATCCGCGTAATATCAGCGTTCGTTTTATTAAAAAAGAAAGAAGAATATACTGTTAAATATAATTAATAAAACATAATTTAAAATTTCAATCGCATTCACATTTCTTTGTGATATCCTTTTTATCGTTTTCAGGATAAGCGTCTTAAATATATTGCGTATGAATCTTGTGTGCGTGAAACGTGTACAACATAGCTAAGTCATGTGTTGTTGTTTTTAAAAAGTTGAATGAAGTAGAAACAAATAGAAGAATCAAATATTAATGATAAAAACACTCGGTGGTCGAGTGGAAACGTGCACCTGCTGGCATGCTAGCAGGTACGGATCGAATCTCAGGTAGAGGAGGCATTTTTCTCAAATATAAAAATATCAGGTGTAATTTGGGTTGCATATATGAATTGCAACGAAATATAAGAGAAGTTGCAATACAAGTGAAGGCAATAAGAGAAGTAAGAAAGTAAGTGGAGAAACGGAGAACAGAGAAATAAGAGAAGTAGAAGAAGGAATAGCCAGAGAAGAGTAGAAGACAGAAGGAAGAGAACAGAGAGTTAGAGAAGAGGTGGAGATAGAAGAAAGAGCAACAGGAGTGGATCAGATTTTTAAATTTTTTGGCACGTGTCGTTATAAGACAGTCTACGGTCGATCTCCCAGAGCGCCTCCGGCGCTCTGGTCGATCGCCCACTGCTTCGGTCCTTCCATTGCTCCCGGCCCATCCTACAGCTACGATGTCTCTGCGCTTCATCCCCGAAATTATCAGGCATATCAACAATTTTTATGGTGGGGGATTACCCCCAGAGAGAGGGAACTCCTTATAAGGACAATCCTTATAAGGTCTTGTTCAAATATTTCTAAGTTTTAAGTCGCCTCAAGTGAGGTGACACTTAAAAATATTCTTACAAGTTCTGACCTGTAGCTGAAATGAAAGATGGAGCACACAAATCACACAGGATACCTTAACAATTTTTATAGTGGGGATCATCCCCTGAGAGAGGGAACTTTCTTAGAGACCTGTGCCTGTAATGATAGAAGGGGTACGCACAAATCAAAGAAGTAAATATATCTTACTATTTCTTTATTAACAATAGAATACACGTTTAGATTTTACATGTCAACAAAATACATGTCGCCATATTGAAACAGGACTTACAACCTGCTAAGCCTCGCACATATAAGCAAGTAGCACTTTGTACAGTTCTACCGGAATAATGAAATTAGCAAATATTATTAAAATGAAAATAAATATACAGGGTGTTACAAAGAGAAAATTTAAGGGGCAAAGAAAAAACTCAACACTAGAAACGCCGCTCGTTTTCACTCGACGATCAGAGAAACTAATATACAGGGTGTTCCAGAAAGAAAATTTAAAATGCAAACGGGAAAATCCTAAAACAACAGCAAAAGCAAAATTTTTACGGACACAAAAGAAAATATATATACAGGGTGTCCTAGAAAGAAAATTCTATGTTAAAAACAGTGAACACTCAAAACGCACAACTAAAGGTGATTTTCCACGTGCTATTAGGAAAACTAATATACAGGGTGTTACAAAAATAAATTTTTAGAAACTACAAAGGGAGTTAATAATCACAATATGCAGAGCGAACTTGACAAATTAACAATAATACTTTAATAAAAAAATCAGAGAAAAACATAGGAAAATTGCAAAAGGGTGCTACAAAAATAAAACACTTACATTTGAATATATTGTGAATAAATATTTATTAATTGATGGTAGCATCAACTGTATAAAGAGAATATCCGGCGGAAAACATTTAAATCAACAGAAGGCAAGCGACGGCGCCTTGCAACACAGTGGTTAAAAACGATAAAAATAACAATTTCTTTGTAAATAATAAAATATACTGAGACTGCGAAGAGATTTTCTATCCTTAAATATATTCTATCAACTGAAAACTCGTGCAGAGATTAACGGACACTTATTTCTCACTTAAGAAGATTCTAACCGCCATAAATCATTAAACAAAACACACACACATGACCGTCCCGAATATTTAGCTGATGGCCGAAAGAATACACAACGATTAATCAAATTAAAACCTCAAAACGCATGGCGACTAGAGAGACACGTTTGCGGATCACGCGGTAAAACGACTGCCGTGTACGCCACGCGTTCAAGGCAGGTACGCAGCGATAACACGCGTCACTCTAACAAAAAAGTTGTTTATACACAAACGTACTAATAAACACGTAGTTGAGAATACTAAACTAAAATTTACAATACTGAAATAGCACATATACACGAAATCTACTGTTACTTTCAATATTTATCGGCTTAAGAAAATTCATAGCGCAACGAGTACAAGTGCGTATACACACAACTATCCTTATAACTCGCGTTACGGAATTTTCTCGCAATAAATTTCGATATAGGGATATAAAGAATTAAATTCCGCATCTAGGAAAATTATTTCGAACTAAGTTGAAGACCGCGTTCGCGAGTTATAATAAAAAAAAACTACAATTCCTAGCGCAACGAGTACAAGTGCGTATACACACAACTATCATTATAACTCGCGTTACGGAATCAATAAACTTTAGAACAGAGAGAAACAAAATTAAATTCTGCATCTGGGAAAATCATTCCGAACTTATTGTGATACCGCGTTCACGTGTTATTCTAAAAAAACTACAATTCCTAGCGCAACGAGTACTACGGCGCACACACACAACTTTTAATATAGCTCGCGTTACGGAATTTTTTAGATATAATTTTTCATACAAGGAAATACAGAATTAAATTCTGCATCTGGGAAAATTATTTCGAACTTATTGTGACATCGCGTTCGTGTGTTGTACTAACAAAAACTACAATTCCTAGCGCATCGAGGACTACAGCGCACACACACATCTTCAATATAACTCACATTACGGAATACGGTGCCCTGAACACGAGTCACGAGTCACCCTCATACGGTGCCCTGATTCCTAGCGCAACGAGTATTACGGCGCACACACACAACTTTCAACATAACTCGCGTTACGGAATTTTCGTTAGACGCAAACGCGGTCTTACTGTAAGTTCGAATAATTTCCTTAGATACGGAATTTAATTCTGTATCTCCCTGTCTCGAAATTTTTGCTAGAAAATGTGTGTGTTTACGCACTTGTACTCGTTGCGCATGGCGCGGTTGGGCGACCGCCCAGGGGCGCCAGACTTTAAGGGCGCCGACTCGCACATGGCCGGTTTTTCGTATGGGTTTGAATTGCAGTTAGGGGCGCCGTAGAAATCTCGCCCAGGGCGCTGGTAGCTCTAAAACCGGCACTGATTATCGAAATAAATAAAAGGATGATGCCGGGCGGCGTACAGGTAAAAACAGACTGAAATGGTAAAACGTTCGTAGCATGAACGCAACATTGCGCGTGTTTATCGCGATACAAAATGTTGTTTATACACAAACCCCGATATGCACGTAAAATTGAAATCGAAACATTTTTGATGTGCACTAAAATAAAATATAATATAATGTTTCACATTCAGTTATAAACTTCGACGCAACTTTACAAAGAGGATAAAAACTATTAAGATACAAACTGAACCAACAGATTCCGAGATACAGCCAGTTTATAATAAAAAAAAAGAGAATTTATCAAAAAGATGACACACTTTTAAATATAAATATTTATTAGAATTTATTCATTTAATATTTGTAACAGTGCCAGTTGAAGTACGAAGTAAAACGCGCCCGACGGATCTTTATAAGTACCTATGCACGAAGTCACGGTTTACCATACTTGAAAGTTATCAATAAATACATCGTCAATTGTTGATACAATACGAATAGATTTAGCAAATTAGTGATAGATAATTATCGCGACCGTATCATGCTTTGTTGGAGAAAGCCTGTAATACAACTCGTGTTGGAGCCGACAATTCTCCGATTAATTTTACTTACATGGTAGCTCTTACCTTTGCTAATTGAAGTTTGCCATCAAACGTCTCCACCAAAAAAAGTCAAAATCCGAAATTGAATATAGATTTAAGAGCACTGCTTAAGCCTTGAAGGTGTGGCAATCCATGTGTGGTTATCCATGATTACTTCACTCAAGAAACAACATTTACACTCTACACTTGTTATCACAAAATTCTAAATTATTATTGCAAGCACCGTCGCGAGGCGAGAGACGTACGCCTGACTAAGCCGACGGTAATACTGAACTGTAGATCTGTGCGTTGAAGACAGTGACCACGTTTTACGCGGAAATCAGCAACACCTGACTACGTTGCGCTATTGCACTGCACGTTGAACGCAAAATAACAAGTTTGAACATGTTCGTATAAACACAAAAACACATGAAAAAGCAAATAGCCGATCTTGTTTCCGTCCGAATTAATTTTAGTAATAAGTAATATATATATATATATATATATATATATATATATATATATAACACTTTGTTTTGAATGACATTAATAAAATGGTTTTATTTATTTGTTAGTACAAAATATGTGGAATACAATTAATTATTTCAATAGTAAAAAGATACATTAAGTTTTGGTGCAGATTGTGATTCAGCTGTGCAGAGTATGTATACAATAAATATAATCAAACAACATACAACCAGAGTCAATCTTAATACATATTCACAATCGAGTATTTTTATTGAATTGGTTTGGTTCACAGTACGTCTGTATCATTTTGATGACAACGTATGTCGCTCAATTTGATGCGCAATCCTCTATTCGACTTCAGTGGTACATCATGTCTGTAATTACAATTATATCGTATAATACTGTCGAATTCTGATATAAAACAGTAGGTACAAAAGTCACACACTCCACAAATATCAATATTATCAATTTCTTTATCTTCCATATCGTGTAATTTTATAAATATTCATATTTGGTTTTATCCTCAATTTGTATTTGTGTTTTGTTTAGTTTTCTGTTTTGAGGGAGCTCAGAATACGATTTAGTTTATAAGTAATGCACAATAGAATAACAATCGTACAATCAGATGAAGGTCGTAAGTTTAAAAGTGCATTCATTTTCGACATATGTTGGTATTACTTATAAATACGAAAATATATTCATGTATTCTCCACCAAAGACTTAAAGAACTAATCAACATTAAACTATAAATAAAATTGTCAACAACATGTAACGACATCTCTAAATTGAAAATATGTGCAAATAATCTGTTTGTTTTTGTGTTATTAATATAAAAACATTTACATAGAAGTAATTTTAATTAAATGCATTTAAGTGAATAAAAATACATTTTGCTCAAGTATCAAATATAGTATTTAATAAATAAATGCAGATGTTATTGAAATTATTTATCATTCTATAACATTCGCTCACAGTCCAATTTGTTTTGTTTTCTGCCAATCTGCTAATATGTTTGCCATTATAAATTACACACTGTATTATTGTAAACATTATCATATTTTAAATCCACAATATCCATGAAGTTTAATGTATATGTAATGTTTTTTTTTGTTTAATTAAATATATTTTTAGTGCTTTACACAGTTTTTGTCTTTATCAGCGCCACAAACAATTTTTACATCTTTCAATTTGAAATCTAATTCAGAGCACAAAACTAAATAACAAATTTCGATAAGTTTGCATTGTGCTCTTTTATAATAAATAAATTTTTAAAATGTACTCCATATTAGATTTCAACATTTCTTGTCCTTATCATCTTAAATTTCTATTTTTGCCACAGTTACTTTAAATTCTTCATTCTTAATTCCTTATTGTTGTTTACCATCATAACATATTTTTGCCTCAATTATCTCTATCACTATCAATTTTTAAACTCCTCCCCTTAACATTCGTTAAATTTTCTGCCCATTCCTTCTCAACATTTCTTTCAGCTTGAAACCAAATGTGTAAATAAATACCCCTCGTACATTTGTTTACGTTTCTGAACACATCAAATTGACATTTTATATTAATAATCGTGTTTGTTCTTGTTTTGTCACGCCAATATTTACCTACCTACACTTGCATTAAAATGAAAATAATAAACGCTCAAGTGAAATAAATCATTTCATTTCATACGTTTTCCAATTGTATTATTTACTTGATTACGTTCATTACGTTGGTAAATAAAAATTGTGGAGGGCAATAGGTTAGTAACAAGTTACTTATGAGTTCTTGCTCGTTTGGATCGTGGTGTCTTTCTATCAACAAGGCGTTTTGTTCAGTTGATCGGTATGAAGATTAAATTGAAACAATACGTGTCATTCCATTGGATGGGCGTTCGAAAATCGTCCCACAAAATTAATAAGACCGCTTAAAAGCACTTTATCACGTATTCAAATATGAAATTTACATGTTTCACAAGTTTTTTTCATTGTATGGTGCATTTCTTATGGTGAGTTTTTACAATATTATACAAAGAAATCATAGAAAACCATAACTAAAACGAAAATAAAGTAAAAACTCAACCAAGATGCATCAAAATCCAATCACACAAACATGGATAATTGTGAAATGGATTTGGAGGTGTACTTAATATTAAACAACACGGTCTTATTATGATCGATTTTCGTAACGCCCCGCGTAAAAGATTAATCGTTACAAAGTGTTACTTCGATAATTTAAGTATAATGCATGTTTATATTAATAGTAATGCCCCTATCCGTATAACAGTGGATGCGTACATCGTTAGCAATAATTCTCGCATAAATCTAGATTATAATCATCGCAATCATCGTAAAAATGTCCCAAGTATCAATTGTGTCCGGATATCAACGTTCATCACCTTCAGGATACAATCATCATCACACAAATGTGTATAATAGTGTTAAATACTATTTTAGCGACGTATCCAGAAACCTTTCTATAAATAGTCAAAGGTTTTCGGTAATTGTTATCGTAATCGTATTTTAATTTCTAATCGTCATCGTAACCATACCTAAAGTAGGTTTCCAATTGTTGTGTTTATCTTTAGATTTACAAGTTTAATTAGGTTTAACTTTTGCTCATTCGCAGTTAGTCAAACGTTGTCATAACATATTTGGTTTTGTATGTGGAAAATTTAATAAGTAAGTTGTATGTTATATAAAAGCTCGTCTTTTGTGACAATTAACAGCTCAATTTATTTGCCAAGATAAGAAAATAGTTAGGATAAGTTACGTTGAGTAAGATTAGTATAATGTTAAGAATTATTACATTGGAGTGTGTAAAAGTTCAGGGTGGCCGAATGTGGTTTAATGGTCGTAGGTGTTTGCATGACTAAATTACGCATCGACTATTTCAGAATATTATATACTTTGTAAATATTTTGGTAGCCTACGTATTTCCTTCTTCTTGGTTATTGTTACTGTTTACTTCAGTTATTCATAGGATTACAAAGTTGTATCTTACAGATAATTTGTGCTTGGTACATTATTTTTCTCCTTACTTCACGTTTAAAATGTTTTCGTTAATGTTCAATCATACAACAGAATTTTAATTTTCCTTCCACGAAGAGATAATGGGGTTTTCATTTATTTACTGATTTACGATTATCATGATGTTTGGAATGTTATTAGTCGTATTATATTCGTTTGTTAATTGTTTTAATATTAAAATGATTAGTTGAGCTTTGATTAGAACAATAGTGTTGATGTAGGTAATTTAATAAAAGAATTCATCTGATGAATATTTGGTGCAAAATAACCTTGTAAAACCAGTATTGATAGACGTTGGAAATGCTTGTTTGTGTATGCGCTGCTAGATGTTTTCGTATGTTGTTTTCGTTCAGTTGATTTTATTTGCATATTTAGTTAATGGTGCTCCATCTAACGATAAGTTATTGAAGTTCAGCGCCTAACTAATAAACACCGTAGTTCTAGGTATATTAACGCCTTCCTTGAAGTACTAGACAAAATATTTAATTAATAAGGCAAATGTTAGTTGTCCTCTTTTATGTTTCACATCCATTCAGCATTTTACTTCCGTATTTTTAATAGGTCCGTCAAAAGCTAAAATTCTGAATCATCATCATCATTCACATGCACACAATCCGTTTATCAATGCGAATGTGTTTGTGTAATTAGTTTTAAAACGTTATATTTGCTTTGTGTATTTGTTTGCGTAATATATCAACATTCTGTTCAGTCTTCGACAGGCGCATGTTTGCATTTTTTTGGTTTTGGTATTCGCAAAAGTAGTAATAGGTATAGGTAATAAGATATATAGTTAAAGTTCAAATTGGTGGTTGTTGTTAGTTGCTTCAAAACATCGCAGCGTCGCACTCACCTTCGTTGGTTTCGATAATCCAGTCGTCATGGTTCAATACAAAGAAGTCGCGACGCTCGTTGGTAGCAGGTAAATGATATGTCAAGCGGGTGGGCTATGACCGCACCAGGACGTGCCACCGGCAAATCTGCTCCTGCTGGAACTCCTTCATGTCCATCCAGTGTGCCAACTCCTCGGCACCGCTCGAATTCAATCCGAGACTAAACCAACCAACCATCTCCTTCTTTTTGGTCACGCCCCGCCGATTGTAGATGGAGACCATTAGTGTCACGTCCGCCAGTTGGAACAGTGCCACCTAGGTTCGAAATTGGATGGTTATTTAGAGATTTGTAAGCAAAACAACCAAAAATCACCAATAAGGACAAGAGAAATAAGCCATAAATATTGGACATTTTCTATAGGAACATTAGCAGTGGTTTTGAAATTTGGAAGAATGTCAAGAATACATAAAAAGTGTATTTATAGTGCACTTACTTGAAAAACAAAGGTCTCCTTGAACAATGGATTGGGTTGCCCTCTTCTCACTGTTGTTTTGCTCTGCGCCAATTCTTGCCCAGTGCTACTCACCAGATGGAGTTTCACGTAGGTATCCGGTGCACGATTCAATGCTAAGTTTCTGCAACCCAATAAGCAAGTATACATCAATTTCAAGATGAGAAAAGTTGATTGTTGAAGGTGTTTACAGAGAACACAATAATAAAAGTTTGAGAGTCTAATGTCACTTGCAAAGTATGGTGTTACCTGAAATGCGATCCTTTTACGACCTCGACGCTGAGACGTCCCGTGGTTGCGTTATAGCACAGTCCCAGGAGAAGTTCGGGAACACCGCCATGTTGCATGGAATGCGTAGATCCGGTGCTATCCGATCGGGCCAAACTCATGAGCTCCGCCGTGCAACCACTGCTCAACTGAATATCCCAACAAATAAATCAATACCCAACTAATAAAACTAAAAAAAAAAAGATGGAAACTTACTGTAGTATTTGCACGGGGTTCCAAATTAAGCCAGAAATTATTCTCCAACTCCAAATTGATGTTGGCGAAACTGACTATGGCTTCACCGATGAGACGTTCTCTCTTCATGCGCTCGCAGCCGTACAACCGAAGACGCACTCCCATTGAGTTGACGTCCTCTGCAAAACCACCAGCCTATTACGTACAATGGCGCAGCATAATAAAAGCATACATGCACGACATACACAAGCAGGCCCCAAACAAACAAACTTATAACTCGCTCAAACCAAACCGCAATGGAGCGGAATGAATGGAATATTCAGAAAAGCGAAATTGTAATTCTCAGAAATGGATGTTCATAACGCAGTAATGAAATTAAATCAAAAACCGTTTGTTGCTCATTTTAATAAGTCGTGCTTCAAAAAACAAGCACGAATTAATGGAATTAAATATAGAAATTCATAAATATAGAAACAGTATTTCAGTGCACGCACCTGGATTTACACGATGAAGCAGGAAACTTTCCATATACTGCGGATTATCGCCGGAGCGGATTTTCGTTTTGTGCTTCTGCTTCTTACTGGGCAGCAGTATCAACCGCACCTGCAGGAATAAATCAGGCACATAAAATATTACGAGCGTCATAGTTTTCGGCATACGCTGCAACATTTTTCCACATTTCGAATATATTTATTTCCGCCGCAAAAACGTACAACATCAAATAGCACGATTATAGGCGTGCGTGTATATTCATATAATCTAGTAGAAGGTGAAAATGTAGCCAACGTTGGTTGCTTTTATTGCTCGTTCACGACGTACACATTTTTCATTTTCATTTGCGCAAGACATGCGAGCGGCGTGAATTTTATCGGCGCAAAAAATCCACGACGGATTCCTTGGAGGCTTTGCCCGCAGAATAGCGTTTAATGAATTATTTATTAAAGCCGTGGCGCGTTTAAAAGAGCAATCGATTTTCAGTTTAACGTTTCGTGGCAATTTTTACATCCCCGGAGTATTATATTATAATAAAAAAATAGTATATCAAGTTAATATTATTAATTGAAACAGGGAAAGATTTTTGTTTATCAGATTTTCCGTATCATGCAAAAGCTTTTATTAAAATAGAAAAAGCAAAAAGCTATTATTCAAGAGTTTTTAGATTTATGTTTGTGAGAGGTTCACAAATTGATAAATTTTATCGGAGCTAATATTTTATAACCCAGCGTGGTTTTTTTCAAAATATTGTTGCTACGGTTGCCAATTGGCACTTTACAAAGTGGGCGATAAAATTTCTCCCAATACTCATATACCGCATAATTTGGCTTTGAAACAACCTATCTATTCCCAAATGACATGACCTTTGTGAAAATTCAAGTTTAAAAACACCGCAGCAGCCATTTTTAGGCTTCTTGCAATTTGAACAAGAAGCAAACACTTGAATTCCGTGTAAAACCCGTAATTAATATGTTGTTTACTCGCCGCAACGCGCAAACTTGTTAATTAAATTGTGTACAAAGTTACCTCCGCAAAACAAAAACATCAAACAATAGAGGATGTCGAGTACTTGACTTTGCAGCAGCCAACCTCACACGTGCGAGTTAATAAGCTCATATGAGATGTGAGCCACAAATAGACTAGTTAGTCTGGAATTATGATCATACGAAAGCGTCAAAGCGGCCAGCTTACCTGCGTGTGTGTGGGTTGACCGCGATCCCGGCTGGGGATGTCGCGCGCCTGCAATACATGTACGGTCATCTTACGCATGGGCGCGTCGTACAGCAGCGCGATCTCCAGATGCCCGCATTTACTCAGCAGTTGTGCCTCCGGTTCTGACCCCACACAGGACACCAACTCGCTGCCCTCGCCCTCACCCATGACCACAATGCACTGCGGACAATACAAATTACATTGTAATAACAAATGTTTAATTAATGGTAAGTAATGGATATTGGGAAACATTCGAATGTGGTAATAAACTATTCCGATGCTTACATCTCTGTTGCTATTGATGTCGGTAGCGTGGTGGTCCATACTGACCGGGGCATTGTCTATTCTGTGCAAGTCCTGATTGTCGATTTTCGTTTCCCGCAATGTACCAGTTGGTGTTCTATAAATTACATAAATAAACTATTATAAACCATTTTCTAAGTAGAATTTTCTTAGAACAGAAGGTAATTCTACTTCTTGTTAATACATTTTTTGTAAATCCTTAGAAAAGCCAGCTTCTGAAGGTAATTAGCAAACTTTCTTACTAAACAAACTTCAGAAACTCATTATCTCTCAGTTGTGGTTCATTTAATCGCAATTGTTTTTGCCCTTTGTCTGTTTAGCTCAATTGTGAAGATATTTAATTAATCTTTTTATACCTCTGTAATTGCATCGCGTTGACCTGCGCACTGGTGACTTTCGTCGCTGGGACGCCATGACGCTCTCCGACTGAACTCGTCGTTGAACTGCAGCAGGAGCTGTTGCTGCTCACACCAACACGACCCTTTTCCACCAGCGATATCAGGTCGTGTACCTGTCGTGGCGGATAGTATGGTCCTGTGGCACCTGAAGGCATTTGATAATTGCCTCGAGGTCCACCCATTTCCGATTCACTGCTCGAGTCACCTCCATCGAAAGAATATTCTTTAACTACAAATCAAAACATTATGTAAACCTAGCTTTCAATAATAGATATACAAATCAATAAGTATAATAAATTTCGAATTTCCATCACCCACTTATCGCAGATGCAATAAATTAACACACATCATCGAAACGACCATCAAACAGAAAATAAAATGACACTTACTTGGAGCGAAGTAGGGACCATAAAACATTAAAACAGTCAAAGGAAAGCGCCGAATCGAACAGCCCTTGCGTGTGCGTGGCAATTAAATTACGGACAGAGATCGCAAATGGTGGCACTTAGAATTAATTACGAATGCGCGCGTATTTTAGTCAAATTTCGCACAAAGCAAAGTGTTTCAACCACAATGCGTGCAGGTAGATGGCGAGCTAACGACTGGTGACACACACGTCGAGGATAGGATTATTTTCAGATACCAAACGGTCGAACTGGCCTCCAGTAAGTAATTTTCAATCAATATCTCAAAGTACGACGCACACAGCATACAGTGTCGAATATATTGAATGTTTACTTTACAAATTAAACTCGAAATTGATAATAAACAAAAACAATTAACTAAATAAAAGCCTAAATTGTTTTTAAAATACAATAAAAATATATCAATTGTTAATTGATTTTCAAATTTAACCCAATTTAGATTTAAAATTGTTGTTAACACCCTGTATATAAGTCAACATGAAAGAATCAATCAATAAAATAATCGGACAACGACTAAATTTTTTATACTGCCCGTCTGGCAGTCTGAAATAGTATCGAAAAGGTCGAAACTTTTTTCAACTGCAATCGAATAGAAGTAGATTGCGTCTAGATACGTTGTAATTAGCATTTTTAATCGAATTAACAACCACTCATGAATGAAACATGCGGAGACAGCTATTGAATTATGGTTTATCGGCAATAGATGGAAATTCGAAACTTGGAAGTAATTACCATGCACGTACCTAATTTGCTCGTGGGCTTGCCGACGTTGGGACTGGTGACAGTGCCGCCGCCATTGAGCGCTCCGTGCGGAAGTTGACTCGAAGGCACTGTGGGGGATGGCACCGGGCGCGTGGACACTGGCGGGCAATTTTCGTCGCAGCAGCTTATCGCGCCCACGCCACCCCACAGCCATTTTTTGTTTATATACAAGAGAAAGACTAACAATAGCACGCCGAGGCCAGCGATTGCACCCAATACTCTCCCGCCATCTGGACCTGTAACAATAGGAGATAAAAATTCAATTTTTTAGTTGTGAAATGTTGAAAATAATTATTGCTTGCTAATAAAATTTTTATTTTGTCATAAAGATAAGTCCATCTTAAAACTTTATAGCGTATTCGCATGATTGGCTTACTCGTATAATATAACGCCCTGTTGCCTATTGAATTAACGCGCAATTTCGTTGGATCTCATTTGCCATTTCGGAAAGCGATCCGCTCGCATCAATTCATCCGTTTAATTACAAATCTCTTATTCGTAATTGAATGACGAAACTTTCGGGGAACGCTTCGCAAAGGGGATTTGAAACAAAATCGTCTCCGATCCAGCCATCAAGGACGTAATTTCCTCTTGGGTTGCTCTCCGCATTCTTCCTTGCGTCGATTATTATTACAGGACGACCTTGCCCGATTACCTTTCACCCTCTGTTTCGTACTATAGAAACATCATACCCACCAATCGATTATGTTTACATTTTCGCATTTATATTTTTGTATTTTTATTTTCCATTGATATGTGACGATTATTGTTTATATTTTATAGCGCATGGTAACGCGCCTACGGTTTGTCCTTGCTTCCGCATTGTCGCTTCCAGCAGCGCCGGAACACGGCAGAGAGGCAAAAAAGGGATAAAAACAGGAACGCGTGCGCTAATGGCGTGTAAACGCGGGCACGCTACAATCGGGAAATCTAGGTGGATGCGTGGGAGCAACCACTTGTTGTCGATTGTTATTGTTGGCACTAAAACCCGACGCCAAAACGCAGTTAAAACGTCTGGTTATCTTTGCATACAAAAAATATCATGCTTTGCACACAATACTTTTTAATAAAACATTAAATGCGTATATATTTTATAGGCAATAAATCGATATCGCAATAAAATGTATTTTGATTGTACCTGCAATAAAGTGATATTGCATTTTGTGTTAACTTTTCATTGTATTTTGTTATTTAAAAATGTTTTTTGTGAGCACATAGATGCAGTAAAGCTATTTAAACAAGCTTTTTATATAAAATTCTAAAAATATTCAATATGTAACATGTCAAACCATAAATGAAATGCACTAAAACTATAAATAATGCAATTTAAAATTAATTTGCTCTTTTCATCAACAACCCAAGACAAACACGTATTCAAACATCATTTTAATTCTTTGAAGTCATGTTATGAGTAAAACATTTCCCACATGAACTCTGACATTACCAAATTTACCATTTTCCCGCAGCTACCGAGTTAGTTAACCCGTTGTGTTAAATTTTATGAATAGATTCATTTTGTGCCTATGTAAATAGCGGTTTAGCGGATTGTATTAGTGGCGCATTGCAACGGCATAATTTCCTAGCCGGTGGCGGCGAGTTAATAAAGTAATTGCATTGGCCGCGGCCGCCCCTGGATAAGCAAACGGGCGCATTGCGTGCTGGATGGCATTAAATTTCTTAAAACGCCCGACTATTGGAATCACTGAAGGAGCGCAGAGCAAGCAAAATGAATGCGCCATTCGGCTGCAAACTGCATTGAGTCCAGTTGGGCATAGATATACACGGGATAAGCTTTTAATTTCATTAAAGTTGAATATTCATTTTGCATAACTTGAATTTGCATTTTGCTGGTGGCATTTGTTTTCACACGTCGGGTTAGAATATTTTAACTTTTTGTTCAAATATAAAAGTTATCACATTTACCTAGAAAAATGTATTGTCACATTTTATTATAAAATTTTAAAAACGCAATTTTTAAAATTTTTGGAAGTTGGAAGCATAATTTGTTGCCTGCATAAATAAAAACATACTTTACGAGATTGTGTTGTAAATCACTTCATCTTAAATCAAAAGTTATTCACATCTTTTGTTGTTTGCGCAAATCGTGCGCGTGCAATACAAAAAAAAAACTCGCTGGAAATTTATAATTTTATTCGTAAATAAAGTTGCGTCGCGTTCGGAGAAATATGAGATTATGACCCGAGTGAACGTGCTTGCCATTCGTCGCTCGCTTCAACTTTCCGTCAAACTTTTAGCTTGCTTATTCAAAGATTATCGGGCTTTGTGCAATCAGCGTAAACCTCATAGCCCTGGGACTCATGCTATTATTGCACCAATTCATAATTACTATAAAGTTTGTGCATAAAAATTGGAATTTCAGCTTGTTTACTTTCTGAAAATTATGACCACAAAATTATTTTTCTGCTGTACATTGAATGAAAATATTAGATTCAAGGTTCTGCCGCAGGTTGTTATTTATTTTCATTGTAGAAGCCAAAGTTCAAGGAAAAATCATTTCGCTGAAAATTTGTTTTAATTTTTAACATAAAAATTAAATAAAATATAAAAACACCTTGTATTTAAGAAAGAAAAAATTCTATATAGTAATAAAAATAAAATTATCTTCCTTCCACACAACGCAGGAAAGCCATCATACGAAAATAAAATTCTTCGAAGATTTTCCCTTGCACAGGATATAACCATTGATGCGCACGAGCGAAGCACGTGAAAATTGCCGCCATCAAGTTTATAAATAGCCCGCATATCCTTCGACTATACGTGCATCCGCGTTCGCGAATAGTGCAGTCCCCAGTCCACCGCCCCTCGATGCAGGATGCACACGCAGCGTCGGCTGTTCAATGAACCAGCCGCCCCGCGCCGCCCAAAATCCGGAGCACGAGTCAAGGCGACCGGCAGCAGCCTGGAGATCGATAGGCAGAGCCTGCGCGAGTTCGGGTGGGGGTAGGAAAGATCCATTTTGCGTGGGCGGCCGTCTCGTGGCGCGCGCGTGTGAATCGCGGGACCGCGTGCGGCGTACGGCGGCGGCGGTGGCGGCGGCTCCAGCAAGTGGTCGCTTCCGACGCGTATGGGGCGCATCTGCACATGTAACGAAACACCAGGGCGGCGAGAATGCCTGAAATAGCGGCAGGCACATGGCGATTTACACGTTTATTGCTGACGTTATTCGAGAGCATAGTTTCACGTTTCCGTGCACGTTTTTTTCGTCCTGCTGGGGACATATTATTAACGTCTAAATTCTAGATATTAAAATCTACAAAATACGATGGTTGCTTTTATAACCGACAAATGGAGCTACAAAATGACTGCGTTAGCAGATTTTTAACCTCAATTTTTCATAAAATTATTAAAAACTTAAGAAATTATCATTTAAAAAGGTCAAAAATTGTATTCTTTACAAATTTTTCTTCATATTTTTATAGTAAACAAATACCTAAAGCTATTTCTTCAAATATCTTTGCATGACGTACATATTGACCTACTACATTTTCATAAATAACTTCAACTTTTATCATTCTATCATTAAACTTGCCTTCATTAGTTTTTTATACAACAAACGTCATTCCCCAGCTATAACTATTAAGTATATCGACATTTATCTATTATCCTAAGATGTTCGAACAAATGTAACTAGATAATATCATCAGACGCCAGACTAATAACTTGAACATGCACACAATCGTGAGTTGTACATGCTATCGATTTTCCATTAACTAGCACGCTGCAGTCTGCAATTTAATTAACACAATTAACACAATTTATCTGCCCCGAACGATAATACCTCAATGTCATGGCGTTAGTGCATTCTGTGAAATGGAACCCATCCGAGCCTTATATAAGCACTATCGGTAATAATACTCACATCAAACACACCTTTGCTAATTTATTTGTGGGCTTTTATGGTAGAATAATTAAAAAACATATTTGCTTTGCAATTAGCGCACAATTTCCAATATTACTCATTTTATTTTATGATTTGTACATATGGGAGATAATTATATGTTTTTTGTGGTTTTTCGTAAAACGGGCCTCTTAGTAGGCGTTGTTTCTGTTTGCTCAACACTGGCATCGACGTCGCGATAAAAACTTAAGCAAACTTGAGTGTTTATCGAAAAAGTGGGAACATAATTCATGCTCAGTGGGGATTTATGCTAATTCGCAGCATATGTGATTTCATTATGCAATCAAAACATTGTCACACATTCGTACATGAAAGTACTAAGTGAGTGTGAGTCACCGAGAGTATAAATAGTTCAGCATTGCTTCATAATAGGGTCATAACGTTGCTATCAGTTGTAACAGCAAGTATGTATCAAAAATTAATCATTATAAGTAAATACAACTTTTGAAATTAAATTTTAACTAATGTCTACCTACAAGTGCGGTTATATTACTTTTAATACTTATTTTTATTTTTAGGTTAAGTGAAATCAACGTAAAAATGAAGGTACTGATTTTATTCGCTGTGGTTGTGTGTTACGTGAGTGCAGTGGAATATACACTGGAAAACTGTCAATGTCACAGTCACTATGAAGCCCAAAAAGACTCGAATGGCAAGGTACAATGCGTAGGCAAGATGCTGTCACATATTATGCCGTGCAACATCCCGGAAGCACCGCGATGCATTTGTACCCAGCATCCGGTAACTGGTATCACCACCGACAGTGAAGGTACTTGGTGTACTCAGTCGGCGAAGGGTGTCACGCAGCAGAAATGGCCGTGTGAGAATACGGAAGAATGGGCAGCGTACAAGGTCAAGCTCGATGAATACAAGAAAACGCTCAAGGAATAATAATAAAATATATAAATATACAAATATGTTGCTGATGCGATGATTAAATAAAGATTATTTTGGGTTATTCTTAAAATATGTTATTCATGGTTGCACCTTTGGTAAATTATTATAATGTAGGCAACCAGTTTTGACTTTTAATTGAGTTGAATGTACTGAAGGAAGTATAATGAAGTTAATTGAGAATAACTGTTTAATTTTGTGTTTTGACAACTGGACCATACAAAATAAATTGTGATTTGAATTCAATACAAACTTAATTTAAATTGCTAAGAAAGTTGGTTTTAAATTCTATTAACTTAAGTTTTCATTCAAATTTAAATATGTACATCTCCAAATAAAAAAATAATTGCGGAATAGTCTACGATTTAAGATACTATTTAACTAGCACGCTGCAGTCTGCAATCTAATTAACACAATTAACACAATTTATCTGCCCCGAACGATAATACCTCAATGTCATGGCGTTAGTGCATTCTGTGAAATGGAACCCATCCGAGCCTTATATAAGCACTATCGGTAATAATACTCACATCAAACACACCTTTGCTAATTTATTTGTGGGCTTTTATGGTAGAATAATTAAAAAACATATTTTCTTTGCAATTAGCGCACAATTTCCAATATTACTCATTTTATTTTATGATTTTTTTGTGGTTTTTCGTAAAACTTGAGTGTTTATCGAAAAAGTGGGAACATAATTCATGCTCAGTGGGGATTTATGCTAATTCGCAGCATATGTGATTTCATTTTGCAATTAAAACATTGTCACACATTCGTACATGAAACTACTAAGTGAGTGTGAGTTACAGAGAGTATAAATAGTTCAGCATTGCTTCATAATAGGGTCATAACGTTGCTATCAGTTGTAACAGCAAGTATGTATCAAAAATTAATCATTATAAGTAAATACAACTTTTGAAATTAAATTTTAACACGTTAAGGACGGCGTGTACCACCGGTGGTACACACGCGTCTGGTCTGTGGGACGGCGTGTACCACCGGTGGTACACGGCTCATTTGAAAAGAGACTTATTCATTTTTGACTACACCACTGGTTAGGTTATATCTTCTCCTCGTTTCACCTATACAATCAGGGCCTTGCATCTTTGTCATCAAATGTGTCACTCAGATTACATATTATAATAAATAGTGACCGACAAAAGTTTCAGTTTTGGCTTCAAATTTGGTTTCGGCCAAAATTGGCTGAAACTTTTGGCAGAACCGAAACTCAGTGTTCGTGAATTATCGTGCGTCGTTCGGCTAACTCGCGGCTAAGTCACTTGCCATATCAGTTCGCACATAGTTTCGGTCGGACTCTAAAGATAAAGGCATTCATTACAAAGAAAATAAATAAATGGCGACGCAACTGCAAAAACAATCGCTTTTTGATACAGCAATGCATAACCACCAATGGCGCACAGCTGAATTAATTAGACGGAGTTGAAAATGCTCAAACGCCGCCCGATGCGACAGACACCCAAAAACCGCGCCGTCCTCAACGTGTTAACTAATGTCTACCTACAAGTGCGGTTATATTACTTTTAATACTTATTTTTATTTTTAGGTTAAGTGAAATCAACGTAAAAATGAAGCTACTGATTTTATTCGCTGTGGTTGTGTGTTACGTGAGTGCAGTGGAAGATACACTGGAAAACTGTCAATGTCAAAGTGGCTATGAAGCCGAAAAATTCAAGAATGGCGGGGTACAATGCGTAGGCATAATGGTGCATCATATTATGCCGTGCAACATCCCGGAAGCACCGCGATGCATTTGTACCCAGCATCCGGTAGATGCTATCAGCTACGACAGTGAAGGTACTTGGTGTACTCAGTCGGGGAATGGTGTACGGTACCTGAAGAAATGGCCGTGTGAGAATACGGAAGAATGGGCAGCGTACAAGGTCAAGCTCGCTGAATAGAAAACAAGAAAACGCTCAAGGAATAAGAATAAAATATATAAATATGAATATGTTGCTGATACGATGATTAAATAAAGATTATTTTGTGTTATTCTGAAAAATTGATATTCATGGTTGTACTCTTGGTGAATTATTAAAATTTAGGCAACCTAGTTTGACTTTTAATAGAGTTGAATGTAATGAAGTCAATTGACAAAAAATGATGAAAAATTCATTAATTTTGTGTTTTGGCAACTGAACTATAACACGTATAAATTACTAAAAAAATTGGTTGTGAATTCTATTAATTTAAGTTTTCACTCAAATTAAAATAATATTTTTACCATGGCTAATTTAATCTAAATATGTACATCTTCAAACATAAACATTGAGTCACCATAAAAAGTAAATATTATTAGATAAAAAAAATAATTGCGGAATAGTCTGAAAAACTGCTTAAGGCCATGGTAATAATTTAAATAAATATCACAACTAGGTATTCACATAATTACGTCATACCTTCTATATTTATAAACTTGCTTCGTTCAAGTTTTGTTCATTAACTCGTCAGACACCACGCAAGTAAGTACGTTGATAACTTTTTATACATTGTGTAGTATTATAACAATGATTGGTTTATTAACAGCAATTTGTGCAATCTGATACTTAAATAATGCGTGTGGTAATTATTCTCGCATTGATGAGCTGCCTGGTGATGTCTGCTGTTTCGAAAGACGAGTGCAATTGTTATGTCAACGAAATACCAAAGAAGACAGCCGATGGCTTGCAGTGTGCAAACGAGAAAACTGGTGCTTTAAGCCCTTGCAAAATAATGGTTCCACCACCAACGCTGAATATGGGACCACCACGATTTCATTAAGTAAATTTTGCATGCTTTTTTATTGTTATGAATAAAATGTTTTGCGTGTGAAATTAATTTCATTTTTATATTCGATTGTAACGTCCGGTTTTGATAATGCAAAATAAAAACTATTGTGTTGTGACATTTATAACTGCTTAATTTAGTTCAAAATTTTACAAATCATAAATCATCCGCTTCCGTTTCACCAAAAATTATGAAGTTTATAATATTGTTCCTTTTAATATGCTGTTACTTTGTGATAATATTGGGCAAGAAAGAATATTCGTTAGAGAATTGTACGTGTACCAAAGATTATCACCCGCATTTGAACGCTGATAATAAAGTGCAATGTTATGGTGTTAAAATAACGCAAACATATCCGTGTGGATATCTGAAACGTCCTGCTTGCGTTTGCTCAAAATACGAGCACAACACTTATGTAATTAATCCGTATCATTTTGGATGGTGTATATTAACTATAATGGAAGTTATAATTAGACGATGGCCATGTGATAACGAAGAAGAATGGGAAAGATATAGGGCATATAGACGTGAGATAGAATAAAAGCAAGGTAAATAAAAAGGAATGAAAATAATAATAATTGATATTTTAATTAGGTATTAAATTGTAATATGAAGATCTTTAAAATTAACTGGAAAGTCGCACGGCTAAAATATTAAACACTTTAAACGCGTATTTTATTTTTTTCTATAATTTAATTTGAATTGTGTTTTTGTATTCAGGTTGAATATGTCAATAAATGGAAATATGGCCGAAATTAAAAACCTAAACTTATTATTTCTACCATTTTTAATACTAGTTTTTATTCTTAAATTAAACTTGTTTCGGTTGTTTTTATAGTGATTTAACAATGTTTAATTTATTGATTAACTGCTCTTGAAAATCACAATTTGTGCAATCTGATATTTTAATAATGCGTTTGATGTCTGCTTTTTGCAAAACGAATGCAATTGTTATTCAAACGAAACACCATTGATGACAACCGATGATTCAAAGTGTTCAAACGTCCAAATTCTTGTTTTAAGCTCATGCAAAAAACGCTTCCACCATCATTGCGAAATATAAAACCACCACAATTTCATTAAATAAATTTTGCAAACCTATTTGTTGTCAAAAATAAAATGTTTTGCGTGTGATATTATTTTAATATTCCTTTGTTGCATCCGGTTTTGATAATGCAAAATAAAAACTATTGTGTTGTGTCGTTTATAACAGCTTAATGTAGCTTAAATTTTAACAAATCATAAATAATCCGCTTTCGTTTCACCAAAATCATGAAGTTTATAATATTTTTACTGTCAACATGGAGTTACTTTTTGGTAGTGTTTGGCACCAAAGAATATACGTTTGACAATTGTACGTGTATAAAAGATTATCACCCGCATTTGGACGCTGATGATAAAGCGCAATGTTATGGTGTTAAGGTAACGGACACATTACCGTGTGGTTTTATGAGTTATCCCGAATGCAAGTGCACAAAATACAAGTACAACAATGTTAATATTTTTCCTGGTTATGTTGGATATTGTTTGTACGTTTTGAGGGATGTCACATTTAGACGATGGACTTGTGAAAACGAAGAAGAATGGATTGCGTTTAGGGTATATATGCAGGAGGAAGGTTATTAAAAAGGTAATAAAGAGGAAAAAGAAGAAAACTAAGCATTTAATTATTAAATTGCACAATGCAGACCTTGAAAATTAATTAGAAACTCGCACAACTTGCATAATCAACACTTTAAACACGTATCTTGAATTATTCTATAATTTAATTTTAATTGTATTTTTGTATTCAGGTTTAACGAGACAATAAGTGGAAATATGGCTCAAGTTAAAAAAATACCTATAAGCATGAACCAAGCTTATTATTGATGCCATTTTTAATATAAGATTCAAAATCCTATTTTGAAGAAAGAAAAATTATTAATAATGCAATTTAACGCCATCTCAGATTCAAGTATTAAGATATAACTATGACCAAATCTCTAAAATACTTTTCATCCCTTATTTAAAACCCTTTAAGTCATAATATTTGATATATTAATACTTATTCTGCTAATCGGAATAAAGACAAATCCAGAAAAGTTTTGTCTATTTATAGATTCCTAAATCAAATTTATTTCATCCAAAGATAAAATTTTAATTAAAAATCAACTGTTTCCCATTATTTTGTTTGCTTGCCCGGTTCATCTCAGTATCGATAGGTCAAAGCGCTAATCTTGACAAAGTCTCGCAAACTACCAACTACGTAATCGCCCAGTTAATTGAGATTCCACGTGCGCGTGACATGCCCGCCATTAATAATTCATAGAACCACACGGCACGCCTGGTGAAAAATGATCGAGCCGAAAATTTCGATTGGAACCGGCTGTCCCGCTAGCTCGCTAGGTGCGCAGGAAAATCAATAATCGCGGACGTACACATTACATTCCCCACATGCACAGCATATAGGTGCTATACGGTATCAAACCGAAGGTAATATCAACGCGAGTCCTGAGGGTACACGTACAAGTGGTAAATAAATTGCGCTCGCATCGTGTTACTTACATCTCCTTGGGTAAGTCACATTTCAGGCAAAAATTACCCAACGCTATTTATATTTCCTCTTCCAGCTCCTTTTTTTATTTTTCAACATTTATCACGTTTTTCACGCGTCTTGAATTTTTCGCTTCAAGATTCTCACCATTTACCATCATCTCGGATGGAATAATAAATGTGGTTTAAATTGGAGCTGGTTTAAACTGTATGTTGGTTTATCATTAAAATGCTATACGCGTGTTCGGGATGCATTTTTTGTTGCACAAATGTTGACTTTATGAGAATAACATTGCCAAGAGCAGGAAAAAAGCGAGTTCAATGTTGGAAGTCTTCCAGAAGGTCATCATCAAATTTATAACCATTGTTTGTCATTCAAAATTAATGCATTCTCATTTGTGCGCGTGGAATGAGGCAAAGTTTCAATGTTCTTTGCACGCGCTATGCTTCCCAAACGTCTCGGGACAATCGATCCGGACAATCGTGTCCAAATTCTAGACGAGCCATGGGAGGATACGGCGTAATAAAAAGATAACTTATTTATCAAGGACAACAGTTTACTTTGCAACGAAATTACTCTCAACTTGGTATTCAGGTTTAATAGTATAATTATCTTATTGTTAAAGTAGATTTAAATGTAAGGATAATTTTTGGTTGTATTTATATATACTGCTATAGTAGGCAACCAAATATACAATCATGTAGAAAACTATTAGATTTATTAGAGTTTTAGCTACTAATTAACCTCAAATTTAATATTTTAACAAATATTGCACACAAAACAACTAAAATTTTATGTAAATCAAAAAATTTCCGACTTAAACTTAAAATATGAACCTTGTTGAAAACTTAGAGTTTAAATCTACATAAATTCTGTTCGTTTTGTGCTTTATACGCTCCTATATTATTATTTAATGTATTTAACAAAATCCTACTTTATCTTCTTCAAGATTTTAACGATTAAACTCGTATTGAGCAATACCAAGGTAGAAAATACTTCAAATATCCACAGAATAATACTGAATACAAATTCTACAAATCACTGATGTACAATTTAGACAATGATAGGTCTGTACCAACCATCCTCTATAACATTTCACTATAAATTTCAACAAAAACTTGTATTTAACCTACTTTTACTTCAAATACTCAATTGCAGCTGCTATTGTTAATAACGCGCTTTGTTTCAAAAAATTTCTATACATTTATGAATATAAAAGATACAGAATTATAGAATAACGTGTGCGTTGTCCTTGTTATGCGCATTATTGGTTTATCGAGTCGTAGATTCGTGTCCAGCTGAAGTATATCGCACGCGAATGACCATTATGCATGCACGCTATTTTATACTTGATTAAAATATAATTGTGAACGCGTTCGGCTCAACAATAGGGAAAAAATCGTAAACAGCAGCGCGTACACACGCAGAACAATAAAGTACCAGCCGACGAGGTGTCATTAAAACGCACAATTACTCGCGCAAATACTTCAAGCCCTAGGCTCAGAAAAAAACACGCCAAGGGTGAAATTAGGGAAAATCTAGTGGACAACAATAAAAGAAAGCCAAAAAATACAATTAGTTCAAGGTATGAATAGCTGTTATTGTAATAGAATATAAATTATTATGAAATCAAATGTATAAACCATATTTTTAGTCAAATCAGATTAATATTTAATTATTTATATTATTAATTCAAGAATTTGGAATAATATTCGAATAATTTTATTTTATTACCAATTATTTGGTTAAAAATGTAAATTTAAGATCAAAAAAAGTTATTTTTGATTAAAATCGTTCGTTTCGCCTTCGCTTTGTTTGTGCGCTGGATAATTTTCATAAAACAAACATGAAACTCAACGAAAATCAATGACAACAATGGCAGCAATTTAAAAAGTTTCCACCCTGAAAGTTATCCATTCCGACATTGAAAGATTTCCACCATTTCCAAGCAAAAATCATGAATGTGTTTTCATGAGTCATTCTTCGAAGCAAAGCTGAATCAACGCCGAGCGCGAATAAGTTCTACAGGTAAGCGCCCAACAATATGTTACCGATACACATAAAAAATATCGATTTCAGACAATAAGCAGCATGATTTACATCGGACACATAGCTTATATCAAGGACGTGAGGTTGGCACCGACCAACACAGAGCACAATACCACAGAATATCCCACAATATCGCATTGTGCACGGCGATTGAGGAAGCAGTGCGAAGGAGCGAGCGCTGATGTTGTGTGTATCGGGGGGATGGTTGATTTTGACCTATTTTCGTCGGGATAACGCTGCGCTCGGTGACCTACATTCAGTACGGCGCAAACTACGCAAAGGAAAATCAATTGTATCCTTTCGCGCGTGCAGGAGAACAACTGTAGAGGACTACTACAGGAATTCCACAGCAAATATTTTATAATAAAATAATCTCTTTATAATGAAACACAAATAAAAAATAGAAAATCGTTTTCAAAAACTCACCAGCGATGTAACTGCTGTTTTCCGACGCGGCCAACATAATTGGTCTTCAATCGGATTACAAATTTAAGTCTCTTCAATATATCCGGTCATAATCTGTATGTGTATTGACTTTTATTTAATCCTCTAGAGTGGAACGATTGATAAACACCAAACACGATAACAAAAACAGTGTGAAAGAAAAGAAAACAGACAAACACGCACTACAATGTCTTGCAAATAACAAACGACGCACTGCACCGTTTTATACTGCAGCTAGCGATTGTTTATGATGTGTGGTATCACTAATTATTAGTCGAATTGTTAGGGTTACGAAGGGTCACTACGAATCGTCGAGCGTTGCGCCGTGTACAAGAGTTTGTGTGTTGTGAGAGGACGACAGGAACCTCGCACGATTTTCGGAATCTACTGACGGTGGTGTGTGTAGAATATGTTGCGTGCTCGGCGCGCATGCGGATCGAACGCCACCCGTCGGCAGCCGGGGTAGCACGAAGCTGAACCCCGGTCACAGCCAAGATAAGTTTATTTCGCTAGCGTTCACGCGGCGTACTAGCGAATATATTTCTATCTAGAATATTATCTAGAATGTGTTAGAAAGAACTGACAAGACTGAATAGAGTTTTGTTTTTGTCTTTGTTGTTTTATGCTATAGGTTTTTGTTGTATTCAGTATGAGGATGAATACACGATCTGCACAACTTGAATGCTCTTGGAAAATGTGTTTACATAAACTTCTTTAGAATTTAAAATGAGGATAATAGCAGGAGGTAAATAGCACTGAGGTGTAGTACATTTAATATTAATTGAAAGTGCGATCGAGAATGTTATCAAGTTTCATTAAGTTAAAATTATTATGTTTATTCTGTGGGGATATATCATGTTACAGAATAATCACTTATTAGAAATCTCGGGTTACGAAAGGAAATTGGACGCTCTTGTAATTTATGCGGGATGGTACTCCCGATTGCCAACGACTTAGTCCTGACTAAGTACTGGGGTGCCTGCGTGAGGCCTTTTATACCTCCCTAAAAAAGAGTGGGGGTAGACCCGCCCGCAAAGTACACCTCAACGGGTACCTTCCCCCACCCTTATCCTCCGCCCTTCCACTTTTTGGAGGTTGTCCGCAGCTATAAAAGGGCAGACGTCCAGTAGTTCAGTTGCATGACTTTTGTGTTTTTTTCGTTTACAACCTAGTTCAGTTGCAGGTCTCCAGGGTCCTCTCTTTCCCTTCTCTTTGATTTACTAGTAAGGGTCGCGCATATTTGTTCGATTGCGAATCTGATATCGTAAATTTGTTCGTTTTCTATGTAAATTTAGCAAAGTAGATGTTTATTAAATTGCTGCTGAAACACCTTACGCCATCTGCGGGATTCAAACTAAAGACTGTCTTATATGCTTGATAATCAACAAGTTTAACGAATTTAAAACTATTATTGCAAGTATAATTATTGATAGTCGTATAATAAATATTCAATTACGTTTATTGGTATAAATTTCATGTTGAAATAAACTTTAAATCTTTAAAAATCAAATATTTACGTTAAAAATGTCAAAACTCATAAAATTTTGAACACAATTCATTTTAATGTCATTCATATTTATAAAACACATGCAATTATAACGCTTCGTAAAACTCTCACATAAAATTTATATTTTGCAAACTTTTCAATTCCCCACATCGTTTCCTATTACTCTTATTTTAGCTTTGCATGAGTAAAATCTTTTATGTTTATACGCAGTCATAAAAAGAACGCACAAGGACGCTATGCGAGACTCCATGGCACCGAAATTTCGGTTGCTAACAACAAACCGCAACGCAGTGTGCGCTGTTGCTCGCCTTTCCACATCAAAACTTTGCTACTTTCCGCGTTCGCTCGCATTAGATATTTTCCAACTGTTCAATGCGTAATCGCCTCGCCGAGTAAATACTGCGTGAAGCATCTGAATACACATATATACAACTGCGCGGGCGTGGCTTTGCCGATCTCCCAGTCGTTCTAATGTCGTAATAATATCGTGATGCAAGCGGCAAAACGTTAACGCTCCTTATTATCCATCGGCTCGCGATGAGATAATCATTATTTTTACATTTCACATGGCATACCTTCGAAGCAATCAACAACAAACAACATGCGGCGTCAGTCAACATTTAGTTAAGTCACTATCAACCAACTAAAAACAGTTTACCAAAGTTGTTACGTTTGTTTTAAATGTTGTTAGTGTCATTAATGTCACTTAGTGTCGTTAGTATCGTTGTGGTGTCAAATTCAAAACATTTTCGCGTGTGATTGTGATTATAAATATGGTTTTGGATCAATATTGTCAGATCGTCCAAAGAGACACAGCGAGTATTTCCGTTCTCTGGAAAGGTAATTAAAAGTCATCGACATATTAATGTAAACAATACCTGCATGTTAATGAAGTTATTACAACAACAATAACATGTCGATAAAAATGGAAATTACACCACAAAGTTATCAACCTAATGGATAACACATAATGAAATATATATTATGATGATCTCATTAACATATTCATTTCTAAACTTACATTGTTTATTTCCAGCGTTGCATGTACTATGTCTCTTGACCGCTACAATATGTTCACTGATAACAGCGCTGAACATAATGCGTATCATAGAAGTTTTCGGATTTAATTGCATTCTTTACGCAAATTTAAAATTCACTGATGTCAATGCCTACGAATCAGCCGGACCAATCCCGGAAAACTTTTCGTTTCACAATCCGCTCACCATTTGGGGCAGCGACAGTGTGTGCTCATACACCAGGGGCACATATTTATTCTCAATGATTGTCGCGATGATAATGTTGGCATTCGTTATCGTTTTTCCTAAAGGTGGATATGCCAAAAATAGAACAGTGTAAGTCAATGTTTCTCTAAAAAAATCATTTAATAATAAATATAATGTAGTGATGTAGAAGGATGGAAATTGGTACCATGGGCAATCGTATTCTCGAGTGTGATGGTAGTCTGCATTGGAATAGCACATGCATACATAAAAAATGGCTTGTCGCATTTTACAGATCAGATCTATGCCAAACTGAAAGAAGAATCGTATGTATTAAAATAGTATAATAACCATTTAAATTAATATTATATTATTTATATATAGTGATTGTGATAGCATGAGTTATATACCTACAATGGACCCATGTCATGCAGACATAAACACTTTCACTCTCATTTTCCAACCGTCCATCGTCTGGATATCCAGGTACATTGTCAGTTTGAAGGTCACTGCAACCATCGTCTTTGTAGCCTGGATCGTTCTAATTGGCACGCTGATTTTACGAATTATAGTGGGTGTTGACTTTCGCATTGTTGTATATAACTTAAAACCAGTAAGTAACAGTTTTCGTTCAAAAACAGCAAAAAACAATTAATATTCTAACACAACATTTAATTTCCATAGGTGGTGAAAGATGTTGATACCGGAAGTTCCGTAAGTGAAGACAGTTTCTCTGATGATGACAACCGTATCCAACCAAACAAGAAACTTGTTGCTGGCCAAATCCACACGGATAACACATACAAAGTATCAGATGCGTCAGATACTGTTGAAACCTTTATATAATTATTGTTTTTTATATTTTTTATAAAAACTGTGACTCCCTTTAAAACTTTACATAACTTATTTAAATAAAATCTAGATTAAAACATAAAAAATAATTTATATATGAAAATCCGGATGTTGTGTGCGCACATGTTTATTCCTATCTCCCTTCTGCCGGAAGTTGCGTCCACACACCATACACGGATACGGCCGTTCATCTGTATGAATCCGTCGGTGATTATTCAAAGCGTCCGCACGGAAAAATCTCTTCTCACAAATCTATTAACAAAAAAAAAGCATAGCACAAAAATAAGGTTAACGTTTTGTATAATTACATCACAAGCATATCTTCGGTCGTTTGTATGAATAAGTCGATGCTGATAATACACCGAGCCAGTGAGAAAGCACTTATCACAAACAGTGCACTTGAAAGGTCGCTCACGAGTGTGGACCTTTCGAATGTGATCCTTGAGATCCGGGCGTATTGTATACCGCGCTTCACATCCTTCATGTGGGCAAGCAAATGGTTTTATACCTACAACAAAATACCATTTTCACCATTTTCCTTTAAAAGTAAAATATTTGTACCTTGGTGAAAGCGCATATGTTGCCATAAATGCGACGTCTGCGAATAGCACCGCTTACAAATCTCACACACATACGGTTTGAGACTTTGATGCGCCCGACTGTGGATCATCAATGCCTTGGAGCTATGCACCACTTGATCGCACTCCTCACATTTATAGTTGGCCGGATGTTTCTTGTTGCGATGAACCTCCAGCTCCATCACGTTGCTAAACAACGCCACGCAACGCTCGCATTGATACTTGTATCCTTGGGCTACCTCAATCATATACTTCTTTGATTTGCTATTCTGAGACGTTGCTTTTCGCTTGCGGCCGCGCTTCTTTTGTTTCGGCTCCTCGGTAGCGTCATCTGACACGCCCAGGCTAACTTCGCTATTGATTTCGGATTTAACTAAAACGTTAGATTTATCGTCATCTTCTAAATTATCACCGTCTTCGTCATCATCAAAATTCTCACTTGGACAATCCGTACCTTCGTTTTTTTCTACTTTACTAGATCCCAAAACACCTTCAATGAGTTGAATAATCGTAGTTTTTCCATTTTCAGCATTTTCATGAGTTTTTATTTCTTCTTCAGTTTTTATTTTTTTAATTGGCCCAGAATCACTATTAACCTCTTCATTGTTGATGGAAGAATTACTACCTGATTTCATACTGCCAACATCCACATCTTTTTTGATCGGTTTAATCTCAATTTTCGGTTCGACTTGAAAATCATTTTCGTCAGTATGTTTCTTGGGTGTGTAATGCTTCTTTTTGATTTTATGCAAGTACAAAACTTCATGGGATTTAAATGTACGATTGCAGCATTTGCAGAAAATCAACTTTGGTAGAAAAAATAAATTCGCTTCATTTGTGCAATCCGTCAGCCAGTGTTTGGCAGCGGACGTGTAAGACTCAAAATTTTGATCACAAACAACGCAATTGTAATTGACAGCAGTTGTATGTGTATCCTGATGCCATAGCAACGATTTCTTATTGGCATATGTACGATTACAAAACTCACACTGCAACAGCAATTCCGTGCGCACTTTATCAACATACTGACTTAAAATGGCCGCCTTGGGTTCCCCCTTCACATCCATCACCTCAGCAATATCTTCATTTGCGTTTTTAATGGCTACCGGATCAGTTATAAGATCCTTACATGTTTCTGCATGTGTACATGCATATGTATCAGATGAAAACACTTGGTAACATTTGATGCATCTCCAAACCGTAACATCGCTTCGATAAAATTTACTAATATCCCCAGTTTTCTTACAATGATTCTCCTTATGAATTCTTAAGCGATTCTCGCTAACAAATTGTTTATTACAATACTCACAGATGTTAACATTGTCTTCATCATGACTGGTCAGGTGCCGTTCAAGATTATTTTTACTTACAAAAAGTTTCCCGCAAGTTTTGCACTCAAACTTCATTCGCAATCCTTTACCCACATCTCTTGCATCAACATTTGGCTTTAGCACTACTTTATCAGCGTTGAATTCACATTGATGGCGTTGAAATTGATACTTCGTGGGAAAGTTAGTGTCACAGTTTTGGCATCGTATCATCAACGGAATATTCGGCACTTTGGATTCACGACTTTTACCCAAAAGTTCACCATAATAATCTTCATTTTGTTGTTCGTCACTAGGATCGCGCACTTCATTTAAAAGATGGAGGGTGTCAACGTCACCGACGCGTATTACACGCACGGAAGAATCTTTGAAGTTAATTTGGTTGATTTTTTTCGGAAATCTAAGAAAGATGTCCTCAGTCTGATCCTGAACCAATATCTGGGATGGTTTGACGTCATCTTGTGTGAAATCCGGACTGACTGGAACGCGACTAATCGCTTGATGCGATCGATGATCTACGGAAAGAACTACGGCCGTGCATAATTCGGATACATCCGGAATGCGATGCACTTTTAATAGGTAGGCGCATTCTATGCGACTCATCTGAACTACTTGATATTGCGATTTATTTTCACGTGCATCAAAACAGCCCTGCACCATACTGCTACTTTGACAGGAAACACGTTTGATTTAAATGAAGTATCAAGTTTTAAAATAAAAGCTGAAAATCAACAAGTTTCCTGGTTGTCATGACAAAAGAAAAACATGGCCTGCTATGTTTATATTCTGTAAATATTTTACGCTAAACAAGCATGCACAGAAGAATTAATAGTAGAGTAAAAGAATTGTACTCACGTGAACACACTAAGATGATAAATAAATATTCGCATCGTATCACCAAGGTCTGTGATAAACACAAGAACCGATGTAAACAAGTTTAATCGTAAAAATGTTCATTTTGGTACTACTAGCGCCATCTTCAATAGAAGTTGCTAAAACAAGTACTAAATCAATTGCAACATTCAATTGTTTTGTTAAATGAAGCATGAAGTGCTCCCGAACGTCTCCCAACTGCTCCCAACGTGACGGACATAGATTGTATGCACAGACAGTCACGTATTATCCTTACTACGCACAGTATATTACATGACACTACGCGCATTACTTGCATTATTTTAATCAATCTCGTATTGAATTGCATAGTACATTCCAGTATCAATTATAATGTCTAATATTGCTATTTTTGGTGCCACCGGCATGACCGGCTTATGTGCCCTAAAGGCAGCTGTAGAAAAAGGTACGTTTTTTAAAATTTTAAAATAATTAATTCAATAAAAGTTCAATTAACCCAATTGATTTCAATTGTTTCAATACACCAGGCTTAACTGTCCGTGCATTTGTCAGAGATCCGGCAAAAGTTCCTGATAACCTGAGATCACGCGTGGAAATCGTCGTGGGTAATGTTTTAAACGATGCGGACGTGCTTAAAGCCGTCGAGGGAATGGACGCGGTTGCTGTCGTTCTCGGGACAAACAACGACTTGAAAGCGACGACTGATTTGAGTGTAGGCATGCAGAACATTGTCAATGCCATGAAGCACCACAATGTTCCTGTTGTATCTGTTTGTTTGTCTGCTTTCCTCTTCTATGATGTCGACAAAGTTCCGCCGGTATTCAAAGAGTTGAATGCTGATCATCAGCGCGAGTTTGATATTGCCAAAGGGTCTGGTTTGAAATACATTTGCGTGTTACCGCCGCACATTGCAGGTAAATAATTTATGAAATCAAATATGGTTTTGTGTCATTATAAGACTTTTTTCAGACCAACCAAAATCTGGCTACATAATCGAATTTGATAAGTCACCAGGCAGAGTTGTAAGTAAATATGACCTTGGTGAATTCCTGATTGATAGCTTGTCCAAACCAGAGTATTATGAAAAAGTGTGTGGCATTATGAGTAAAAATTAATTGTTTTTGTATAATATATCGGCAAATCTGCATTTTTAGTGTATGCAAATTTTATTAACTTTAAAATAAAAGTAAATTTGTATTAAAACAATACGTATAAGCACTTAAACGCAAATTTGACAGCGACACCATATTAGACCCTTGATTTTCCACAAATCTAAACAATTAACAATTTTCTGTTTCTTGTGATCAAAGAACATGCCAGAGGGCTTAACAAGTCATTTTGAAGTCTGTGGATGTGCTAATTGTACTTGACAGGAGACGGTATTAAGTAACTGTGCAAAAAGACAAACATTGTTCATCACAACACCTTACTCATAAAATTCTTCTTTTTGGGATCTGCACCATTGTATAATTCCGGTGGAGGAGGAGGTGGCGGTGGTGCAGGTTGCGGTGCCGCCGCACTTCCGTTTTTACCTATATTTGGCGGCATTGGTCTAACAGAACTTGGCATTTGCGTTCGAACATATTGTCCATATATCGAAACCGGGGCACACATATCATAGCCTAATTTCTCATAAAATTCCATTTTGTCTTTGGTTGATAAAAATATCATGCGCAAACCTATTCTTCGGCAATGCTCCTCAATCCGATTCATCAAATATTTTCCATATCCTTTGCCTCTTAACTCCTTGTCAATAACAACTGATTCCAGAAAGCATGCATCTGGCATGGATGGAATTACTGAAAGTTTTGAGTGACCAATGACATTTGCTTCTTGCACAAGGACTAAATTCGTGGGTAGCTTGTCACAGGAGCTCTCAAAGCTCCGCATCCTCGCAGTCCGGCTGCGCTTCCATTCAGAATTCACCAAATCACAGCACTGATCAACTAACTCTGGATAATGATGTAGTGCAACCACTTGCATGGCTGAAACCAAAAGTAATTCTAAATTAGTTAAGGACGCTTTAAGAAGCTGTGCAGTTAGTTATAAATCAGAACAAACCATCAAGTCCATAGTTAATTTTAAAACTTGGTTTGAAACCATATTGTTGGGATTGATAGCGTTTAGTGTCAACAATTAGCTTTTTCATAAGATTTTGGACAACTAAACACGGAAAATACATAGGGACACTCATAATTTTACATTCGCGTATTACTTAGATTCATTTACTTGTGATAATGATAATTGAAAACCATTTTATTGAAAATTAGTGCAAATGTGAATTCTGCTTCAATTTGTAGCACTGTCCAAAAGGGTTAATGCATTATACTGAAATTTGGATTGTTTGCATTTGACAGTGGAGAAAAATTGTTATTTTAAAAACAAATTATTACTTGGATTGTTGAATAATCATGAATAATAAAAATTATTCGGTTTACCTAACCTAAATATTTTCACATTGCTATTGCTGGCTGCTGGTCTACTAAACACTACTAAAAATGAAGCTTGGCGCGTTTGTTGCACGGACGAGCAAATTGAAAAACTAAAAATAAAACTACCATACTCTGTAATGTAAACATTTGTAACTTGAGTATAAATAAAAAATACTCTCAAGAAAATTAATAATGGCCTAAATAAAAAAAATATTGATTTTGTTTACATTTCTCAGAAAACTAGTCTTTTAATAGTTGCCAGTAAAAATTATAAAAAAGAAGACTTACTGAACAAAAATGCCGAATATCAAATGAAGAATGAAATAATTGTTTGTAATATGACATCCAAAAATGTATATTGGCAGAATTACGCCAATTTTTAATTCACGACTTGCAAATAGCAACTTACTTTATTAAATTAATTAAAATCCGCTTCATGTTTTAAAGATATTTTCAAGTATTATTAAAGGTCCTTGCTTGATACCATCATAATTACAATTATAAGATAATCAATAGGTTGTAGAAAAAAATAATTAATCAGCAGCTTATTTTGGATGCTGCTTCTCCTTCTTCTGTGCTTCGGCTTCCGCTTCGGACTTCTCAAATTCGGCGATCAACTGCTCAACTTCTTTATTCGTCAAAATATGAATGACGGTTTTATTGTTTACGCGACTCAACGTTGCCATTTCAACTGAAAGTTCAGATTATTAGATAATCGTTAGTTTTAGAGTTGATCCATTAGTTGTTTTACCTTTCTCTGCTGTCAACTTAGTCATGTCCAAAGTTTTGCTCAATACTTTAACAGCCAAAGATTTGGCATCTTTCAAAGTAGTTTCATTTTCTTTGTATTCCTGCTTTAGGCTTGAAACTGCAGCCTGTAAGAAATTAAATTTATTTTTATTTGTTTAATAAAACTAATAAACTTATTTGCTTAAGTTATAATGAGGTCTTACAGAACTGTTGTTTCCAATACAAGTTGCTTTCCATCCACTGTAGTTTCCACTTGGGTCAGACTGATAGAGTTGGTAGCCATAATGTTTGTCCCATCCCATGTACAAGATAGATACGCCGAACGGCCGTTTGCCACCATATTGAGTGTAGGCTTGCTTCACATCACACAACCAAGAAACCAGCTGTTCACAGGGAATAGATTCTCCATATTGTAACAAATAACGCTGGCCGATTAAACGCAACTCATTAGTGAGCACATTTGCATCTGATGTGATTCCAGCAACACTGCACACCATGTCCCTAATTTCAAACATTATATTAATATTATTTATAATAATATAGCAACATTTTTTCATGGCAACTATTCATTTATAATTCTTACTCATTTAGTTTATAGATTTTCTCTGATGAAAACACTTCATCCAAGAGTTTGTTGGTGTTCCTCCTTTCTGCTGCCAGCAGAATTCCATCATTTGCCAGAATACCTAAGCAGGTACCTGCATGGCTGATGGCCTCCATGGCGTACTCCACTTGATAGAGACGCCCTTCGGGCGAAAAGATTGTCGTTCTGGTATCATAACGTCTTGCCTAGAGAAGAGAAATACAAAAATTTGTTAAGATGACATTGCATTTGATTGAACACATAACCTTAGATGCGGCAAAACAAGAAATGTATCACTTTAATGGATGAATAAACTAAGCTAATGCTGTATAATAAAGTTTGGTGTAATAATTGAGAAAATACTATAAATAAACGTACCATTTTGTTAAATTAAGTAGAAATCTAACACTTGTAACAAATATTATCGGTCGGCAACGGCAAAGCAACAATGAATCGCCGAATGAGAACGGAATGATATTCCAAGTTTTCTGGTTACGAAGATGGCGCTGCTCTAGATGTAATGTTGGTTGCATAAATTGAAACAAACCAGTACTTGCATTGCTAACATTTTTAATTAATATTAAAAATCTGATTTATCCATTAAATAAAATAGTCTAAAATCCTCAGAAAGAGAATAAATTAACAGATAGATGATATTGTAATTTGATGTAGTGAACTCGCGCAGTATTAAGAAAAATCATAAAATAAAGAGAGTATATTTTGCAGCACTTCCAAAAGAAGTGTTAGAACCAGGTCAAAAGAAAATTGGTGTAGCCACAAATTTCTTAAGCAAGCTTTGTTTTACAAAATCATAACATACAAATAATAATTAATGATGTTTATTCATTATTTATTCTTTACTCTTACAAATAGTGTTCAGGAAATTCGAAGGTAACTTCCCTTCCTGTAAGTTTCTTGTAAACGGCTGCGAATGTGTCCACCTAGAAGAGATAATTTTTTTATTAACAAAACGTCATTTAAATAATAGAGAACAGAAAGTAGTACCTTGTGTTCAATTGTGGTCTGCTGATTTTTGTCCAGATGGACCTTGATCAGCTGCGAGCCGTCCAACTTCACGCGGATGCGTTTACCCACAATCTCAGCTGGGTATACCAAATCCTCCAAGATCGCATCGTAGACGGCAGTCAAGGTGCGGGAGCGCGGGCGCTTCTGCTTGTTCTTGGTGCGCGTCTTACGTGTGGGCTTGGGGAGAATTTTGCGCTCGCCAACGAACACAACGTGTTTGCCGCTGAACTTCTTCTCCAGCTCGCGCACCAAACGCGTCTGCACCTTTTGGAATTGCTTCAATTTCGGCTTCGGTACATAAATAATGATTGACTGCAATAATAAAAAAAATAGACCTTTAGATATGCAACCAATTAACAAAAAAACAAAACACTTACTTTCTTATTATTCAGCTCAATTTCTTTAGCTTTTGTAATATGCAATTCCCTAAGCTGTGCTTTCAAGTCAGAGTTCATCTCCAGCTCAAGGAGGGCCTGAGCAACTTGTGTTTCAAAGTTGTCAGGCTCAGCGCCTCCAGGCTTAATAATCTTCGACGACATCTGCAAATCCCAACAATAATTAATAACATGATTAAACTTACTCAAATCTGCTAATATCCTAATAGACACTTTCACATGTAAAAATGTACAAGGCGCTATAACCTCAACTGGGCAAAACTATTCCTTTAAATTAAATTACTCTCATAAAAATTTTGTGATGAACACGAAGAACTATTATTTAATCTTACAGTAATATATTGCAGCTGAAATTGCACTACTAATTTATGAAAACACCGAATTGGCTAAGAATGCACGAAAACAACACCGACTACGGAGCCAGAAAATATCCAGCCGACAAGTCACTCTATCTTGAAATCTAGCTAAGAAAATAACACCATCCGGCATTAAAATCGACGCACAGCACAGAGGAACTAACGCTGATGACGGCCCAATTGATATTTTTCGCTTTTGTACACTTTAACACGCTTATTTTTCAATATTTTTGTCGAGAAACTTGGAAACAAAACGTGTACCTTGTTGTGTCTTGAAAAAAGGAAGGAAGAGTTCGCTGCGAGCACGCTCGCCGTCAAGTAAGCACTGTTGCCAACCTAACAAACTAAATGCACCTATATTGTAACTAAGACGTTCAAATTTAAAGCTATGTAATAATATCCGCAAAATATTGTTGAAGTATTGTCCTAATTTACGATAATTAATAAAATATAAATAAACAACAATTTATAACATGTAGTTAATTCAGTATATAACTTAAAATTTGTATGTTTACATTTGTTTTTCTGGTAATATTAAGTGTGGGGTAAAAGTCACTAACTCGGTGAGTACGACCAACCAGAGGGCGAGAATTTGACCATGTGACCCAAATAAAGAAAAACCGCGGGGTTCAGCTGCCCCATAGCGCAACCTAACCAGAGAAACACCAGAAACAATCTAAACAGGGGCAGAAGCATCTGTTGCGCTATCACCTAAGGTTAACAAGATAACAAAATTGTGCATTACTTTGTGAGAAGTGTTAATTCTTTAAATACATTTTTTTTATTAAGTGCATTTCTACTTAGTTTAATAAGTAAACGCATATAAGGTGAGTTATTTTACTTTTAACTTTACTAATTTTCTAGGCTAAAGTCGAGGGAAAACCGTTGGGGTTTTCTGAAATTTTCGCGCTCTTTTTTAGAAAATGCTTAGGTGGGTTAGAACCCTAATAAGTCCTAACTAATTACGGTTACATATTAACTTACGGTTCAAATAGTGTACTTTACTAAAATTAATTCGTTAAATAATTAAGTAATAATTATTAAAGTGCAATTTATTTTATGTCGCGTTGCGAAATAACTCGATAATGAATACAACTATAAACAAAACTTAATCAGTTATGAATTCGTTGCATCATCAAATATTTTATGCAATAACTTCATTAATTTCGAGGTTTATGTGTAAAGAATAACTAAAGTTATAAGTTTATATCACATAAACTGCAATTTATTTAAAGTTAATTCTGAGATTTTAAATTTTATGTAATATATCAAATTTATTGAAAGAAATATATAGTTTTGTAACGCGTTGAGTTTTTCTGTAGGCAAATATGGCTACAACAACTCAAAGCACATCACAAACAAAATACGAACACACCGAGAAAATATCCGCCCGCCGAAAGGCGTTATTTCCCACCGGCAGTGATTCAGGCAGCGACCTAGGCCACATGAGCCCAATTCACAGTGAAAGCTCAAACTTTTCCGAGAACGCTTTTACCGCTTTGGAACACGAAGCGGATCACCAATTCCGTAAGTTCTTCAAATGCAGCCTCACCGATTATGTTCTACTCGAAGACGATGCCGAAATTCTCACACCTGACCCCTGCTCAGAAACCAGCGTACCGCCGTTATACCTCAGTCCAATGCAGACATTGCTCTCTACACCAATACTATACTCTCCAATGCACACAACCAAAATTGTAACTCCTCTAAGCAAATCTCCCAGTTCCACATTGAAAACACCACATGACACTTCTACAGTTAAAGTAAATCAAAAACAAACCAAGCGCAAGTTGGTCACTGATACAAAGAACGATCCTCAAGAATCTCAATCTCCTAACTCAAAACAAGCCAAATTCGATTCAAAGTCCAAGGTGCGTACAGCACTTTTCCCCGAAGACGAAATCGTCTTGCCTGTTAAAACTTTTTACCCGAAAGAAAACAACACTTTCAACGTGAAGGAAAGTATTAGCGCACTTCTAGCGGCTAGTAAACACCGCGTAATGAATGTACCGCATGTGAAGCGCGCGCAGATTAAGAACACTGCTGTGTTAACCTTGAACAAAAGGCGCTACGGTGAAATCAATGCCGGTGTGCGCCATAAGATTAGAAAACCCAAACAGAAAAAGGTCACGCAGGCCAAGATTGTAAAGGCAACAATGAAGATTATCGAAAAATCACCGCTCACTGAGTACCTGGAAGAAATGACCAATGTTAAGAAGACTATTAAACCGCTACCACTCAACAGTACAATAAATAACACCTCAAACAAGAAAAATAATTCGGTTAACATGAGCGACACATTGGCTAATCGCAAATTCTTCAAAACATTGCGATCCAGTTTTAAGCAGGTGATTGGAAGTCCCAAGAAACAACCACTTCGCTGTTTAAACAAAACAAAAGAAGCATTACAACCGAATAAACGTAAATTGGATGTCGCTGAGTTTGAATTTTCGCCTGAAAAAGATGTTGCAGTAGTGCCTGAAGTCGATAATCTCATAAATCAACTCGATAAAGAAGTGGCTAAAACTACGGCGAATCCTAATTTGATTTTCTCACCAACTGCACAGATGTGTAACATGGCGTCTGCTTTGGATTTAAACAGTCCGAAGAGAGCTAAAGTTAACATCAGCAAGATGTTGAATGATAGTACATTGAAACGTCCGAACAACATGACTTCATACACAGAGAAAGTCGAAAAGTCTGCTAAATTATTTCCGTTGTTCTGCGCGGATAAAAACAAATCCATGACCTGCAACACAAATCAGAAAGAAATTAAGAAAGGACCTACACATGCACATAAGAAGTTTAAAACTGTTTCGGATAATCAATTGCTGATCGATGCTGGACAGAAGAAATTCGGTGCAATTGTTTGCCATGAATGCTCGTTTGTTTACGAATCTGGCGATGCATCTGATGAAATGATTCATCGGACTTATCATGAAGCCATCAACACGTTTAAATTTAATGTAAGAACTTTATCTTTGCCAATAAATTTAAGTTTAATCACGTGATTAATTGAATTTTTTGAATGAATTAGGGATGGAAGAATGAACGCGTTGTTACAAACATTGATGTCAACACGAGGATTATCAAAATCATCCCGGGTGATATGAAAATCTGGTGGAAGAAAGGCGTCGAACTGATTGATTATATCAACCGTGAGATGGGATTCTACGATATGATTTTACCCTTGGATAAATCTCAAGTATGTTAAAATTTTAAAAACTAAAAACTTAAAAATTATTTGTTTTTATGAATATTACTAGAGTTCAATATGTTTGACGATGTTTCAGATGTATCTCTACGTACAAAATAAGAAAATCATTGGTTGTCTCACCGCTGAAATGAAGCAAACTGCATACAAACGTCTGCCAACTGATTTGGACATCGATCTGTGTTCAGAGGAAGCATTCCAAGTGCGTTGTGGTATTTCTAGAGTGTGGGTTGCACCTCATCATCGCCGTGCTGGTATTGCCACGCAGTTGATGGACACACTACGACGTAATTTCCTGCATGGTTATTTCCTCCAAAACAACGAAATTGCGATCAGTTCGCCGTCGGATCTCGGCCAGAAATTCGCGTCTAAATATTTCCAAACCGACAGTTTTCTCATCTATATGAATTAAATTAGATATTTTGATATACGTAATTCTACAATTGTGCCTCAAGTACGATATTTTTACACTTTTGAATATATTTTAGTATTTATTTGAGTTTTCAAAAGCTTTGGAAAGTTTTTAAATTAATAATGATGCATTTTAATATTTTAAGAATATTTTTTATGGTTTAGATGTTTGCTTTTTAATAAATCTAACAATATATAAATATTCGCCCAGGATTTTCTTCTCTTTGATAATCTTATGCTGAAATCCAAACTTTTCCAAAATGGCCACCACTTCGTCCGGTTTGTTTTCTTTTAATAATAACAAGTAAAATATACCTGACTCACTTAAAATGTTTTTCACTTGTGGTAATAACTTATCTATTATTTCCCTACCATCAATACCACCAGCCCAAGCTCTACTCAAACCAGTACCAATGATTTCTTCTGAATCAGTCACTACATACGGCGGATTAAAAATTAAAATATCAAATAAGAATGGTCTGAAATGACTAGCTAGATCCATACATACTGGTTCCACTTGCACTTTGTTTAACAAACCTGTATTTCTAGTTGCATTACATGCTTTAATGTTGATATCAGTTGTAAAACAAGTCAGTGACAAGTGTGAACCTAAAGCAGTTGTTATAACTCCACTTCCAGAGCCAATTTCAAGCATATATGTTGGTTTTCTTGCTTGGATAAATGCTAAATCTGCTTCTAATGCATCAATAAACAGGAATGTGTCTTCACTAGGCTCATAGACATCAACCATTTGTTTGATGTCATAATCAGGAGTGTTTAATGTGAAATTATTCATTTTTCTGAAGGGTTTGGTGTTGCTGTATCTAAAGTTGCTTTCTTCTTCAATGCTTCTTTTTCTACTGATGTATGAATCTTGTCTAGTCTTTCCTGAGTGCTTTGCAGGATGTTTGTTAGCACTGTTACTCTGTGTTTTGCACTGAGTAATTTTTTTACATAAACTTCTAAATCAATAGAAGTTTTCTGTGTTTCTTGAATCTTTTTGAGTTCTTCTGCAAGAGACTCAATACACTGTTTTAATTCCAACTGTGATATTCTGTAATAATAATTTATTACACTTTATGTTAAATATTAAAAAACAAATTAATTACTTTGTAGCTTTAACTCGATCATCAAGTTGATCAACTGTTGGTTTTATCAAGCCCATTAATCCCTCGGCGAGGGTGTCACGCGTTGGATTATCACAAAAATTTTCGGTGTTTTCATCCAGGGAAGTCGCTGTTGATTCACTATCAATGTCCATTTTAAAACCAGTTTTATGAGAAGTCTTACGATTCTTACGTCTTTTGTATGGTTAGAATCGTTTGTTGCTGAATGTAATGTCATTCATGGGCAAAAGAGGGCGCTAGTGGTACCATTTGTTTCTAATTTTGGCTTATCACAAAGTTGAAAACAACAATAGGTGACGCTCTGTGTGTGGATGAAGAATATAATTCCTTCATAAAATTACTCATTCGTAATAACATTAACATCCCATTCTAATTATATCCATAATTTAATAATTTTTATCACTTTTCATACATTTTCCAGAAATCCAGATGTACAACTGCGTCTTAAACAAAAAGTTTAATTACCCACCAGAAAAAGAATCATATAAAATCAATTGCCAGCTCAACGTCTCTGTTTTCATTACCCATTGATGTAATCAAGTGTATTTATAGATTGGTTTATATGCTTTCGGACATATGAATTTATAACGATACCTTGGCCGATTAAAGATATTCATAGCTTCAGATCAGCGTCCCAAACTCTCTGTTTTTCAACCGAACACATAGCACGTCGCTGAGTCACACTTTTATATCGTTTATAATCATTTTTGCGCGAAAACAGAGCAACCGAGTTTTAACAAAAAGATGTTGACCTGTTTATTTCATTCACATGTTCACCAACAGACATTCCACGCTTTTAATCAGACCAACAATGTTGCAAATAATATAACATGTTACACTCTAGCAGTTTCTGACGGTTAAATTTAGAAATCTCAGTTGTCACGGCGCAAAACGTGTAAATTTGTTGTCATCATGATGTTGCGCTTCGCAGACGTTTCAAATTATTTGTTGCCTTATATTCATACTCAGGGGCGAGATTCTAGTTACTCATTTGTTTGTTATGGTTGGACCGCTGGACGGTGGTGGGCATCAATCGTTCTAGAATAGAGAGTGTGTGTAATTCAAATGCGTCGTCGTCGTCGTCTGCGTAATAAGTTGGCGGTCGTGATCGTGACACAAACACGACGCGTGCTTGTTTGTTTGCCATCAGCAAACTTGCGCCCTTTGGGTGCTTTCGAAGGACTTGGCCAGCGACGTGATTACACTTTCATAGTAAAGATATTGAGAGATAAAAGTCTTTAAAGGGAATACATTGTATTTACTATTGAATTTGATCAATTGAAAGAGAAAAATGAAGTTTTTCTTAAAATTTGCAAACAGGAAACAGCAAATTGATTGGAAAATTCGTAATGTAACTTAGTATATACAAAACAAAGCAATTATTTTGAGTCATTGAACAGGAATGATTTAATGTTGCAGTTGATCCTGGTATCAAAGAAATGTGTAACAACTCAATCATGTTTCGGTTTTCTATAATGTTGTTACCTTTAAATAGTGTAGGGACGTAGTAACAATATTATAATATGTTACTGAAAAGATGAAAAACCTAAAAATTACAAAAGATTAATTTTGGGACCAATAATTTCGTTAAAAATACAAATTTTGTAAAATTTTGTACTTCTTATTGTATTTTTTGAGAATGCGGACCTGTTCGGAGACGTTATTGGCATGATATTTCATCACAGCTTGAAAATAAATTTCAGAGAGCAAATTTCGAGAGCGGCGCTAAAAATACCCGCACGCACGCCGTTTTCTCTCGCTTTGCGAGAGCTTTGCGCTTCATGAGTTGTGGAAATGCCGAATGTTGGTCGATGACGTGCCCACGTGGGGTGGGCACTCGGAAAGGTACATTAGCGGTGGTTTTAGGCATCCGGCCAGTTCGCGAGCCGCCACATCATCACGAGACGCCCGTAGTCGCGAACGGCATTAAAGTTTCAAATTTTCATTCGGTCGGACGGACGGTAGCCAGAGTTCAATCCGCACCCGCAAACGGTTTTCAGTTCGCCTTTTCGACTTTTTTTTCATCGACCCAGTTCGCCAATAATCGACCGAGATGGTTTACGAAACCGACTTTTACACCACTCGAAGACCCTACAGGGCATCTCCGTCGCTCTCCACGTACACACTGACGGTAAGTAACACGCTCATGCGCAGAAACGACAAAAAAGGTTCTCAAAAATTGAGCCCACCAGAAAAACACTCTCTCTGGCCATTGTTGTTGTTTGCATTTTTGACAATGTGTGGTGTCGTCTTCTTTTCTGTTGCCCCACGTTTCTCTTAAAAAGGTCCTCAAACACAAAAGTTAAAAAATAAAAATTTGAAGATTTCTCGTCGGTCGGTGACGTTTACATTTGTGGGTTTACAGATTGGGCGTATTAGGTAGCAGTCGCGTAGTTAGCTTAGCTAGGAGATGAGCAGGTGTGATAAAGCACGCGTGTGTTTCCGGTTTTGGTTCCAGAGACGTGAAATACCCTGGGAGAAGGTGCCGTTCGTGCCCCGTCCGAGCCTGGTGCCGGATCCGGTGACGGCGTTCGGCAGGCGCAAGCAGGAGCGACCGGCGCTCGCCGGCGTCGATAAGATCGCGATAACGCCACTCGAGCGGGCTGAGATCGCGCCGAAAGTGCGCCTGGAGCCGCTGAGACCTTATAAGTCCGCACGCGACCAGACCAGGGAGAAGGTGCTCGGCGCGCTGCAGAAGCGCACCGAGCGCGAACAGAGTGGTCCTGCTGCGCTCCTGCCGCAAAAGGACGACGTCGATGTGCTGCTCGCCAAAATGCATAAAAATTCCGAAATGTACAATCTCCCCTACAAGCGGAAATTAATTTTGGCGTCGTACCTCGCCTAAACACTTCGAGCTTTTTCATTAATTTTTGATATCACAACATTTTTTATCTAGAAGCTGTAGGTTTAGGTTTGAGCATTTTTCTAGCACAATGAATCAGTATTTTTTGAGTATTATTAGCACACACACATATTTAAACACACCCACACGCTTTGAATAAGCTTACAAATGAATTTTTATTGTCTGTGCTTTGATTGTTTTTATCGCACGTCTATTTTTGTATATTTTTGTGATATCTCGCTTTTAATACCTGGAAACTTTATTATACAAGATGGCAGCTTGCAGAAAATAAATGTACTTATAAACTATTTCACAGTAAATATTTCTATATATAAATATTCCACAATGCCGATCCACGAATGTATAAAGTTACCGAACACGAATACAATGCATACAATATAAAAGTATAACTGGTTGCATATAGTTCCGAAAAGCTTTAAAATCTAAAAGCTTTCGATAAGTTTGTTCAATGCCAATTGTAGCTTCACTTAAACTTTCCTACTTATCGTTCTTATATATTATTTATTTCAATAGAATCTACTTGTTGATAAATAGTTAAAACCCACAAATTTGCCTTGAAAGTTGTTTCATCACTGCACTGTTGTCCATCTGGCGGCATGCAGTATCAACTCAACTTTGCAAATCTATTCTTCTTGTGTTAGTGTTTGTTGGCCTTCTAAAACTAACTCTACAAACATTTGAATTCATACAGCTAGCTGGAACGCGCTCAAAAAGACGCGCTCGGCACATAAACCCGTTCGAAAATAAATTCGAAAATAAAAGCGAGTTGAGAACACATGCGCACAACGGACGCACACCGGACACAACACACAGTGCAATTTGTGTGTGTGTTTTGTGGGGGAGCCCGCGAGAAAATGCGTAATCCTGAAATTCAATACGTTCACTCAGCAAATTTCGGCACTAAAAATAAGCATTTTGCATCACACGTCTCGCGGCATTATGCTAAGCATGCGCGGCACGCCGAAAATAAACTCATTTGTAAATATCCGACGAGTTATCAGCGAAGCGCGGAAAATATTTCGAGAAATTGCTTTGAAAACATCAAAAATAAAAATATTTGACTAAATTTTTATTCCACTTTTCTTGTTTGTGAATTTCTAGTGAGTGTGATATCAATTATATCGGAAAGCACTGAAGATTTCTCTCGAGGCATTAAACAAATATAATTTTATTGGCAAACAGCTGAAGTCGGCGAGTCGGCGAGAACAAGTGTTGCGAATAAATACCACCACGAATTTTCATTTCGTTAAAGTTTACACGTGCCAACTGTGCCAAGAATTCAGTTGCGCGACGCGAATGTGTTTTTCGCAAAAAGCACGCTGATTAAAAATAAAATTCGAAAATGCCCGCTCTGCGCATGTCATCCACACGTCCAAGCTGCAACCATTAAAACGATTTGTTGTCTCATAAATTATTTTTAATTCGCGTATCTTGCCACGTGCGATAATTTCACGTTGCTTAAATTAAATAATAAAATCACCTTAAATTTTTTCCCCTTATTATAATGTATAATATGTTGTGTGCTTTGTGTTTGACTCCACCCTGTGTCCGCCCACATTCAACACAAGCCACACCCGCGTAAATTTCAGCATGTTAAATGTCTCCCGATCGATTAGGTAGATCATACAAAATCAAACAAAGACAGTAAGAGCAATTTCGAATATATTCGTCGTGAGATATGAGTAATCTACAAATCAATTTTCTTCTTTTCTTCTGTTACAGTCGTCGTCACCGCGTCACTATCCAGTGCGTGATTCGCCCGAGAGGTCGCGTCGCTCGGAGTCGAGTTATACTTCCAGTTATACATCGTCAACTGAAAGGTCCTCATCCTCCAACGATCCGTACTCGTACCGCCCGTCAACTCGCTCGTACACCACCAGTGAGACTGTCAACCGCTCTACTGGTTCCGGTCCAGGCGGATACAGTTACTCTTCGGACCGCACTTCGCGTTCTTCCGGTGATGGCCCCGGCGGATACTCATCCAGCTATTCGTCAACTAGCAGCGGGCGTCTCCCAGGCGGTACCTCATACCGCCATTACTCTTACAGGGTCTAAACTTTAGACTCTAAAGCGTTTCAATCACGCTGTATTTGTATGTTGTGTGTTTGCATATATTTATTGAATTTTGACTTAGATTTAGTGATATGAAGCTTATATTTGTGCACAGATAAATTTATATTTTTCGACTTTTGTGATTGTATTGAATAAAGCTATAAAAAGCACAAAATTTTCTTGTGTTTGATTTTTAATTTTAATACTGTTAGCTCTGTTAAACGCGTTTTCGTGCGCCGTGAAAAGTGTCAGAGGAAAATTGGTTAATTGACTTTCGGGGCGACGCGTGTAATTTTAATTAATGCACTCAGGCTGGTAGCAAATTAATTAATCTCATGTTTTATTCTTTCCAGTCGGAGCCCTCGCGACAAGTGAGAATCCTGCCTGGTTTAGGAAAGGTAAGTAACCTCTTGGCGTCTCAAGACGTCTCAAGACGTCCTTTATTTTCCGCTCGGCTTTCGATTATGTCAAGGTTGACGTTGACCCACGTTTTCCTCCAGGATTTTTTCAAATTGAAATTTATTTATCAGAAAAAACCACGATTTTTTTGTTTTTGCAGCTGATTTTAATTTTAAACGTCTAAAGTTCAGTTTGACATTGAAGATTTAATTGGCAGCTCATATATTGTCTTTCCCGGACGTTTTTCCGCTTGTTGCGCAAGGCTGTAGCTTCTTCCTCTTTGTGGAGTGGAGAGAGGTTTTTAATGTTCGTCTTGCAGGTGCACGTTGTGCATTCGTACGACCGCATCATCCCCTACATCGGGCACAAGCGGCTCACCGTCGTCACGCCAACACCGACTGTGGTGCGGGTGCGTCCGTCGACGCTCTATCGCGAATTCGACCGCATCGAAAACAAACTTAGACCGTACACGTACAACTCGTACACCAACGATTACCTCAACTCCGATAGCCATGTGGTGAGTGTTTGCGCGAGCGAATGTCTGGATGAAATCGAAACCGGACGTAAATTACTATCCTGCCAAGGTCATGCGAATGATGAATGACAGTCGAATTGAATTAATGAATGAATCTAGTATAAACCAAACCAAAAACAGCACGAATGAAAGTAGAAAGTAGAAAATAGAATTTAAAAAGAAAACAATCTTATCCTCTTCATTTTAATATAATTAAAACTCAATCAAACAGAAAACTTTGCACAGCAAGAACTGTTAAATTTGAATTTAAGCGGCTTAAAAGTCTTTAGCACTTCTTTACTTAAAGCATTAGATTAGTATCGAAGCAAAATTAATTAAAAACTAACTTTTTCGATGCTCATTCAAAGTAAAACAGAAGATTTAACGGCGTTCGCATGCAATTAGCCGTTTTAATACTCGGAAAATTTTAATTATGCTCCGCCCACTTGTTCTCCTGATATGTATGCAACTATATTGACAAATTTCTAGTCACTTCACCCGATAGGCAACTGTAGTTTAACTAGTTATATCGTATGCCTATATGTTTTGCAAGCTAAATGTTAGCAACTTTCGTATTTGCTTGAATGTTTACTTTTGGTATTGCTTCGTGTTCAGGGAATTCACAAATGAAACTTCCATTCCACCGTTTCCACCTTGCATCAAATGGCATCATGCCAATTAGACTCATGGCTGCATGTGCGAAAATATTTCACTAGTCACATTCCTCTTATTCGAGAGCGTTGTAAACTGCAAAGCACTCAAATTTTATTTCAGCCGCAAAATTGACCGCTATATAATTCTCTCCATCAATATTTATTTCAATTGTGCGTTAAAATGATGAAAATAACATTTATTTATTTATTCTATCTCTAGCTATTGATTGATTTTATGCTGTGCAAAATTTTTATGAAATAAAATTTTCAGATGAAAATATGATATAGGCAACATACGATACATGTATACAAAGTTGCGTATGTTGTGGGATTCACACAATCAATAAATTCTCACCAAACTAACAATTCAACATCGTGAATATGTAAAAAAGTGTAGTTTAGCACCTGCACTAATATCATCATCATCATCATTCCATGTGTAATGATTTAATGGCATTTTGGTGCAGTTTTGACACTGAGACTTGTTTTTCCAGAGGATAATCTATGTAAGAAATCCGATTACCGGTAGCTTACCAGTCTATCGTCCTTCGACCCTTTATACCAGCCGTTATTACGATCCTTACTATATCTCCCGCGTCTACTATCCTTCGTACCTTGACTACACCCCTACGTACCTTCGCTCGCTGCTCCCGGCGACGAGAAGTTATTACTACTCGCATCTTAGTTTATATCCATCGGAAAGATGGTTGGATCTATCTCTGTACCCGTCCTGGCGCCACACTCATTACGCACGCGTAAGTATTTCCGCCATTGACACGGAAACGTCGCCACATGAGATCCTACCAAAAAAAAAAAAAGATTTTTTTTCACATTTTGGTAGTCATGTAATTTTTTGTAGCGTTTCTTTCAAGCAGCACGCAGCACATCATCTCGTTCACTGACCAATGATTAACAGACGCCATTATTAACCAAACAATTAAACAAAAACAAAAAGCGAAGCGTAAAACAAACCAAAACCAAGTATGGTATGCTCACAAAGTCTAAAGTGTTTGTACGTTGCGGCGGTGGTGTTTTGGGATGGAAATCATTTGCGTTTGCGGCTTGTGTTTTAGATGTTCGATGATGAAACGAGAGCGATCCGGGCGCAGATCAACTCACTGTCGAATCAAGTGCACCTTCATGTGCCACGCAAGCTCAGGCAGATGCCATTGCCCTACACACCCTACACCAGCTACTCTAGCAGGTAATTACTTAATTTATGCATGCTATGAATATTCATTGCTGGTAATGTGGGGACTAACAACATTTTCACGTCAAAGTGAGCAAAAAATTAAAGAGTTGCGAGTGTTTCAAGCGTGAGTAATAAAAAACTAACTATAACGTTATCGTGATGAAGGACTGGTTAAAAAGTTTGTATAATACACGTTGCATATTCAATTTTCATTCATTTTTTACTGGAAATCCAATTTAGGAAAATTTCTATATGAATTTTATGAAAAGATTAAATATTTAAGAGGTTTAGTTCAATGATTAGTTGAGTATGAAATCAATATTTCAAGCGTGAAGATTTTTGATGAGTTTTCAACTTAAATTGAAGCTTAAATTGATTAATTTTAATCTTTGGGCAAAATTAAGCCATAGAAATATACGAGAAAGTCTTAAGAAATAAATTTTTAGATTTTGTAGGATTTTATTATGTTTATTTCCTTATCTGACGTGTATCTATAACTCGATTTATTCGATTTGTCGCAACTTCGCTTTTGCTAAATTAATTCCGCTTAGACTCTGCTATCATGTTATTAGATAGTCCCTTTCACAATTACGTTAATTTATAAGGGTTCTGCGCGTAATTAAGGGGTTATATTTATTCGTTTTATTAAAAGTAAACATCTAAACAAATTTTTATCAAAAAGTGTAATTTGGGTTGTCTATATTCACGATTTACATAATTACACTTTTATGCTCTGTTTCTTCAAAATATTATATTTACCGCTTATATTTGTGAATAGATCCCCTTAACGGCTGAAAGTTCGACGAACCAAAGCGTAACGCACAAAAACAACCACGGCGAAAAGTAGCCAAGAACAAAATTACCAAACTTACGCACAAGTTGTGAAGGTTGTAAAGGTTTCGTGAACGTGTAAATGTGTTTGCGCATTTTGTGCGTTTCACTCGTTAGAACTTTCTTAGGCCATATACATTTAAAGTTAGCTATTCGATATTCCTGGCTTTATTATTATCACATCATAACGCAAACTAAAATGTTGAGTATCAAACTCAAGGAATAATTACGCAATCAATCAATATTCTTAATACCAGTATAAATACTTAAGTTTTATGTGAAAGTTTCGATAGTTTATTTTCTCTATTTTTAATTGGTTTTTATAAAGTGTTTATCCACCTGTATCTGACTATAATGGCTTATTTTGCGCAAATCTCCAAGGATTGCGTGCAATTTATAGCGAAAGCTTCGTGCTGGAAACACTTTCGCTGGTTTCATTCAGGCGGTGAAATCCAGTATTCTATAGATTCGATTAGCTTGTTTCTAAGCGCCGAAGCCGTCGGAATATATGTTGCGCCGACGGCACCGCAAAAAGCAGCCTCGGGAGAGTGCGGCGAAAAAAGATGGACGTTGAAAAACTATTATCGTTTTACAGCACTAAGAGGATGATAGAGTAAATACCTAAAGATATTAACCATAAGAAATATAAAAAAAACACCTAGCAAATAATCAAGACATAACAAGATAAAAAGTGACATTAGGGTAAAAAAATAATATATGCAACACGCAAAACATATTTGTATAAACACATTGCAGAACAACAAGTTGCCTATCTAATCAATTAAAAATATACACGTTTTTGTTAATATCTTGACTTCTAAAGGTAAAAATAGCCTGTTTTTTTGTTTAGAACACAAACAGTTTTATTTACCAACTTCATTTTAGTCTAGTTTGTATTTGTCGATCCATTAAAAGTCCTTCCACGTCTTTGTAACTTCGTCAACGTCTTGAAACTATTGTTAAATAGTCTAATGACTCTCAGTGCGCGCTCGATACGCTAGCTGCCGACGTAATTTAATTAATTAACTAAGTTGCGCGGTAGTAGTTAACATTAATGTCGGCTTAATGTTAACTACTCGTTTCTTGCCTGTTGCTCGATGCACTTTGATTAAGTGCTAGAGATTAATGTACTTACATTTCGTAACGAAGTAATTAATTTCTTTCTGTTGATTTGCGAAAGATATGAGGAAGCACCAGCCAGGTGGTCCAACGACAACTACGTTCACAAGATGATCTGCTCTACACCATCGAACTCAGCTGAATATACTACTTACTGGAGTGATCCTGTCAGGAGACAATTTAGTAAGTTTAAAAAAAAACTTTTTTTGACTTAAAACTTTTTATTTTGGTTTATTTTTGTTTTTAGGCTTATCGTAAATTCAATTAATTTGTTTACCTTTTTTGCAACTTTGGATTATGTTTGTTTGTTGTTTGTTTTTTGAGTACAGCCCGCGGTTAGGTTCTTTGTCAAATCAAGTCAAGTTCTTCCATCGACCTTTTCGTAATCTGATACTGTCTGTTTCTGTGTTTGTGATGTGATTGTTTCTGTGGCAATGCAGACAATGGCCGCCTCGCATGTGTGTCCATCGTCGGCGGCAAGGCACAACCACGCCGCAAGAACATCTACGTCTACCACGATGATCCTGTAAGGAGCGACATTCAGCTGTTGAGCTACTACATCAATCGCTTCCGTGAAGAGAGAAACATCAAAAAGCCCATCAGCGTCCGAGGTAACTTTTATTTCTCCTTATTTTTTATTTATTTTTGTATTTTAGTACGATATAAATTTGGATTTTGAAATTTTTGAATTTACGCTTTCGAATGATTCCAAATTTTGAAAATGTTTACGCGCTCTAGATTGTAGAAATGTTAATGTTGCCCTCATCAAGTTTTATTTCTTCAAAGACATTTTTATCGTCGTGTGTATTTCACAGCGTATTTCACGGCTTTTTCTCATTTAGTTTCATGACCTGCTGTATCATGCTTCAGACGCTTTTTTTCCTTTTTGAGGTCATCCCGTTTTTCGCTTTTGCTCTGATTTTGGCTTTTCGGCTGTCAAAATGCGTTTGACAGCTTATTACATGATGTTATGATCTTTATCATCTTAGAATATATATCTTGTAGCATTTCCACGTAAAAATAGATTGTGCAAAGGATAACTGTTTGAGCAGGCTGAAAATATTGAACTAACGCTTTTGCGTCCTAAGCTTGCAAGCAAAAATAAACACGTTAAAGCAAATGTAAACTTAAAAGCAGAAGCGCTCGCAAATAAAGGATCATAAAATAAAGCACATCACACACATCACATGACCCAACATAATGTCATAATCATCCGATTGTTTCACCGTCTAAATCCGTTCAGTGTTTATTTTCGTCCAACGTGTTGTTTGTTCTGTTTTGAACGTGTGTTTTCGTTGATGTTCGTTCGTTATATTTCCATCTTCATTATAATCAAATGTAAATTTCATTATATTAATAATCTTTTGTTGCTGGAATTAATTAATTGGATAATTGTTTAACAAAGATGTTGTTAATAATTTGTTTGGCGTGTCGATGTGTTCTGATGCGAATGGTTTTCTCTCCTTACAGCCGTGGAGAGTATTGTTGAAGAGAAACCTGTTAAACCAAAAGTAGAAGAGATTAGTGAATAATGCAACTTCCTTCTACCACATCACCAAAACAAAACCACACATAAACATACACATACACAACACCGCATTATCATAATACACAAAAACAAACAAATAAAAACAAATCAAATAGATTTAAATCAATTTGAAAGATGATGCACGAATTTACGCACACGATTTTTTGCACATAAGTTAAATTTTGTGTTTTTTATTTTAAAGATTGCAAATATATTTTGTTCAAAGGCCTAATACTTTAAGCAAATGAGTTTATTTGAGATTTTTGAAATTTGCAAACTGATATAACACAAAACTAAGTAAATAAATTATTTTTTTATTGTTTGAGGTTATGTCATTTTGCAATGCAAGTTAATTCATTCAAATGTTATTATTACGACTAACAATTAATACTAAATCAATTAAAACATCATCTATTTTGATTGAATGAGTAAAACTTGCAAAAATCTCAACTAGCTTAAAACGCGAGTTTTAAAAATAGTTTAAGAGAGTTTATTTTTCGCCTATGGAACACAAGATTTTTTAAAAACTTGAATCTTAAATTATTGTTATATAAATTAACTTAAATTATTGTTGTTGAGAGAATAAAATATTATTTTGTTTAAAAAATACAGAAAAAAAGGATTTAAAGTGAAATTTTATCAAATTTAGTCACAATTTTAACTTTTTTTGTAGTTTTAGACTAAAATTTAGTTTAAAATTAAAATTGTGACTAAAATTCTTAAAATAATTCAATGAATCCTTCTTAAATACCTCTTGAAGTTGATTTAAAGAAGCATTCGTCATAAAAATCCTTCTTCACTCCTTTGATTCTCCAACAGGACACCAATTACAGCAAAGTGTCCGATTAGTAAAACAAAGCATGTTGTAAACGCAAGATTTTATTTATTGTACATAAGTTACATACATAATTGATTTTTATTTGTTTGACTAAAACAAAACCACGTCTAAACGGAATCTAAATAAAAATGTAAACGAATAAAATGCACACATCGACGAGACGCAACCCGACGCTCCCAAAATGGTGACGATTGACCGAATTCTTAAATAAAAACTCCCATTAAATAAAAGTAAGTCTCTGTTGACTACATGGATAAATATGCAAACATAATATTAGTACCAACATCTGTCATACATCTCAAAAACGAATCAGAGCTTCCGCTTGATAGTATTTTAATGACTTTGATGCATTCGCCGAATTAAAACTCGAACAAAACTCAATACCAAACAATTTTTACGAACATTTTTTTCTGCATGTTCAATGTTTTATGTATTAAATGTTTTGTATTTTGTACATATATCTTTTGTATTTTTGTATTGTTCAAACACTATGTGCACGCGTAGTGATTGAATAAAACACACTCTGTACACAAATCGTTTTCATTTAGTGTTCATCCAGGCTTAATTGACATTGGTGTCATTAACAAACCATTTTCAGTAATCTTACCCCCACTACGACCTTCTCGGGTTTTCTCAGTACCACGCCCATTGGAGGACGCGCATATGGACACTGAGGAAGTGGTCCAGATCAAGCAGGAACGCGCTGCACGTCTGGCCAAGCTCAACGAGATCAATCCGGCTGATATTCCAAAGGTTGATGTTAAAGCTAAACTAGCTGAAGAAAAGTATGAAGTTATAATATTGATTGATGCATGATGGTTCAATGGTTTTGTTTGTTTTTGTTTTTATTAGAGCTAAAAGAGAAGCGACTTTAGGTGGTTCTTCAAAGAAGGCCGCAGAAAGGAAGAAGGAAGAGGAAGCTGCTAAACAAGCAGCTGCTGAAGAAGAAGCAAAGAAACAGGAAGCTGCTGCAGCTGCCGCTGCGAAGAAAGCTGCGGAGGAAGCAGCAGCTGCTGAGGCAGCTAAGAAAGCAGCTGAGGAAGCTGCTAAAAAGGCTGCTGAAGAAGAAGCCGCGAAGAAAGCGGCTGCCGAAGCCAAAGCAAAAGAAGATGCTGCAAAGGAAGCTGCTGCCAAGGCCGCTGAATTGGAGAGGTTAGCTGAACAAGCTAAACAAGAAGAATTGGCTAAACAGGTAATAACATAACCTCACAAAACTTACTAACTTAAGTACTTCCTCATGGAACTAATAAACCAATTAAACCTTCCATCCAAAGATTGATCTTGATATGCTTCGTCTTCAGGCTGAAATTGAAAAGGCAAAGAAAGAAGAAGAAGAACGCGTTCGTTTGGAAGAAGAAAAACGTCAGGCGGAAGCCGCTAAAGCCGAAGAAGAAAGACAGCAATTATTACGTCTTGAAGAAATAGCGCGTCAAGCTGAAGAAGAAAAGGAGGCCGAGCTCGCACGACAAGCCGAAGAACTTGCCGAAATGGCGAAGCAAGAGGCCGAATTAGCCGAGAAAGCCAAAGCAGAAGAAGAAGCTGCTGAACAACAGCGTAAAGAAGCAGAAGCAGCTGAATTAGCACAAAAAGAAGCAGAGTTAGCCGAGTTGGAAACCAAAGAGAAAGAACTCACTGAACAAGCTGAACAAGCACGTGCGGAAGCTGATGAAGCAGCCGCAGAAGTAACACCAGCTGACAACGAAGCAAGCAGTGAAGAACCACTGGTTGAAGAACCTGAAAGTCCAGCGCCTGCTGAAGAATCAACTGCGGAACCAGCAGAAGAGGTTCCAGCGGAGGAAGAAGTTGCTGAGCCAACTTCACCAACCGAGGAGTAAATTCAATGCATTATATAATTTTGTTTATTTACAAATAATTTTATTTAGTTTGCATTTAATTTTTAAAAGATTTTTGAATATCAGCACGGAAGATATTGTTCATATTTATTAAATCATTTGGATGTGTTCGAATAAGACATGAAAGACGAACAGAAACAGAAACAAAAAGAAGCGTTGTTGTTGTTGTACTTTTGTGTAAATAACTTATTTATTGTAACTTTAAAAAAATTGTATATTAAACAATTAAATTATCACATTAAATTGTTATCTATTTTAACAAAACAAATTGTATTCATTTATTTACTTTAAATTTAGAAAATTTTCATTGTTCGGTGATTGTACCGCAACTCAAACATAGGAAATAATTAAACCCACGTGTCGCGCCATCTAGCGGTCTTAAATGCAACTAATATCTATAAAAGCGTATTCATTACATTGTAATTAATAACTAGTATAATTAATATTAATGATGCTTTAATTTCTGTGGGATAATTAATTACTCTATGACATTACGGTTCAAAAATCAACATACAAGTTGAGTGACTAGCACAATGTAACTAATATTTATGTGCATATATAAAATACTGCTTAATGTTCCCATATCTACGTAAATACACCAAAAATATACTTTTCTCTTCATCAATTGACGCAAACGATGTTTTTTCGAATGAAAAGATCAACTTCATTGAAGTATTTCAAACAAATTGAACAAATTCCACTTGAAAAGGAATTCGCCGAATGCATAAATTAAACAAACAGTTTTCCAAACTGATTACATAACATTTAACAACACGAATTATGTCCATGAGTCCAGGATGTTGATGAATCATTAAAATACTGAATGCATATTTACCAAGTTTGCATATACTTGAAGCAGATAATTCGGTTTTAATAAAAGGTTAACGGTGAGATTCAATAATGTGTTTAATGTAGCGTGAAGCTGTATGTACGCGTATGGATTATAATCTATTATAGCTTATCCTGAATTAGCCGAATGACGAATGACGCAAATTATTATTACGCTCGTTGTCATTATCGTCATGATCGTCGGCGAGAGCCAGCAGCCGTACAATTGAATGATTTGAATAATTGCCAAGCGTGCAGACGCAAAATGCGTTAAGAGGTTACTGTCGACTGAGTCAGTCACTCAGTCAGTTGGTTACAAAGATAAAACATTGGGTAATGGGGGAAACCTATGAGTTGGTTTGTAAAAATAATGTTTGGGGACGATTTATCATCGTTGTACGACCATTTTTATCATCACTGCAAAAAAACGACGTTAAGTTTTATAAATTACAGTTTTAAGGTAGAAATGTAATAAAGTTGTTTTATAATTTATCAAGGGACCTCATTTTCCTTTAGTTGTGGTTAGTTTTTCACAAAGTAACCTCAAAAGTTTTTATGTTAGGCAACCAAATTTACATCACACTATAAAAAAACCATATATGTTTTACTTTAGTGGTTTCTGATTATTCTAATGAAAATTAGTGAAGTGGCAAAGTGGCAAATAGCACATTGTTTCGTCGAACAAAAAGAGCGTCGCCGTTCATTACCGTCTGCGACGCGCGCTCGCAGGACTCTCAGCGACACACTTACGAACGAAATTAGTTTGCGTGCGCGCGTTGGCTATTTATAGCGCAAAATCGAAACGAATTTTGGTGCACCGATCGCTACACCACGCAATTCTCACGTGCACACGAACCCGCATACACACACTAACCACATAAATGCGTTAACACCTTTCAACGTGTTGAATTTAATTGAAAATAAAATCGACTTGAATTTATAACCTATTTAGACAACTATCGAACAGTGTCTTAAAGTAACATTTAATTAATAATTATATATTGATTTAAAATTATGCTGTAATTTAATTTTTACGATTAAAATCACTAATTAAGTTTAGCGACGCTCAACTACAAATCAACGTTGATGTAATTGGCAGTAAGGTATAAACAAAACAATTAGTGCAAAATTGCTAATTTATCATGAGTCAACAATCTATACATTTTTACATTTTTTACATTCACCTGAACCGAGAAAATGTTATTCTACAACATAAAACTTAACGTCTTATAATTAATATTGGTTATGTTCATGTTGTGGTGTATTGTGTGTTGCCTACAATTAATAGCAAATAAAGAAAATCACGTTTTCTATTACTTTACGAAATTGATATGCGGGTATTTATTCAAAATGAATCCTTATAAATTACTGTTGTTGTTGTTTGCGAGTGTTTACGTTTCTTCTCATTTGAATGAAGCGAGTCAACCAATAACAACACACTCATTCAAATTTACTCACACGCTTGAAATATGGAACAATTTCAATGTTCTGCTGTAATTCGATATTTCATCAAGGGGACGGCTCAAAATTTCCATCAGCGTTGGTGGTCAATCAACTCGTAAATGTGCGCAGTATGGAGTAAAAAGTGGAGTAAACCAAGACGAAAATAACGAAATAAAAGTAAAGCAATTCGGAGCGATGACGCTGATTGAAATTCATTAAAGTAAAACGATAAAAGCGAACCAAGAATAAATCACCAACTGCATGTTACGAAAATAAAAGAAATAAATATTTATTATCATAAAGGTGTTAAATACGTCCCTGGTGTTATTATCATGCGCCTCGTGTAGCGTTTAGTTTTAATCAATGTATATTGAACCTGTGCATGTTTGTAATGTATCGCATTGTGACGAAAATACAACGTGCACCCACTGGGTGTTTAAGAAACGAATAAAATCGCGAATTTTGTTGAAGATATTGATTGAGGTATTTTTAATCCACTCACTTTTTGAAGTATACGGTATGATTCATTATTAAATTGCTGCATAAATATCTAAACAACCGAAACGAGGCCTGGCAATACCGATGACGCTGCCGCTGAGAAGTTGGGAAGTCGAAAAGTGTTACAGTGTGCGACGGCGGCGGCAAAGGTGGCAACTCAGTGACGAGGAGAGAATTCAATAGCGATATCGCGACCGCCCCCCGCGCGACTCACGTCAAACCGTTCTCGCTGGCGGTCGCGTGTCTGCCCGCCACCAGTGTGTTGGTGTGTGTGTGTGTGTGTGGGTTTCCGTTCGTCAATTTTAAAACACGTTCGATGTGTGTTTGCTTCATTCCAGTCCATTCAAACGAACTCGCTCGACACACTCGGCACACGGGCGGCCGGCACAGTGGCACGAAATCGAACCAGAGGCGGCGCCGAGACTTTTTTCCGCCTCGCGGCTTCTCATTAGAGCATTAGAGCCGGCACGGCCAGGACCTTAGACACACGCCAACGTGGACTTGAACTTCGCCGCCGAGCTGCGAGTGACATTCAACTTCAAACTCAATCGTGCGCCGCGCCGCATTCGATTGCGCTTTCGATTTCGTTGCTCGCGTGCGCTTGCCGGAAGTTAGTGAAGCGCGAATCGGTGACTTTTGTTAGAATCGCGTACATCTTCCGCACGTGGACGAAGAATTCGGCTCAACATGGACAAAGTGTTTCAACCGGAAAATCCTCAACGGACTAAATCCATGTTAAGGTAAAATTATTAAATTTTATATCAAAAAACCAAAAAAAAAGTTTGAAAGTTGTTTATTTATTAAACCAAACTGCTGGTATCTTTATTTGATTACATTGATTCGTTATCGATTGAAAACGCGAATAAAAAATGAAATATTACCCATAGACGACTTTTATTTCACTTTTTAATGTTTAAAAACATCAAAGACATAACAATAAATTTAATTTGATTAATATTTTGTTCGCAAGATGTCGCAACCGGATGCGTTTGTGTTTCAGCCAAAATTCCATGCATTTATGCATTCTTTGCTAAAAATAAAACAATTGAATTATGCAATCGCATTACACAATGATTTTATTTACTCCACGAAAGGTTTTTAGCAATATTATGCAAATTAAATCACCAAAATGAATTTTTTCCTAATAAATAAAAATAAATGTATCGTTTAAATGACATTTTGTTATAATCGCGATTGCTGCCGACCGGTAATCTTTATTTTTTGTGTGCATGCGTGGAAATTATCACCGTTTCATTAAATTGTTATTGTGCGCAAAGCTTATCGAGTTATCGGTAATAAACAATAGCCAATTTTGGCATGCCGAATCACAAATACAATGCGTAACAAAACATCAATATTTAATTAAAGAATTTGTTTACAATTGTTTTCGTAAACATTTAATGTTGATTAGTCACGTTGAAAAGTCAGTCAGAGTTTACCGTGCACTTTGAGTTTTGACAACAAGATAATTATAACTACCTGCAAATAAAAAAATATATAAGTGGTGAATTAATCGCCGCTACGTGTTTTCCAATTACTGCGGTCTGTGGCACACAATGTTGGCTAGTAGCTAGGCAGAAAATCGGCACGTTTCGAGCGGAAATCTGTTTTATCACAAGCCACCATTTTAAATCAATTGCATGTACGCGCCGCAATAATTTATTCATTTCGGTTTTCAACAAGCGCATACAACACTAGATTTTAATTCCGCATATTACCTGAATAACACTAAAATTTAAATTTTAATGACGTTGTTGGTTTGTTTGGAAAATTCATTGAAACCAAATCGTGAATCACGTTTCGATTTTCACCTTCGTTACGAATTCCTTGACGTCGCCGCATTTATATTGACGCAATCGCAATGTGTTTTACGAACGTGGATGTTTCCTTGACGTAATAAGGATCTAGTTAATGCTGCAAAGTGAAGGACTATCAAACTCTTTCAATTCTTTTTATTTTCAATGATCAATGTCAATGACGTCAAAAGAAAACTTTGCCGCACGCCGGCGCGTCCTATAAATAGATAAATATCATGAGTGTAATTTATTGTTCTAAATCCCATGTGAATTCTTGTCGTCTGAGTGTAATTGCAAAGAAAAGTAATGAATATTAGCCGTATTGGTGGAAGAAGTAATTGGAAATGTAATTTTTCTATTTTCGGTGCGTAATCATAAATAAAATTGTGTGTAATCGTGAATAGAGCTAAAAATACATCTTGAATACTGCAATGTTTAAATTCAATGTAACAATGGAGAGAGGAAATGTATAGTTATGGAGTGGACTGCATCGCTTCAAATATTGGTATTCTAAATATAAACACGTGAACGCTTTCGATAAAATAATAATTCATCGTTTCGTGCTGTGCACGAGCAAAACAAATGGAATTAATTCAAATTTCCATCTAATCTAGTGTATAACATAACAATGCCCAGACTGAATTTAATCTTAAAAAGAACACATTGAAGTTATGCAACTTTTTATGCATATATTGTATGCTGTGTCTAGAGTCAATTTAATCAAAACTTACTCAATTTTTACACAGTTTTTGTTAAATAAACCATAATTACCTATTATATCTCTATTATTTTTTAATATTAATAATTTAGATGAAGTTTTCTCCACGTCCGGAATAAATTTGTTTACCAAACAAGTTTTTTCACGTGTCACAGTTGGAAACAAATTTCTTGTGTTGCACTTTTTCACCTTTTGCATTAGCCGCCGCATTTGCATTCGTGGTCGCATTTAGATTAGACTTTACATAAATAAAAGGTTATCATCCCATCGTAGTTCATACCTATGCTCATCTACACGTTGGCTCAACAATGTTGCAATGACTTTTCAAAATGAATTGGAGTTTTTTACGCGCTTAAATCCGACAACCCGGACTTTTTTGTCCGACCGAACAACATTACATATTCAAGAGGCGAATGACGCTTCATCTTCGGACGAGTTTGGAATTCTCTGCAATTTTTCTGAATATTAATGCACCAGCGAGAGGCACAAAGTAGAAATGAAGATGAATGTAGAATTGAATTAAATGATACAAAAGGTACGCGGAGTACATGCACTTAAAATTTGTATTTTAAAAGCTTGCACATTTGCAATATTCCTGAATCGCGTGGGTCGGTTACTACCCCCGTGATGGTGCAGATAATACTTGTCCTTTCAGTGTTTACCATTTAGCGCGCACATCTCAACGCGATTAGTAATTAGCATTCTGCAAAGTGCTCGCCGGCGACGAGCGCTGATGTGAGGTTAGGTGTATTAGAAGCGACGCGTTGACGGACCTTGAACGAGTCGTCCGTCGTAAATGCCTAACGCTAAATTATTTAATGCCCGACAAAACTCGGGGATGAATTACACTCGAGCGGGCCGGACCAAAGCCACGGCTAGACGATATAACATGGAGATAATGCGACAGCGCCACATGCAAATGAACAGACACTCTCATTCACACAAGAACAAACAATTTTAAGATCTTTGTTGTGAATGTTTTTGTAACTAATGTGGCTGCTGGTATTTATTTTACATTCTATGAGTGCACGGATTTGTTGAAAGCGGAGAGCTGCTTCATGATGCTAGTTAGCGAGTTTCAACGCGCAACGATGTTGATTTTGGCTTTGGGCTTTGGGTTAGCGGAGAATGATTAAAATTGCATAAATCAGTATGACGCACAACGTCGTTACCAAGCGAATGCGCTGCCTGGATGTTATTCAACCTGCAGTGCACACGAATTACCTATACGTGCTGGTTGGATTCCGGCTGGCATTGATTTTTGCGTTTGCGGTCACGGTATACGTGGGCCAGTGTTTATTTTAATTGAAAATTAAATTTGTAGAGTTTTGATTTGCCACTACAAATTATCCGAGTGTTTTTACTGTGATTTTTATTTTATTTATCAACATATAGATGGCGCTGTTGTATATACTGACAGTTTAACCTATTTTGTGTAAATTTTAAACTGATGTGTTTTGTTACAGTATTGTTGTTGACGATTTTGATTCCAAACTGCAGAAAGAGCACGTTGAAAAGGAAAAACCCTGCGATGATCACCTAGAAACCTCAAACAAACCGAAGGCGGAAGAATCAAAAGGTCGAGCGGGTACTCCAGATAAATCCATACAAAAAATCCTTGTAAGTAACAAATTTAGTCTTTCCTACGCCGTTTTAAACAAATCCATATTAATTTATTTAAAAAAAATGTTTGTATACAATTAGAAATTAAAAATTGTTGACAAGCTGACCCGGAAAACTCTTTTGTTGCGCACAATGCCTTTATTATCCTTCTCTATATCAAAGAAAACATGTTTTCAACTTAAAGCTCTTATTTGCATTCCCCCGAGGCTTATTTGGTTGCATACGTCTTTACGTTGCACTATTTATCAAAAAATCTCGTCTTAACCTCATTTCTCCAACATTTTCTTAGAATATTTCCTAATATTACTACGATTTATTTGTGCAGGATGAAGTCGAACACCGCAAAGATGAGTTCCGAAAACTACTCGACGAACACAACGCGGTCATTCAGAATCTCAAGAAGATTGAGAAAATAGACGACTCCAATCTAAAGGACGCCACCAGCAAGTCCAGCACCCTCGCAAAAACTCCCATTCCCATATGAATTACGCACTAGACAATAAAGAAACACAAACGGATCAAGGTAGCATCCAGCCACACAACTCAAGACAATTTATTAATTATGAATCATCATCAAAGTAAAGTGTAAATTGTAGGCACAAATAAAACTACTAGCATATTTATTTCGAGCTGGCTCGGTTGTCAAACAGATCTCAATATCGAAATCTTGACATTGAAACAAGCAGTATTAAAACAATAATTAATAATTGCCACAAATGTTGAATTATTAATTTTGTTTTGTAGCAGATAGTCAAATTCGATAAGATTAAAGATTAGATCTTTAGTTTTAGTTTATAGAGATTAAAATAGAAGTGCCACATAAATTTTCTAATCAGTCAATAAAAAGATGAAAATTATTTAGTTGTAAAAATAATTATTATGTGCAAGGAAAGGAAAAGAGTTTAAAATGTGATGAGATGTGAATTTAAGTAAATTGTATACTTAATGTGTAAAATATGACTTTTTGGACACTCTGAGTGTTTACTAGTCATATTTAAACATGTTATTTAATTTTTTCTACGATAGATGTTCAAATCAAGTGGATAAACATGTTGCGCATGCGCATATTTACCCACGTCAACGATTCCAATACAATAGATGCAACATCGCTTTACTATCGTAGAAAAAACATAAATATTTACGAGAATTGTGAAGAGAAATGCAAAATATTTTGTAAACAAAGATTTGAAGCATGAAATGAGGCAGAATGTTAAATAAAGTTTAAAAAAACTAAAATTAATTTTATTCCCGTAAATATTTCCATGAAAAACTTTGGTATGAGATAAGTTGGCTCATCAGAATAATTAATATTTTTTGTGGAGCTTCATGATTTGAATCGTTTTATTCGGTGTTTAATTCAAGCCGAACAACATGAAAATGCACTCAATGCTTGAATAATTACCAGTAAAAACGTAATTCAACTTTTATTCACGAAAAATCAAAGCTTTTAAAGGTGTTTCCGCAGAAAATATTTGGAAAATAAAAAGTTTTAATTGATTTTTGATATTTGAATGAAAATAGCGTTTTTAATTGTTTTATTTAAAAAAGATGAAAAATTTCACAGTTTATAATAATTTATTTAATTTTTTTCTTTAAATAATTACATAGTAGCTGGAAATGTTCCATTACAATCCAATTCTGGAAGTAAAAAAGTAGGAGTAGTTTTCGTCCGAACTCATTTAACATTTGTAATTATAAATAAATTGAACATATTTATATTTCCTGAGATAATATATCTCTCCGTCATATCACCAACATCCTTCTAAATACGTCTACTCTGTTTATATCTTTTATCTATAAATAATTCTCTATATATTTTTGGTATTATTCTTATTCACAGCATCATAAGCACATTGTATCTTTGGTTCTATTCACTTATTTAGCGCACAATTGAATTCTGACTTACTAAACCATAGAAAAACTTCACTAACGCATAAAATATAATCTTTGGCACCTTAAATCAAAAATTTATAACGTTCAACAGTCATTAAGTACAATAATTCTTAGATAATCTCTTTATATAGTTAACATTTATAAATGTGACTATATTGTGCAATCACTGCACGCATATAAAATTGATATTTATTTAACGTTAATGAGTGTTTGGGAGGTTGAAGGTTGTGAAGTGGAATGATGGTAGACACCTAAGTACAGAATCGCACATCTTTTCGTATTGACATTTGAATTTGAATGCGAAATTGTTTAATTACTATAATACAATTTAGTATTTTACATGTGCGAATAGTGGAGATTCACCGGTTGCTAACCTACTACAGTGGCGACACCTACAAACGTCGACCGGAACCAATTTTTTTTTCAAATGTTTGGTTAGAAACAAGTAAATCTCCGCTATTTATAAGAGATTCTATACAATAGATACTCTGTAGTTTTGTTTGACAATTTGACATAAAAATTACTTTAATTAAACAACGATTTGTTTACAATTAAAAGTGAACATTTAGAATAGTCCATTGGGTAATTGATCTGATAAATTCCGTCTTCTCTCAATATTCTTAGATATTTTTTCTTTGTATAAAAATAACTATAGTAGACCTTTGTTTAAGTACTCTGTTTGTTGTTTCGTATTGACTTACCGTCTTCTCTAAAGTTAAGTTAACTTGGTGTTTCTGTGTAGCTCACAAACCTAACCTTCATGCAAATGTTAAATTGGTTGCTTACCACAACAATTTATATTCCCGTGATTTAAACAATGCTCGCACCGTTAATCATCAAATTCTTGCCTTTGAATATCCACACATCTGTGCCATTCCTCAAACCCGCAAAACTCTCAATCATACTCTTGGATCCCTTCAATCCTGGCCGATTGTAGCAATTCTGCGCCTGTTTGTTGTCTTCTTTACACTCCTTAATCTCATGCGTTTCTTTTGCTTCTTTTTTATCCTTCAATTCTTTAAAGTCTTTAATATCCTTCACAAAATTGAAATTTAAATGCGTGCTGAGATGTTTTCGATTATACCGCTTCTTGCCGATTTTTGCGCACTTGTTGTTCTCACCATGTAAATGATTATTATTCAACGACCGGCCACTGCTGTTCAAATGGTTGTTATTGAACGTTACATTGATATTTTTTACACTGGTACACTTTTCGTCGTCCAGGGAGAGGAAACCAGACGATTCCGGTTTGGCCATCGGCACTAATAGATACTCATCATCCGGATTCCAGCTGTAGTACTCTCGCTTAATGGGCGTCTGTTTTTGCGGAACGCACTCGACCAAATCGAGAGCGAGTGGATTGTGTTGATGATAAAGGTGGTTGCAATTCGGATGGTGGTTGATTAACGAACCGGCGTCTCCGGCCGTTGCCGCTATACTTGGTGGCACCACGTGCGCATCTGTTATCGGATGGCTGCGATAATTAAAGCCGAGTAGAGTCAGTACATCGTCGACAACCTTTTGCACCGCGAGCCGCAACTCGCCATTTCGATAGCCGTAAATCCACGGGTTGAACGCGCTGGAGGACACGATTGGGAACGCCAGGTAGATCACGATCCATTGTGTTAATATTTTTGAATCTGTGAAGACATCGAGAAGCATACAAATCTGCAAACAATAGAAACATAACCTTAGAATCATCAACATTATATATTTACTATAGGCAACCAGTTTTACACTCATATACTATATAACCAAAAGTTTCTTTTTACCATGTAATGTAATACTCATGTTAAAATATTGGGTTTCATAAGATCTAAGTACATTTAAAATGAATGATGAAGGTAATCATAACATGTTACGTGTAACAACTTTCAACGCTTTCCAACTTATATTTTCATACATCATTTTTGCACGTAACAAGATGATGCATAACAAGGAGCCTGGCGGCAAAAACGATCGTAGCACCACGTCGTCCTTCAAACCTCCAAAGCACCGCACAAATGACACAAATAACCTTCCTGAAAACTTTATCTAAACGATGCTTAACGAACTGCCAAACGACTATGCTATTTTCCTGTGATTTTCTACGTCGATGGTCAAACCTATCATCAACAAAAAAGTCTTGTGATACTAATAAACAAATAATGTAATAAATAATGATTGTCTTGATCCTTGAGCAGTCGAGCGTGAAGCCGCACGTGTTGTGCAGACTGCAACAGCAGCCAACACAGTTTCGTTAGCCAAATGACGCCCGATATCGATTTACACTTTTCCACCGTTTGCCGCCGCTTGCCGCCGCACGCGTTCACGGTTAGCCTAGGCTCATTCTCTCCGCATTTACCTTCGGCCGCCCTTCAACCCGATTGTTGCTCCGCTTCGTTTCCCACGCTAATAGTCGCAATAACTTTCACGTGTCAGAGATGAAGACGGAGTTGAATTAAAGGGTAATTTGGTTGCCTACATTTAGTCAAAGATGGAATTATTTACTAATTCATTAAACATTGACATTAAATATTAAAGATTTTGGTTAAATTACAACGCTTTGTGTTTATTATTAATTTTAAGTGTTAAACATAAAAGAAAACGATTAAATTTGTACACAAATAAAAATAAAACAATTCGTTTGTTGAATTGTTTGAATTATATATAAAAGTAACAGATATATTTGTGTGTGCTGTTAAATATTTCATCTTGGTACACAGCATGGCGTTCGTATTTGTTCAGAATTTATCGTGGTCGAAGTCGTGATGTTTACTGAAAACGTGACCTATTTGTAATTTTCATTAAAATGTTCACCTACCGATGGGAATATGAAAGAGCTCATCGCTCGTGCACGAATATAATCAACGTATTTGCGTCTTTTTTTTTTCGTGCTAATGATTTTAATTAATAAATTAATCCGCTAATTAAATACTACATCTACAAAGGAATCTAAAAGAATGCTAATCAGTGGTATTTTAACTCACAAATACAAAATAAATACAAATACAAAAGTATTGATATTGAAAAATTAAAAATCCTTTTTTTTTCAATTTCTAATCAAGAATCCTCAGTAAACTGTTCACCTCATAAAGCAATAGCATTGCGCGTTGCTTAATGAAAGTGTTAAAACATTTGAAGAGCGCAGAATGTGCGGAAATAACGCGATGCAAATTTATTCATGCATTCATTACGTTTTCCGCTGCGATGTTGTACAATACTTTGTTACGTTTATTGTTGTGAAATTCTTGCACGTTTTTTTCTGTGGTCGCGGCTTTTGTTTGTTCTCTTTCACTGGAAATTTCCGTTTGTGTTTTATTTTTTCGACGTGAAAACGTTTTTACAATTCCTAATAATATTTGATACGTAATTGGAGTTTTTGTTAAGTATTCGGTTAATATACTTTATTGTGTATGCTTCAATTTATCACAATTATATGCTTGAATACAGACAGGCATCGTTCAGGAGTGTAGAAATTTACGGCTTCAATTTACAAGCGTGGTGATTTGATTGCGAAATTGTAGCTAGGAATAACTTGGTTAATTACACTGTGGAACAAGGATTAGTGGCATTCCTAGAGTCTGATCAAATTCACGAGAATTACATGTTTATTATTAGAATAGATTAACTTGAAATGCCTAACCTAACCAAGTTTCTATTGGTGTGTATAATGGAAAGTATAACTAATTAATTTAAAAAGTGAATACTAACGCCCTCTCATTGCAGCGTATAGAACTTAATGTAATCTATTCATCTTAGAATCGTGCAGTTAGTAAGTTTCATTTTAGTTCTATTTACATTTGGGTCCTTGTGATGTAAAGTTCATATTGTCCTTTATTCCATACAGTATTTGTAAAACAAAACCGACGTCGCCCATTATACTTGTTAGCTTCTCGCCGGCGGTAAAGTTAAATTTAGAACGTCGAATTTCGTTAAAGTTTCATCGCTTATCGTGTGTCGCTTCCAACCACCAGTGACATTAAACTTGTTCCATGCATGCTGCAGATATCGGCATCTCTTAAAACGTATCAACTTAACCATTTCAAGCATATCGTCGTTGAAAAATTCTTATGTGTCAAAGCTTTTTACTCCAACAAAAGAAAAAAGGAAGCTCAGTATCTAAATTCTCACACGTGCCACGCAATTTATGACCTCGCTTTGGTAACATTTTTTCTGTGCACTTTTTTTGTTCTCTTCAGAGTTTGCGAATTCGATATGTACTTTACTCTTGCTTTTCGTGTGCGTTGAGATGGATTGAAGCGCGAATGAATGAAGAATACCGAAAGATTCGGCGAATTGAAGAAAAGACGACGTAAAACTTTCGACGCACACTGAAAATATCAAAAGCGTGCGCGTTTCGTGAGTGAATTTGCCGATGGAGGGATATATTGGAGAAATTCACTGCGAGCCTTCCACTGTGTACACACCGAGCCCGTATAGAAATCGTCCCTTGAAAAGCGATTCAACCGGCGCGTATGAACAGTTTTAAACATTAATAAAACCATCGGAAAGCCCTCGATGAATGTGGTGAAAAAAGAAGCTCCGTCTTCTCTCGTGAAGCGAAGAATACGATATGAATTTTATTCTTAGCAACACGGAACCATCCAACTTAAATTGTTTGCGTTAAACATTAAGAAAGTAATTGTTTTCTGCGTGCCGCATAAAGATTTATTCTTAGAGCGGAAAATTTATAATTAAAAACGGTTGTTTATTTTGGAAGCCACGTTATGCAACCTAATATTCACATATTTTGTATTCGTGTATATGTATAGGCAACCAAATTAACTAATTTAATCTGAATAGCTTCAGTATTATTTTCAACTAGCGTTTAATTAAACTTTAGACTATACGTTGCCGGTTTGGCACGTCATCGAACCGCAACCATTCGCAACAATCTTGCATTATCCTCCTTCTTCCTCAAATTTCTATCAACGGTCACGCCGTGACGCGGAGAGTCGATTTGCTTCTGCAGCGTTCGCCGGCTTCTGCATCTCCGTTTAATTAATTTCTCACTGGGGGAGCAATTTGAGGAATAGCACGGAATATCCACTAGTAATTAACTTCGCGCTTGATTGCTCAGTACCCCATTTCAGATACAAGTATATTTTCAGATTGAAAATCATTTAAAGAATAACGCTACAAATTGCAAATCACGGAAATGTTGGTTTTGTGACTTGCAAGCAATTTTACGTCAATCATTATTTTTTTCTAGTAAAAAATAATTAATTTTTACTTTTTTGTTCAAGTATGTATCGATTCCATCAAGAAAATTTGCAATTTTATTAAAAAAATATATAAAAATACTAATAATATACTTTGGCGCCATCTGGGAATCATTTAATTAACTATAATTATGATGAAATCTCTATATGATTTTTAAAGCTATATTTATTAGTCTTCTAGTCATATTTTTCGATATTTTATTAATTATTCTGCTATTCCCAATAAATACGAATCTAATAATTCATTGTTGATCAAAATCTGTCAACTAGTTCTTGAGTTATACACGTTGTAACTAACAAAACTTTGTTTTTATAAAATAAAACTTAAAAAACTTTAATTCCCTAATCTCTGACGCGTAGCTCTGGAGCAGATGACGCAGGCATGCTGTCGTAAACAATGCGTGTGTAAAGAAAACGTCAACTCACTTGAAACGGCAGCCAGAGCGTGAGGAACATCCCTGTCGTGATCGCGAGCGCAACCCCGTAGCGCGGCGCGTTCGAGCCATGTCCGTACTGCAGCGAGTGACGCACTTCGGAGATGGCACGCGCGTGCCCCCGCGCCACCACGTAGATATAACCATAGCACACCAGCAGGATGAACGCCGACGGGCCGTAAACGGCGCAGAACATAAACAGCTGGATGGGTCGCGGTATCAGGCTGCCGAACGAGCAGTGGGATGATCTGCAAATTAAATAATTCTGGGTTTAATGTAAATAAGGCATCAAGCATTCAAATTATCTTGCAAACATGCTACGACGCAGAATTTTTCCGCTGATTTTTTTTCTCTTGCTTTGAAGAGGGAATATTTTAGTATGTTGTCTTTTAATTAAGTGAAACTGCACCTGGAGCTAGGGAATTGTATATATTAGAAAAACAGAGAGTAAATTCTCTACGTTGCGAATTTTGATATAAATGAGGATATAAATATTGGTAGATTATTTTATGTAATGTTTTATTTATAAATCGAAAATTGGACTGGTTTTGTAAACAAACTAATGAGGTTTCCATTTAGCATTGAATTTTTAATATTTTTGACTGAAACGTAAATTTTATCCACGTTAAAATTTGTAAATATTCACTAAAATATTATTTTACATATCTAAAGAGAGAAAAAAGTGTTTTCCACACTGAAATGTAAAAAATTGTAAAAATTGTGTTTTTAACAAACACCCTGTATAATTTGATGTATTTTCTTGCGTATTTGTTCAATTCTTCAATTTATGTTTCAATTTTTTTGTTTCTCTGTGTGTTATCACTATAAAATTGTAAACAATCTCTGAAATATTACATTAAAGTAGAAAACAAGTGTTTTCTACACTTCAATGCGTAAAATTTCAGAAAATTAAGTTTTTAGCTAACACCCAGTATAATTCAGCAGTATTTTCTTTCGTATTTTTTCAATTTTTCAATTTATGTTTCAATTGTTTCTCTGAATGTATCTTATCATAATATAACAGTAATTCACGATCAATTTTACACCCCATGTAAACTTTCCACCATGCAATGTTAGATTGTTAGACATTTCACATAAATTTATTACCTAGCATCACATAAATAGAAATATCAAACACGCGATCAATACATAGCGCGTACTCTTGAAAAAAACTGAATATAAAACAAAACGTTATTAGCCAGACAGATTAAATACTGTTGGTTTGTTGGAATGCCAAGGCACAGAGATCAATGTCAACGCAATATCGGTTTCCGGTCCAATATAGCTTCCACTGCAACCGTTGCTATTCCAAAATTAAATCTACAAAGTTTTGCCCCGAACAGCAACACTCTCTCCAACTTGTCATGTAATTGATGGGTACATGTTGATAGCCGTGGATGTTGATTGTAAATTCAGTTGCATACAAAGCAAATTCCGGAAACTGGGATAATTCGCATCAAATTGGGCGCGTTATCGATTTCCTGCTTGGACTTGCTAACATCTCACCCAGCTGCAAATTCTGCTTCACATGGAATGCAACCCATGTGGGCATACTTGTATATGTGTATGGTGTGTTGCTGTCATGGTCAGCATGTTTCAGGCTTCACATGTGTCTGCAACCATCACTACACCCACCAACCAACGCTAGCTGAACTAAGGTCATAACATATTAATGTGTTTTCACTTTTATTATCGGACATATCCGACGTCACAGTTTGTTTTATTGGGTTTTGTAATGTTATACGCTTTCTACGAGGATAGAAATCCTTAAGATTGCGTTCTGTAATATTTATATCGCTTCTATTTATTCTCCCAATTCTCCTTTGTTTGCGGTGCGTGTGTGTCTCGCATTCCGAGGCCGGAAGGATATGACTTAAGTAAAACGGATGCGATAGGATGTTGTAGGCTTGTTGGATCAACAATACCGAATGAAGATTTTTGGTGTTTGTGTCCGGGGTCGAATGAACTCTCTCGGAACTTCGATCGCCGGTGTGAACTTGAACTTTTATTGAATGATTTATGGCTTTGTTTTCTCAACGCTTTCTTTGACTTCTGCCTTGGGCGTTTTGCAAATCATAGATATTACATTTTTTATATGTGCCCTTTAAAAGGTTTCGAGGTAAAAATATTTTTTTCAATCAAAAAATTTAGATTAAAATTTCTTTACTTACTGATAATTTGGCGTCCCATAAAACATGTGATAAGTAAAAGGTGAGAAGCCAACCAGAGCAGCATAAATCCAAAACACCGCGATGTACCTCTCCATAGCGGTGTGCGTGATAAGATTATTGTACCGCAGGGGTCTCGCTAGTGACGTGAAGCGATCGACGGCGATGGCGACCATCACCAACACCGAGACGCAGCAGAGCGTGATGGGCACGCCGTAGTTAAGTAGACAGAGCGCGGCGCCGGAGGGAGCGCCCGACGCCCCGCCGACGCCGCACAACTCCAGATACATCCCGACCGGCGTGTATATCCCGACGCCCAGGTCCGACGTCGCCAGCGACATCACCAGGTAATTGCTCGGCGTGCGTAATCGCTTAAAACGATAGATGGCAATCAGTACCAGTGAATTACCGATGATAATTGTCGGCGAGAAGAGGAAGACCAGCAGGACGGCGGTGACGAGTGCCGCCGGCGATGCCAGCTGATTGATTGCAAGCAGGCGAGCTACCTCTTCTTCGTAGGAAGCGTTGTCTATTACACTCAGGGTGTACACCAGTGCCTGCTGGCTGTTGTTCCATGCCAGCGAGGTGAGATTGGTGAAATTTGTTTGATGATCCATTAGTGTGGACTGGTACTTGATTTTTCCCTCAAACGCATTTTTGGTCAATTTGTTTTTGTATTAAATTCACATTTTTTTAATTTTTAAATTTTTTGAATTGGATTTTTTTTTTTGAGTGATGAAATGCACTTTCGATTGTTGGGTAGGACCGGTGTGTGGTGAGATCGGACGTCGGGATCGGGTCGGTGGTGTTGTCGACGCGTTTGCGGTACGTTCGTAACTGTCTGCGTCGCGACGCTCACGCGTCTACGAACTTCGTTTTGCCGGTTTCTTCGTTGGGCGGACGCGCGCAGGCTTTGTCCTGCCGCATGCGTTCCGCACTCTCTGCATGTCAGCCACGCGTAAAATGCAAAAAAAACCTCCCTCAAACATATTTTTAAATTATTTAAATTTTTGTTTCAGCATTAAAGTACGCATTTTAATTATTCTCATCTCACTGCTCGGATTTTTATAAAATAATGCGCACATTTGCAATTATTTCATCTTTTTTAAAATAACATTTTCAGTAAAAATGTATTTTTGTACCTAGAAATAAAATTATTCACACTACTTGATACTACTTGAGACCGCAACCAATATTACCACCACTTCAAGGGAAATATCACTTTTTGCCACCGCTTTTATCCACGATCAAGCAAAAAATTGCTGAAATATTGACGCGACTATAAAACCGACAAAACAAATATCTTTCTTCGGTCCCAAGCCCTCAGACTCTTCGCCAGCGTCAAAAATTGTAGGAAAAGTACAAGTGTGAATCGAACGCACGGAAAGTAACCGCAAGGCAATTAAATTTTGCATCTTTTATTCGCGCACACCGTCGACGCCGGAGCGTTACTTGGAAACACGTTGTACGCCAGCCGCATTGAGTTATACATCGGCACGAAGAATGGATTACCTCCTGAATCAGTTTTCCTTCGGGGAATTTAAATTTGCAGCCACAGGAAAAAGTAGCAATTGATGTGTTTGGAGCTGCGAATTGGAATTCAAACAGTAAAACTTTATTTTCATCGATTTTATTTTTATTTCGAAAATTTGAAAAAATTTAATTAAATTTAGTATTAATGTATATTTATGACCTTCAATATTTGAAAATTTATTAACTTTCATAAATAAGTTTCGATTATATACGACTACAATATTTATTTTAAATTTTTTTGGTTTCGCCGCATTCCAAATGATTCTATTCCAGGAATATATGTTTATTTTTTGTGTCAAATTTTCGAATTACGTCAAACACATTACGCTGAGAGGCAAGAGAATATCTACTACAAGTCAATGAGCAGATGTTCTATTGCATGCCAAAAATTTGCGATCGTTTCCAGTGAAATTTAACGCTAAATTTGTAATTCCAACACTTCGCGGCACAAATCACAACTTTCCGCACTGTTATTATCCAATTAAACGGCATTTAGCATTTTGGTTTCGTAGTACCGTAATGATGCAAACAGTGTTTGATATTATTGCAAACGCTGTGGTTGTGTTACCTCATTCCGGCAGCGATCAAATATTTGTCACCGTTAAATTACATCACGCCTCCTCGCAAACTAACAAACGCACAAGTGTTGACAGCATTCGGTGTCTGCTTTCAGCCGGCACTTCGATCAACACTATCAACATTATCAACACTATCAAAACACAATGAACCAACATGCGCATGTATTTAGAGAAGTCGGAAGCAGGTAGTTGTCGAAGAGGGATAATTCTACAACTACCTGAAAGCGTGTGAATGTGACTGTAGGTATGACAGTGTGACGAAGGACGAAGGACAAACCCGCCGAGGCGGTGCGATGTAAACAGATTCGGATGGCGGACGGAAATAGGGCGAACAGAATAAAAGCAAGAAGTAACAAACGGGTAGAGAAAACTTGTTTACATTTTGTCTGCATTTGTTCGCCTTCATAGAAGTCGACAGGGATGTTAAATTGACTTTAACGAGTGTTTAATTTGTAATTATTTCATTATACGAATTGCACTTCTTGAAACAATTGGAGTGTAAATATTTGCTGCTGCATAGAAAATTTAATTGGTTTTGCGTTTTAGTTATGCACGGAGTAGGCAACCAACAATACACAAAGAAAAACACGTCTTTCAATTTATTTTAATACATTTTTTTAAACAAAAAAAAACATTTAATTATAAAGTATAATAACCGCTAGAAAATAAAAAGAAAGAAAAGGAATAATATAAATCTTTTACTTTGTTTTCAGAATCGTAGAATTATGGCGTAGAATTAGTTGTACTCGCATTAGGCAACCAACAATACACACAGAAAACAAGTCCTTTATTTTATTCTATTTCTTTTTATAAAATAACGCTTTACTATGTTCCTAGAAGCGTAGAATTATTGAGAAGTAGATACGCGCAGATAAAGCAAGAGTATAAATGTCAACTCGAGTTACCTTCAGATTGTGTTCATTTATGTGACACGTTACTCGCGATAACTTGCATTAATTTAGTAATTTTCCAAGCCACGAGCACACCCTCGTCGCCCGCTGGCGGGATGTGACGGCGTTAAACCCATCTGCAAGTTCAAACGCGTTGCATGCGCATACTCGAATGAAAATGTGTGTATACAAACGACGGACATTAACAGGAAGCTGCTGGGAAAATTACAAAGCCATGCATAAAGTATGCGCGAGCGCAAAATGTTAATCGCTTAATGAATGCTTTGACGTGACTTGTGCGCGAATCAAGTCCAGTATATACTAAATTTTGATAGCAAACATAATTTCTACGAATCAGGTAATAATATATTTCATATTAATATATTAAAACAATAAAATAAAAGTGAATTCAAAAATTTACCGGAAAAATTGTTCTATTGAGTTAAAATGGTAATGTAGTGTTAATTTAGTGTAGTTTTCTATTCGCTTGGGCATTGGTGTTCCGGCGCGATGGTCAGAATGGAAAACCCAACCCGGAGCGGAGTTTAATCTCGCGGGATTTTATTATATGCTTTATGCGTCGCTTACAGTGTGAGCGGTGTGAGCGCACAAGTTTAGGTCTGCTCCCTGCAATGAATATGTTTCCGAGGGCATCCGCATGCAAATGCCGAGCGATGACACCCGACGTGCGCCGGAAAATGATGCAAATAAAGTTGCCTTCCTACTCACGCGGCATGCATACATAACCCAGCATAACCTTATGTAAAACCTGGATTATGATAAAACTATTAGGTTATGCATAAAATATGTTGTTAATTACGTAGATTAAAGCCATATGCTATTATATATTTTATCCAATTTAAGTAAAAATATCAAAAATACAAATTTTAAATTGATTTATGTTGAAATAGATTTTATTATTAAATTTTATTACACTAAAAGCAGAAAAAGGTTGTTTACGCAAAAATATCACAAATTATTATTGCCATCAAGATAATATTATATAAATCGGTGGCGAGTCACGATATTACATTGATTTTTCCACTCGTGGTCCGTTTTTGCTTCCATTGGGGCCGGAAAATAATACCTGTTTATATTTGTTCTCAAACACGAGCGGAACTATACCTATAATAACGTTGGTTAATAAATACTCGCCAATTCCAAGGAATCGTTATTAAAGTAATCGCTATAAAAAGTATTACAAGTATTTTAGTATAGCCGAAGGTATTCGATATCAAAGTAGTGGTTAGTTTTATTTTTAACTTGACTTTTGACATTTTTCCATTTGCTAATATGTACTCAATCCCAGCGCGGTTGATTGTGCAACAGGGGCGCGTTTCCGTTACTGAATGAATTTACCAACACGCTGATATTTATTCAAGTTACCCGAGTCGCTAACTCGTAGATTGCTTACTTTTCTACTTATTCTTTAATCATACGATCACCCATGACTTTTGGCTTGTGCTCGTTTTATTCGGAACAAGATTAAATGATTAAACAATTTATTTCGTTATTTTTTTTATTTTTTGTGAATGATGCAGTAAATATTAACTGTGAAAATCAATTTTTGCATAAAGTGCTATTTCGGATACTCATAAGTTTCGTATGAAATGAAATGCGCTGAAATTACGACTGGATGGATGAGTATCGAAGTGGAATTCTGCGATTTCGGTTGTTTTCAGTGGCTATTTATAAAACCAGTCAATCAATCATGGCCGCCGTCAACACGCTAGATGGATGTGGAAAATAGCGCAAGTTAATCGTTTGTTGCGGCAACATAATGGCATGACAGCAACAATAAATTCAACAAATCAAAAACTTATCAAAGTTTCCAACTCAAACTAAAAGAAAAAAAAACAAATTTCAGATATAACTATGGGAACATTTAGATTTGCTTCGATATTAGATAAAAGGTGTACGGATTGCATTTTCACAATGTAGTAAAACGTGATGACAGTTTGAAAACAAGATTAACTTTTATTATAGCATAATAAACTGTTTTTTTTATCTTTCAAGGTCATTTGGAGGCTATGCACACAAGTTGCATAGGTTATAATTGAGGTTAAATGTTTTTTTAAAATGCGAACATCTTTATTTTCACTCAGAAATTGTTTTTAGCTGTAATTTTATTACGTTTTATGCATAATATCATGTAATTATTAGTGGGTATTTAGTTATTCACCCCAACACGTCTCAGATGTTTTGCCCAGCATCAAATATCACGTGTTGATTCCTCCTGCACGTGCGCAACTTGTGACAGTTCAGCGGTCACGTAACATATGTAAAACGGATCATATTTGCAATATTGTCATACTGCACGTGCCGTGTATTCGATTCCAACGCACTTCAGCGCAATAACAAGATTATAAAACCATAATTTATTCCTAAATTTCATCATTTATTTTTTAGATTACACAATGCTAACAATATTACTCCAAAGAAACATAATCTAACCACAAAGGTTACATAACCTTAGTTTAAAACACATCATCTATGACAGATTATGTTAGGTAACGTTAGTTTGAATACATTGTTTGTAATAAATACGTCTAATTGGAAGTTTTGAAAAAAGTACAAAAATTAATCGCTCCATTGATTATCGTCTTCGTCGTTGTCATCATCGGGATTTTGTTGACTGTGATGATGTTCCACGCCAGTTTTTACTTCGGCCACCAGAGGCGCTTCTAACGTTTCGAGTTCTTCTTTCTGCTTGTAGCCGATTTCGTGGTAACGCACTGGATACGTAAGCTGATTGCCGCGATCCCATGTGTACAACTCCTGCATCAATAACAAATTGTATAACACAAGAAGATTCAATAACTCCAGTGTTCAATTGTGTGCCACAAATCAGAAATCACTACTATACATAATTCAACGAGCAGAAGTCGAATTCGAGGTTAGGATTTAATAAAACCGGGTAAGTAAACCGAATTTCGTACATTATGCATGAAATAAAACGCACCTTATATTTATTGTTGTATCCGACCATTGTGGTATTGCGGAAGGGATTGGTAAAGGGTAGATTCACATCGAGCAAATTGTTGGTATAGAGATCCAAGGCGAATCGGATTCGTGAATCTCGATCGGTGACGCTGTCGACCGCGTACAACACGCCGCAAACGACGAACATCTCGCCGACTTTGTGATGGTTCAAGCTTATGTTCCATATGTATTGAATGTGCAGGCTGTTGGCATCCACCTGTAACGCAACGGGGGCGTTATTATAATATTTATGCATTCAAAATCGCAATTTTGCATTCCGGGAAACTCGTATTTCAATGCGCATGATGAATGGGGAATGCAAACATTATGATGAATTGAAATTGAAAATGCACACATTTTATCAAATATCTCTGGTTGGTTTATGATCAACCAAGTTTAAGGAATGAAATATATTTCCAAGGAGTAATGTGAAGGCATAACCTTCAAATTTAATAATGGCGGATTATGTGGTATATGTAAGTTTTGAGGTTAGATTATTTAAGCCGACCTTAATTGCCACATACCTTCATAACGGCCGTGTTATTACTATCCGGAATGCCGAAAATTACCCACAGGCCGTTATCATCGACATTGAAGTCCATATAATTGTTGCCGGTGGTGTACAGGTAATTAGAGCCGTTGGTGGCTACTAACGGCACGTTCACGCTCTGCGTGCTCTCGTTTGCTAAATTGAGCTTGACGATTTTCGGCTTATCGCGCTCGTTGTAATAGAAAGAACCATTGAACACCACGTGAGCGTTGCCTTTGAATGGATAAATCAGCTTATATTCTCTGAAATTCAATTTTTCGGGTATAAAGCAGTTTTTTAATTAAAAAAATTAAAATACCTCGACGGGGTATCCTTGCGGAAAAGCGTTTTGTTATCAAATTGGAAAAGACGATAAGCGTCGTCCTCTTTCGTAGTGTAGTAACGATCCCCAGTCATTTCCAAAGGATCACGCATCCAGCATCCTACTGATTGGTTCGAGTAACGGATGTAAACTGGTTTTCCAACAGCGTAGAGCAAACAATCTAAAGAAAAAGCAGAAAAATTTAAAAAACGAATGAAATTTAGTTTTAAAAAGTAGAATTGAACATAATTTAGTAGATCTCCTGTTGTGTTGCACTGAAGTAATAAACTTCATACTTAGATGGCGCTTTAAGTCCTTGCAGGATAAACAAAACTTACATCAAAGTCCAAAACACTCGATCCTTTCTCTGTCAGATTAATTTACTGTAAAAGCTTTTCTGACGCCATGTGTAAAACCTTCTTACCTGTCTGTCTGTCGGGAAAGCCAGGATATGTCGCATTTCCAAACTGGCGAATCTCCCATTTGCCGATCAAATCGATTAGCGACACGCCGGAATCCCTGCACTTGAATTCGTTCGGATTGAGACATTCTGGGCATTGCACCGGCGGCGGGCAAATCGATTCCTGCGAGACGCGTTTCGGCGGCCGCTGGCCAAACTCGATGACGCTGGTATCATACACAGGCGGCGGCGTCGCCAGGTTGGGATCCACCGCTAAACATTAACATAATATCAACTAAACACTCTCTCACCGCAATAAAACGCAACGACGCAACAACAAAACGAATGTGCGCATTAAAACACACACCAAAAACCTTTTCCCCAAGTTTTACAACTGATATAAACCTAAATCCCCGCTGCCGCACACGTCTTATAAGATTTTCAATTCTCGCCGGACGCTGGCGGACCGAGGGAGTTATAAAAACTATGAAACTCATAAAATTTTCATCACGTCTTTCATCCGCGCGTTTGTTTCAAACTTTTTGGCTTAAACTGTGTGCTAACTCCCGCTCGTTTCATTATCGCATCGCGCATAATGTCGTAAAATGTATAAAATGTACTCACAATATAGTTTGATGATGCCGCGAGTTTTGCCCTTTTCATTCTTTGCCACGCAATAATAGCGGGTGTAATCATCGGGTTTAATACGAGTGATGTTCAACTGCATTCGTACTTTATAGCCATTGCGACGGACATTGTTATCGATGTGATACCTGCCGTCGTTTTCTAGGAGACGCCCATCGTCACGTTCCCAATATCTAAAGATAATATAAAAATTGAATTAAAAATAATTTTAAAAAAAAATAATTAAATTTACCGCAATGATTCCGGAAAAGCTTCAACTTCACATTCTAGCATTCGTGTTGTGCCCATGGGCGCTCCAACAGCATCCTTCCAGATGCGGATTAGTGGAATAACTAAGAAAAATAAATTTATTTTGTAAAAAAATGTTTTTTCAACGAAAAAAGCTTAAAAATTAGTTTTAGGCAACCCAATTTACATTTTCAAGTGAACATATCCTTTTTTTCATTAATTTGTATAAATACTCACAGTGAACTTCAATGATGAAAGATTGATTAACATGTGGTGGAACTCCGTTATCAGCAACACATTGATATGTCCCCATGTGTACGCGACTCACCATCGTAATATTTAATGAATGCCCAGTCACAGAAAGCGCTAAAAAAATAATTTGAAAAAAGAACTGGCATTAATTTTGTTAAAATTTACATTGCCAAGGACCCATAGTAATTGGTTGACCATCTGTGCGCATCCATACAACCTGAGGATGCGGAGTTCCGATAGAAGCGCAGCTCAAAGTGACATTATCACCTTCGGGAATAACCGACGGCCCAATCGGCCCATCTCTCTTATCTGCAAACATTCAATGAATCAGTAATTACGTTGAAAGTCTCTAATTGCCAAAATTAATGATCTTTATTGCGTTTGAACTTGCTGTTGATATTTATTTATAGTTAATTAAGAGTCAAGCCGACGAAGAAGCGAATTAGCAACGCGAAGAACACGACTGCGAAAGTGAGGTATAATTTGAGTGCGGCACGTCGCGAGTCACCCCGCCCGGAGCGATTGAACTTAATTTGAACTTGTGCAAAATGGAAGTTATGCGCACGCGGGGAAATGCCTTTCCGTGTGCGCTCTCTGTGCAAACTTTAACTATCGTCACGGTGAAGAAATCGACTACGCATGCCACGCTCCAGAAAAGCGGAAAGATGCAGAACGGCGTAACGGCGGCGGATGAAGATGAAGGAGTTGCTGAAATTTTAAGCGGCCACGGAATCCGATAAAGTTAATTAATTAGAGAAGTCAATTTGAATTCGCATTAATCCACGCTAGTTCGAAAACAGAACGTGAAATTCACGCAAATTACAATCATTGCAAGTTTAACTCGTTGATAATTTTAAGATTCGTCGGTTTCTTAGCCTCTTAGCCAAACGTTAAAACATCCTGAGCTCGAGTTCGAAGAGTTTGCAAAACCTTGAAGGGGCTTCAAAGCGAGGTTGTGAAGAATAGACAAGCGCAATGTAATGTAAATCGCTCCAAGCGCAACACAAAGCGGAAAATCTTGACGAGTGCAAAGTTTTCTGAAGCGAATACTTTTCACTAGTCTTTGCGAGTTCTCTCCACTCGTGCATTGTTCAATTTTACATTACTCAACGGGCCAAACCACGGCTCTGTACTCAGTTGAAAAGCGAATGCGGAGGGATAAACAAAAGCAAAACAAATGCAAGTTGTAAATAATCTCCGTTTAATGTTTGATTAAAGTCGAACGTCGAAATATTCTGTGATTTTAGACTCGTATTTGTGTAACGATCAAACAACGATCGTTCATTGATGATTGGAGGTTTTGCGGTGATATCGCCCACGATCTACGAATAACAGTTCCGAACCGGAAATGAGAGTGCATAGAAATTGAGAATACCAATACGATAGTTGCAGTGGTTTCGGTCGTAAAGTGACGTTATGACAGTTTTTTATTTCGAAAATAAAAAAGAGACGAATTGGATGAAATCACGCAAAGTTGATGACATATGAAAGCAAATGAAGAAAATAAAGCAAACAACATCGTAATAAGTAAATATACGAGCCGAGTTCGTGTTTGTAACATTGCGCAGTGTTATAAAACACGATTTCATTCTTCATTCAGTAAACGCAAGTTTTTCACTGAATATTTCCATAACATTTTCTATTTTCTCGGATGGGGATTTTCAAGCATGCACATCACGTGTCTGTAAACTCTATATGCGGAATTGAATTTCCCATTTTTTATTCACAGGCGAACAAATCATAGATATTTACGTATCAAGACATTAAGGTAATAATTTTTTGAAAAATATCATAAAAAGTAAAGTGTGAAACTTGAAAATTATTATTTTGTAACTTACCAATGATTGAGGGCGGAATGAGTAATTCGTTGGTGCCATTTGCCTTGATCTTCCACGCGTTGATCCCTGGAATCCCAGGCGTGCCATTCGTGCCCGGTTTGCCTGGCCGTCCGCGTGGACCAGTTAAACCTGCGCAACAAATTATTTCACCACCAAATTCCCAAACATATAATGGAAACAAGCGCCAGTCGGCAGTTGGCAAACATGCGAATGAAAAAAGCAGCCGGTTATGGCGCTTATTGCGTTAGATTTTAATTTAGTTCATTAAGACCGGCGTGGCGCGCCACAGGAAATTAAATTACCGCATTACCTTTCAGCCCCATCGGTCCAGGCGGTCCTTGTGGTCCTCGGTCACCGGGTCTGCCTAAAATTATAGCACACGTGAAAAATTGCCGTTGGCAAACAAGACTATTAAGTGTTTCAATTACTGGAGAAAAAAGAAGGGGAGATATTCGAGTTGGTAATTAGCTGAGCTCCAGAAAGAAATTAAAATTGAAAAGTTGATTTTTCAATTAGCTAATACTTTTTCATCTTTTAAGTAGGTAAAAGTTTTAACTCTTAATACATTGAATTTGTTCCAAATTCTATTCCCGGAGTCTTTTGAATAGAGAGATCTATTGATCTATTTACATTGCATTACTGTAGCAAATTTAGAACATTACAAGTGATTTTCAACTTCAATCGCCACAAACTGTTTTAATGTCTGTTTAAAACGAAAGTTTTCCTCTTGAAAAGCTTTTTAAGACCGAGCTAAAAATATAACTAATACTTGACCCATTATTATTACCATCAGTTCCATTTCGTCCATCTTTCCCCGACATTCCAGGCATACCATCGCGTCCATCCCTACCTGGGACTCCATCTTGACCATTCCTACCTGGACTACCATCCATACCGGGTTCACCTGGTACTCCGTCTCTTCCGTCTAAACCTGGACGGCCTTGTTCTCCTTTCTGACCATGATGTCCAGGTGGCCCCATTGGTCCTATATTTTACAAGAAGTGCATTTGATATTTATGTTTGTAAGGAAAATAATTATTTCCTTTTTGAAAGGAGTAACACCTACCTTTGGGTCCCAATGAACCCGGGATGCCAGGCAATCCGACTTCTCCGCGTTCGCCGCGTGAGCCTGGAGGTCCTTTGGGACCTGCCGGGCACTCGCTTTTCACAGCGACGCAGTATCCTTGTATCGTCGACATCTGCAAACAACACCGCAGTACATAAATGTTGATAAAAACAGGCACTTTGAGCGATTTATTTTTATTGACGCAGGTCAGACGAGAATAAATATCATTTACAAATAGGAACAAATTCAACAGTAACATAATATAAATTGTTGTATACGTAGAAATTGCATTTTATCGAAATATCAATATTTTCCTGTCGGAAACATGCAGAAACTTTTAAGTCTAATATGTTTGTAACAAGATATAAACGAGTTTTACAAGTGTATTATAGCAGAATCGACGTTAACTGAAGTGATTTGTCGTCGGCGAGTGGAAACTCGCAAAATGCGAAAACCCCTGTTGGGGTGGCCAGATGCCACCGAAGCAGTGCGGGAATGAGCTGTCATAAGAGTATGTGAAGACATAAAACGCGCACTTCAAAGAGATCCAATGGGGAAAACGCAATTATACTTGGGCTCGTACGTTAAGTGCGGACAAAAAATACGCGAGGAACTGAGACAAAATTGCGCTCATGGGGTGAAGCAATTTCACTGCAAGCAGAAACTTTTCTTTGAAGTTAAAAGGATGCATTCACTTGACTTGGTGAGAAAATAGTTGTTTTATAGTTTTTTGTTATGACAACGTAAATATTTAATGTTGTAACGTGGAATCAAGAAAAAAATCATTTTTTTCTTAAAAATACGAGGCACACAACAAAAGAAACAGGTGTTTTTATATTGCGTCATTAGCCACCGTAAATTATCATGATAACAGGTACTTTTTTGTATGTTTCCGTTTGCAGACCAACAATACCTAAGATTTTAATCAGTTAAACATAAAATATAAACATTATTAAGCAATAATTTGGAAGTTTACGGTTTCCTGACTCATAAAAATATTTTTTTAAATATTTTATAAAATTAACAAACACTCACCGATACTCTAGCATAATCAGCCAACCAAACCCAGTCGGTACCATCAGGAGATGTTCCCTTCCCAGTCTTTTCTTTTTTCTTCCGATCTAAAGCCTCCAATTCAGATCTTTTGCTCGGTTGGAAGAAATCCACTGTCAAGTCATCCAAAGTATTATGTGAGCTTCTTCTTGTTCTATTTAAAGCAGGATTACTGTCCGAATCGGTTCGATTCAAATCTCTATGATCGTCGTCATCTTCATCTTTGTGATAGTTTTGCGATTTTTCACTCCTCTTTAACGCTTCCTCTACTATCCGATTGATCTCTTCACGGCTTCTTCCACTCCTTAGATTGCTCAAGAATACCTCCTCTACTTGATAAGTACGCAGATAGTTATCGCGCACCTCGGCGTTAATCAGTCTGTAAACGTAGTGTGCCAGACAGATTTCAGTGAGGAAAATGAATAATACACAGCAGACGATGCGAAGGGTATAATTAGGGTTCTGTTGTGTGTAGGGTAAATGTGTAAACTGCATGTTTCTGGTGTTAAAATCGCCTGGAGCCGCAATTGCCGAAAGGGTTCGCACTTCGTTTACATCTTTTGATTTAATTTCGGTTTTCTTTTGGCCAGCTAATTCCGACATGCTGGCCATATTTTATTTATGTATTTTTAAAGAGAAGGATTATTTTTATATAATTTTTGTGTTTTAAATTTTATATGCCGGAAAGAAATTGCCGCGCTCGCGCCGCTCGGAGCTTCCGCGTCGGACTGAAAGTTTGAGCGCCGCGCCGGCAGGCTGAAACTGAAATCCTGAAACGCACTCGAACAGATGTCTGAGGCGAACGCAGGAGAGCACAGACATTTACGCGTGCCTGCTCCGCACACTTTACGCTTGTCGTTGATTTAGCTTAACGATATATTATTGTGTGGCGAGCTTTCCACTTTGACGGTTCCTGCTGGAACGACCAACACAATGCCTTCACACGCACAGAGCGCGCATAACATTCAGTAGCAGGATTACCTACACATACGCATACTTAGTTCGAGTTGATTGTGTGACGGCTAGTAAATAAATAGACTTTAAATATATGCGTGTTGCCGGCGCGGGTTTCATGGGTTCCAGTCGTACAATCTTTTAATAAAGTCTTGTAAATCGTCCGGCTGTACGACTAGTTAAAACAAATGCTGTTGAATTCATGTGGGCCACTTAATCGCTAAATTTCGGTTGTGTTTTGTAAATATTTTTTAGATTATGCTAATGCGTGCTTTCTTGATTGCTGGAGTGAATATATTACGCTTAATGCGCAAATTACGCTGAAGACGTTAATCAAGTAGATTACTTATGCTAAACAAAATATAATTTATTACGACAAGTACATACGTATAAAAATAGTAAATTAAGTTGTTAAGGAGGTACGCTTTTTATACTTAGTAGATTTATAGTGAAATGGGATTGAACATTCCCTCAAATATCGCCACCATCTTTTCTTACATCCGTTACAGTTTATTTTCGTGGGTTTTTGTGGCAATATATAATTTAAAAATCAATATAAAGAAGAACTGGGTAATATATTACTCAATTTTAATTCTTACATGAAAAATTTTCAGTTGCTTAAGTTTCCGCATGCGCACGCCGTTTAGCGACTCAACGAATTCAACAAGCAACGGTCGAAACAGGAACCAAAGATACGAACACATGAGGGTCACTGTGTGAACGGGAGAACCTGTTATTTGAATCTGCTTTTGCATGTTTACATTCCCAGCATTGTGATTCTCGAGTTCTGTGTAGATTAACAAAACCTATGGTTACCATGGAGGAATTCTGCAAATCTCTACCGAAAATTGTAAGTACATCTTAAAAATTCTAACATATTTCTGTAAAAGCAATGTTTAAAGCTAAAATACTTCATGCGGCATGTGATTAGGTTAAATAAACAAAATAACAGATTTATTTCGTATCTTCTAGGAGCTGCATGCACATTTAAATGGCTCTTTAAGCACAGAAACTCTTGCTTCCCTGGGCACACTTCAATCAAATGTACAAGAATACCAAAAACTCACAACAATACTAACTAAATCCCACAGGACACTTGATGAATGTTTTCAACTTTTTAATGTGGCTCACCAAGCCACAAATAATGTCCATGCTGTATATCAGGCAACACAGAGTGTGATTAAAGAGTTTCATGATGATGGTGTAATATATTTGGAGCTTCGTACCACACCTAGAGAAGAAACAAATATGAGTAGAAAGGATTACATTCAGAGTGTTGTGAAAGCAATACAAAATTCATGTAATGAATTATCTATTATTGTAAAACTCATATTGTGTTTGGATAGAAAATTTGATGCTGATTTGAGTAGAGAAGTTATGAATTTGATAATTGAGATGCATCAGGCACATCCAGATGTAATTGTTGGTGTAGACTTGTGTGGAAATCCAAAAATTGGTAACTTTTCAAAAGAGGAATTTGTAAGAGCAAGAAATGCAGGGTTAAAAGTTACACTGCATTGTGCAGAGGTAAAGAGTGATAGTGAAGAGTGGGATATTTTGGAGTTTCAACCCGACCGTTTAGGGCATGGAACTTTTCTTCATCCAGAAAAAGGCAACAATGAAAAACATTTAGCATAGATATGCTGAAAAACATTCCATTGGAAATCTGTCTTAGTTCAAACATCATCTGTGGCACAGTAGATGATTACTCCAAGCATCACATCAACAAGTGGATGGAACATAAACTGCCATTTTGTTTATGTGTAAGTCTTTTGAATTAAAAAGATCAACACAATAATTTTTAAGATTTCTATTTAAATTCCAGACTGATGACAAAGGCGTGTTCATGTGTGACTTGTCCAAGGAATATCTCCTGGCCCATCAACACTACAACCTCTCTGCTGAAGACCTGTATAATGTAAGTATCAAAACCATAGAATATATTTTCTCAAACGACGAAATCAAGCAACAATTGCGGGTAAAATTCGCAGAATGGAAAGCACAAAATTTTCTAAACAAATAATGGTTTTATTTACAAATACAAAAAAATAATACGTAAACAATTCGAAATAAGAATACACATAATGCTGGTTTTTAGTCAATTATGAACATTTCATAAATACTTAACAACTAATGGTAATAAAAAATAAAGTATGTTGAAAAGCATGTTCCAGTTTAAAAATCAACTATAATAATAGCTCTCTCCTAATCATATATGTTACAATATATTTTATGTGGCGTTATGGGTGATTCGGGGTGGTCCGTTTTTGTTTGTTTTCTACTCAGTAGTTATTTATTCACCCTAATTAACTAGCACTTTACTATGCAGTGAAACTATATAAAAAGAACAACTAAGGTTGTACGTGTTATATGTATGTACTTTGATTCACAGTGGAATAACACCTATAAAGGGATTTGGATTTAATTTATACATTATTGCTTCTTGCAATATTTATGTTCTCAATCAATCAATATTATTTGCATGTTAATGTTGAACAAGTTATACCCGTTTTGGTTATGATTGAATGTGCATTACATTGCACTTTTTGCACCCACCATGAGATTCATTCGATATCAGGCGCGGATTAGTAAGTGATATTTGCTTTTGTCTCCTGCCCTCAACACATTTAATTGCCATTAATCGAAGATGCAAATGCGTTGCGTTATGAATGAATGAGCGTCATGGGTTTTCGTTAGATGAACATTAAAAGTAATGAATATTTTTTGATAAAACCCTGTTTCGTAGTTTGCTTAGGTTTTCTTTTTAATATCATTATAATTGGATGAAACATTTGTTTGATTCAAGCGTTAGTTTAAAATTTAAAAATATACAGTATAAGAATTGTACAAAGTTGCCTTTTCATTCTGTGATAGACCTGGACGAAGGATAAAAATAATATTGGAATAATAAATGCGTAAAATGATACTTGGTTTATTATTTTGATTGTTTATCAGAATCAAACAAATTGCGTGAACATGTTTAAATAAAAATTTAGTCCTTCGTCTACACCTAGCACCGAATGTGACCCTTGCGCATAAAAATCAAATTTCGAGATAAGCGCTTCGTAACATATTAATGAAAATATCGGGAAATGTTCATAAGAAGATGTAGATAACTTAAAAGTATAAAACGATTGTAAATAGTCGTTTAGGATAGATGTTATCGACAGTTTAAGTTCAGCTGCTCGAATTATTGCGTCGTTTTGCCCCACGTCTCGCGTGAAAGCACTCAGAAGTAGTACAAGAAGTTGATGATTACATTCGCAAGCGCACTGCAAGTTTCGTTTCACATCTTTGGCATTTGCGTTACTAAACGATTTCGATTATGCAAGAATATAACAATATTTCTCATTCGAATGGTTCAATAAAATTTGATAATAATGTCCCAGACACTTAACAACAATTAAATAGAATTTATACTCTGTATAGAATCTCTTCGCAGATTGCTCGTCATTCACACTCACATTCACATGCACATCCACACACTCGACACGATTACTTATGTGTGAGAAAACAATATAAAGTCGAATTCATAAAACTTCAACGACAATATACACATTTGAATAGATATAATGGTTTCAAGGTAACCGTTACCTATGACTAGTATTGCACGCGAAACACTGATCTGGTCCAGCAAATCTGATTAATAAATATTATTCAATAAAATCATCTTCAATTAGAGTCGTCTAATTGGTCGTTCAATCATCTATACCAAGGCTAATCACTATAATAACTTCTTTGAACTAATTGTTTGTCGGTTTGTTTGCGTTTTTGTTTCCTGTGCCTTAGATTATTTGATTGTAGTGCACATGAAAACATTGATAATCCGTTTTTAGTTTATGTTTGTTTAGGCATTATTGATCAAATAATCGAATAAAATTAATAACTGTCGTATTGTGCGTCATTCTGAAGAGCGAGGCGTGCGTCAGCCTGTTGTAGTATTGCTTTAATTAATATGGTACTTGCGTTTTTAGTAGAGTAATTATCTCGTTAGGTAATCATCAATAAGTAGTACCATTTTACCTCCCCTAGCAGTTTGGAATGATTTGGATTTTGAACATAATTGGAAGTTCGAACACTATTTTAACAGTTTTGTTCGCTGGTTCCCCGCTTTTGTAATCGAACATAAAATCTATAATATTATGTCTTGTCTTGTGCTTACTTCAATCACACATTTTACGTGCGTGTCTAGGAATTGCCCTGATGATGGCGCTTGCGTTTGAAGACGAGCGCAAATATGCTCCGCAGCCGCCACCATTTGCTGTGGCGATGCGGTTTGCGCTCGCTGTTTGGCAGGCCGAGTTTCGCACGCTCTTTTGCGCGGATTTCACGCACCAGCGTATGGAAGGCGTCATCAACGTAGGTGCGAAGCGCGGCGGATGTCTCGTAGAACGGGCAGCCGAATTGACGCGCGAGCGATTTACCCTCGTCGGTTGTGACCTTGCGTTGCATCTCCAGGTCGAACTTATTGCCGACGAGTACAAGTGGCGTGTCTTCAGAGGCGCGTACCTTTTGGATCAGTTTGCGATATTCGAGCGCTTCCTGGAAACTGTGGCGGTCGGTGACGCTGTAGCAAATGAGGAAACCTTCGCCGCAGCGCATGTATTGGTCTCGCATGGCAGTGAATTCCACCTAAAACATTTATTTTGGTAAATATTGACACAATATTAAAGACTAAAATACTTTCAACAATTTTCTTTCAGGGTGTTACTATTAAAATTAAAAAAGAAGTCAATTTTACTTACTTGTCCAGCTGTGTCTAGGATATCAAGTAGTGCAGGTTCACCATCAATGACTGCTTGTTGCTGGTATGAATCTTCTGCAAATTTGACAAATATATAAGAAAAATTCAACTTTGCAGGATGAAAATAACAGCATACCAATAGTGGGATCATGATAGTCTAAGAAGCTGTGACTGACGAACTGAAGCGTGACCGCCGACTTGCCCACGCCGCCGTCGCCGAGCACGACGATTTTGTACACGCGTATGCCGCCCCGCGTGGTCTGCGCGCCGGCAAGCCCCACCGACGAGCGATCTGTGTCGATGTCGGAGTCTTTGCCGCCCGACCTGCTCGAGCCCTGGCGGCACAGCTTGCTCCGCTTGCGGTTGCCGCTTGTGCACGCCTCGCCGGCCATGCTGGCGCTTCGGCGGCGGTGGTGCGCTCCGTCGTCGCGATGGTTCCAACGGGGTCGCTCTTTTTGCCTGGAATTACTTTAACGTCGACATCCTACGCGGCTCGCGCCTACCGTCCCGTCTTAAACCGATGGACGATTCGCCCTGACTGACACCAGCCCCGCGCACAACACCAACACAAGAGATTGACAGGGCGATCATATGATTGTCAATATTGCATACCGAGATTTTCATTTACAGTTTGCTGCATGCATCTTTATCAGCATAAACAATATGCAGACTTTTAAGGTATGATAGTTATTAAACAAATGACTATCAAGTCAAGTTTGTATCGTTTTATACGTCGTAGTTACTTTGCAGGTTACGATATTACATTTTGACATGCGCGTAATAAAAATCAAACAGATATGAACGGCTAATTTATCATTATTATTTGATAAATAATTTATGTTACTACTTAGATATTTGCTCAGGGAGTTAATAACTACTGTTAATAGTTTTATAATTATTTTTCATCATAACATTTTAAATATCAGCTGATTTTTGCGTGCTGGTAAACGCAGTGCTTGGGAACTTGTCTTATAGATGTCACTACAGTCCTTATATACATAGGTATATAATATAAATTAATTGTTGTAATTCTTAATTATGTCCAGAAATATAAGTTTTTGAATCTTATTAAATAAAAAAATTATTCCACATTGTGCAACGTATTTTATATTCCATTTTTCGTTCTATTTCAGCAAACATTATATCAAATATTTAAAATTACTGTCAAAGACGCCTTGTTTTATATGTATCAACAGGACTACATAGACTATTGTGTTATTATATAATAATTAAAGAGTCATTTTATCATGTGCGTACGTTTTCCACCCTTTAAACCCCCAAGAAATGTCTTAATATGCCTTTTAAACATAGCTGTCTCTTTACTATTTTTCAATTTTTGGTCGAAAGACAGGGTCGAACTTACTTTCTTAAAATATTTTTGGTCGAACAACAGGGTCTAACTTTTTTGGTTAAATTATTTTTGGTCGAAAGGCAGGGCCGAACTTTTTTGGTTAAAATATTTTTGGTCGAACGACAGGGCCGAACTTTTTTGGTTAAATTATTTTCTGTCGAAAGACAGGATCGAACTTTTTTGGTTAAAATATTTTCGGTCGAAAGACAGGGTCGAACTTTTTCAGTTAAAATATTTCAGGTCGAAACATCGATGAAAAGATTTTGCCATAAAAAAGGCAAATCTTTTCTCTTTTTTATGTCCGAAATTAAAAGTTGGAATTTTCAACTTCTGTTTTCAGAATCTGAACAAACGATTAATTCTTATCAATGTATCCTAGTAAGATTTTAAGTTATCTCTCTTGGTTTAGGCCCTACGATGAATTTAATTATTTCATTTAAGGTAGATTTATGCACTTTGAATTTAGCTTATATCTTTTTAATCTTAAGTCAAATTACAAATATTTATTAAAATATTTTCTTAATAAAGATGTTTTCTTTGATAATAAGTAATAAAAAGTATAAATTTTTTAATTTTTTGGAAAATTGAATTAATTAATCAAAATTTGGCGGAGGTGCCTGACATTTTAATTAGTGTTTGTAAAATTATTAAAAACTAATAATACCATTCTGTAGAACAGCTTATAATTACCTTATTTACACAACTTCCTGATTAATAGCGCAAAGGGTTTGCCCTACAAACGCATTTACTTGTAACATGTACTTGCCGCAATACTTTAATTCTAATTATCTCGGGAACTAATGAAGATAATGAAAAACGGAAAACGGGATGACGTTCAGCATGTAATTATACAACAGATGTGATATAATAAATATATTTTTCAGAGAGTAAAAACTTGTTTTTCCAACGCGATTTCCTCGGAAACTACAAAAGTTACAATGAAACTTTCTGCATTTTCTTCATGTCATAACAAGCGTCTACAAAATGGCAGATATAGTTTTTTGATTCTATGAAGTTGATCAAACACCACTCAAAAATCATCAAGAGGTTACACTTAAGTATTTTGTGGTCTAAAAATTAAAAGTTAAGCTAGAGGAAAATGGAAAACGGCGTTCGATAGAGAACTGCAATGGGATGAAAGATATCCAGACAGTTTTCCAATAATATCAATATTTCGGAAAAATCGGGTGAAAATCGGTACAAGCAAAATTGAACGACCACCCGGATTTTCTTGAAACTTTCCAATTATGTGCAGAATGATGCAAGGAATCCATTTTTTCAAGTTTTGTTCCAATATCTTAATTAGTTTTGGAGTTATTGACCATTTTCATTTATTACATAACTGTTGATAATTGATGATATTAAAGTGCTATCTGATGTTAAATTTTATCCTTTATTCATATGTGAAAACCGTTTTTCTTTAACTCTATTATTTTTCACACTAAGTGCAAAAAACTGGATTATGCGTTTCCTCTAACATTTCTTAGACAAAAAATAAAATTCGTATATTTAACTTTTTTATTACAGAATATTTAAGAAAATGTCATTTAGAATACTTTATCTTAATAAAATTTTGTTCTAAATTGTATTGTTTTGATAATAATCACCATTATTGATATCGTTTTCGCCTGAAATTATTTTTGGAAATATTTGTTTATAACTCCTAAATTGTAAATATTTGAATAAAATTGTACTTAAATAAATGAATTAGCATTAGACAAACCACCAAAATTCAATATCAGACCTTAAAAATTCAAATTTTTAATTTTCATCATAAAAAGTCTTCTTTGTGAGAAATCTTTTATTTCAGCAATTGCAGTTTTTGTAATAATTGGAATTTTTAAATTCTGATTTGGGATTCTGAAAGATAATTTAATTCTAAATCAGAAACTATCAACACAATTTTCTGTTAAGGCCCTATTAGCCATTAAAAACTGTTTTTTTAAATTAAAATTGCAATTAGGGCCTAAACGATCAAAAGTTAGTTAGAAACGGTTGGATATATATTAGGTGTAGAATCAATTTTAATTAAAACAATAAGCAAATTGTCACATGAAAATGCATTTATTAACAATTAAAATAGCATAATTTACCATTTACATACATAATTATTCATTATCATAAAGTTTGTAGTGTTTCCGTGCGTTCTTCTAAATCCTTTTAAGTAACCAATTAATCAACGCTCTGATTTGATCATAAATTAGAAATGAAACTCTACTCACATCATATTTTGTTACACACTGTGATTATGACATAAATTGGCTTGCGCACCACACATACGCCGTAAACTCGCATAAAAGTGTACATTTGTAGTAAAAGAATATATGCAATCGTTTCACGATTGGAAAGTGGGGTTTCTGGGAGAGTAGAAGAAAATGTCAGTCAGCATAGATTTGCGTTATACACAGATGATTCGTAATTGATTAGTACATCGTATTTACACAATTAGATTAAAATGATAAATGATTGAGTGTTTGATTGACAAACAGCAGTACGAAAAATCGTTAGTAAGTTAGCCGGTGGGTCCATGTCGTCTCTTGCATTTTTGAAATGTCGCTGAGTGTCGAGCATCCCTGGTCGTCCATCTCCTTCCAAGCAAGATAGTTCTTACGCATATTGGTCACCAACTCCGGCATATCAATAAATGCTAAAAGATACAAATTTATATTAATAATATATCCAATATATTAGGAGAAATTAACATACCATGCCAAGCATCCATCATATTGTTGATGATAAAGTCCATAAACCCAATTTGAGCTTTGGGCACCGAGCAGGTTCCTCTGTTGAACAAGGGCATCACAACCGGCAAGCTTTTCTCCTGCTCTTCCTCCGTCTGCTGGAAGTATTCCTCCGCGATGCGCTTCGACCATTCGATGCACAGTGGCAAGCTGCGGGTGGGGTTGGAAACGTCCGCACATTTGATCATGATACGTTTAATGAGAGTGATGTTTTCAGGTGCCGATAACACCTCAGGCAGTACTTCTTCCAGTTCTTCCGCAGTTTGTGTGCAGAATACGTTCACAAACTTGGCGAGATGTTCAAAATGCTTGGTCATCTCGGTAGCGAGAATCATGTCCACAATGTTGAATCGAACGAGATTATAAGTTTCGCGGTCCAGCCGCTTGAAAATATTACACTTGTCATCATCTGCAATTTACAAATAAACGTCATATAATAAAATGGTGGAATTACCATCGATATTGAGTGGGACTTACTCAAAGTCAACTTGAACGTGCACGCAGCATGATGCGACTCAAGCACAGTGATATCATTGTACAGAATTGCCAGGGGATTGGCCGAATTAGCGAGGAAAGCACTCGAGCGACCAGGATGATCGACATCGTGAGCAGCCGCAGCGATCAACGCAGTGGCTTGATCAATTGGATCCAACACCAGTCGCAGACGGTCTTTGGTCAAAAATACTGCTACGGCCTGCCGGGAATAAAAAAAAAACATGCAAATTCATCATGCTGCTGTTGCAAGTTTAATCTGACGAATAAATGAATAAATCACCTGCAGGACATCGGCGGCGTGCGCTGAATTATGATAAGGGTTGGACGAGTGGTAATTGGCTTCAATTTTGAGCAGCCAATTATACATGGTACGTTCGTCGCATCCCAGCGTCTTATGTACGTCGTAGTGGGACATAATCTGCTCGCCAAGATTTACGAGCGGCCGGTGCTCTGTCAGCGACTCAAGCTTGAACACGTTGAAGTCCCAATCGAGGACGTTCTCCAGCAACTTATCCACCTTCGGCTTGATGCGAAGAGCTTTGTTCGTCGCTCGATAGATACTGGAATCGTTGCTGCTCCGCCGCGAATTCAATCCCATGCCGGATGCGTGCTGCTGCAACACAAATTTTACGAAAATTAATATTTGTTGATGTTGATATAATGTTTCAACTTTGAGTGTAGGTTGAGAAGTCGTCTACAATTACTTAGATCAAGCTTTACAACTTGAAACTTGGAACTTTAAAGCTAAAGTTTCATTTTGTTTGGAAACTATTGGAAAACTTTCAATATTTCTTAATTTTACGTGGACTCAACTATCGAACAAAATTTTATTTTAATTTTTTATTATACGCTGTGCAGAATTATACCCAAAGAAAAGAAAAAGAAGAAAAATTGCATTGTTAGAATTCTATGAACTTACAGACAAGAGCGCTTCGATCAAGTTGGACGCAACAGGTTCCTCGTGCAGCCCCTTTGCCTCCTCTTTGACGCTGGGCGAGTACAGCTCAGTGCACTTCAACATATCGACCACCTTTTCAAGCATTGCACCCGCCACCGGCGAGCTTTGTACTTGCACGTCATAAATTAAATTAATAATCTGAAATTCAATCATTAAAAATCAAACATTTTTATATTTATTGATATACCAACCTTAGTAATAGGTGCTTCAAGTGGTAA